AAAATATCATAACCAATACTAAACATACCTTGAAATAAATATTATAGAAGTCAAGTTTGTATTATTTATCAAAAATTTAGTTCAAAAGATATTTAGCTTTGCAATTGCTTGTTTTTCTTATTATTGATATAACTGTGAAGTCTACCACAATTGGAGTCGTATGGCAATAGAAAGTATATCTTTAAAAAAATATAAATATCCCTTTCTGTATTGAATATCTTAAAATTATTGTTCTCCATGAATTTTTAAACTTATTGAGGAAAATCTGTGTGTTATCACATGCAGTAACAACACAGATGCTGAAGTGAATCATTGGAGATTTTTTTATTTCATAATTAATTATTCGGATTTAGCACTTCAGATAGATAATGATATTTTCATTAAGCTTAGAATCAGTCAAATATTAAAATTCTAAAAGAATATGAATATTTTATGAGTACTTTATACTTTTAAAGTACATATTCTATTTGAAATGTCTGAATACAGTGTATTACTGTTCATGCACTAATGTTGCCTTCAATCTATATTTAGATCAACTTCCTGTGAATAAAAATCATGATATCTTAATTTGTTTAAAATTATTTATGAATAGTTTTAGACTTTTTAAGTAATCAAGAATCATTAATCATACATTCTTCATCTTCTTGGGCAAGACATACTTGAGTTTTTCTTTCATCATTCATTTGGTCTTTAGTGGATAGTTGTCTTATAAGCAATCATACCATGTCTTCTTATTTTTATATGAATTTAATATATAAATGTGAACAGTACTTCCCACTGAATCAAACAATTGTACAATCAGTGCATCATACAACCATCCTTCTTATTTCAACCATTAAAATATCTATACTATATAAAACCACTCTGAAAATGGTCAATTCATAGGATTGGTGTCAGAATATTGGACTTTGAATAAGACCCATAACCATGACGACACATCAAAGTTGTCTCTGTTGAGGCATACGAAAAAAAAAAAATTAAGTTTCACGTTGTGTTACTGTAAACTAGAAAAAAATAATACAATATAGATTTTGTTTACATGTTTAAACATATTTCACTGAAAAATAAAAGCAGTTTTATGTTTTTGATCTCAGTTAATGCCATTTGCACATCTATTTACATAATTACATAACAAATAATATAACAAAGTTTTATTGCCATTTATATCTACACTAAACTTCCCTGAAAATAAAAATAACATCGATTTGGCAATTGATCTATGGAAGCTACTACCCAAGCATTTATGGCAAGAATAGAAATTTATTCAATCTACTAAGTATGTGCATAGGAATATAATTTCTTCATACTATAGTTCACTAATCTTATTTTATACATGAAAATTGCACCAATATATTGCAAGTATTTGGCTGCACTATCCTAAAAAAAAAAAATAACTACATCATTCAATGTGTTTTTTTGTTGTTGAGTAGTAATTACAGAAATTATATATGGTCACAAACATTCTTGTCAATTTTAATAAAAAATAAATCTTAGAACCTAGCCATTGAAGTAATAAAAAAACACAATTTGTTTGGAAATGTATGTTTTAAAGACCTTATAATGCTTTTACTGCACATTCATCTTCATGTAAATTTTGTAAAATATCTAAATAATTTGTTTTACCCAAGACATAATGAAAATGCTTTAAAATATTACTTAATTAGTTACGTTTATTTAAAGAGTATATCTAATTAATTATCTGCTTAAAATAATAAAAGTTGAAAGCTTTAAATAAATATCAGATCTAAGTTATGTCCTACTTTCTAAATAAGAAAATGCTCATTCAAAAATAATGTTAACTCTAACTAAAATATAAATAATAAAATTTTGCAACTATTTCTAACTCTAAAAGGAAGGCTATTTTTCTTTGTACTGCATAATGAAGCACTATACTGGCACATTGAACTGGAGGTCAAATTATCTGAGGTACAAAATATACATTATCTTACTAGAAATTCAAGTAATACTTGTTTCACCCTGATTTATTGGCAGTTGTATACAGTTTTGAGATGATAACAGTTTTGTTAAAAGGAAATATCATTGTAAACAGTTGTGTTGCTTTTGAATGAGATATTATTCCATAAAAAATCTATACAAAATGTAACCATGAATAATATACTTGCACCCACATATTACAAAGTAAAAGAAGTATTTATTGCATACATTTTCAACCGTTTCCAAAATATGGAATATTATACATTCCTTTTTCAAATTATTTCAAGTTGATGGCAGTCATACTTTGCAACCTTGATTTTTTAAACAGATCTATGGATGATTGTAGAACGATATTCAAAATTCTATATACTGCATCAACAATCTACAGAAAAAAAATCCATTGGTATCTTAAATACTAATCTGTGGTCCACAGATAATTATATTATTTATTAAATATGCTGGGGCTCTTTTCACAAAAACTCTTACGACTAAAATTGATTGCAAGTTATACTGCAATGTTCATTAATTACATACAAGTATTTTTACTGAAATGAGTAGCAGAACCCTATCTATATATTCTTTTCAATAAAATGCTTCGCTGGGGCGCAGCTTGATACGACCGCAGAGGTCGAACCCTGAACAGTTGGGGCAAGTATGGACACAACATTCAAGCTTGATACAGCTCTGAATTTGGATTGTTATTAAATATTTGACACAGCATAGGTTTCTGACACAGAAAGAATGTGGTCTAAGAACTTGAATTTTTTTAATTTACCTATTATGGTCCAATGTCCAAAATCAAAATACATGGTTAGATTCAGCATATCAAAGAACCCCATATATTCAATTTTTGTTGAAATCAAACAAAGTTTAATTTTGGACCCCAACTTGGACCAACTTGAAAACTGGGCCCATAATCAAAAATCTAAACACATGTTTAGATTCAGCATATCAAAGAACCCCAAGAATTCAATTTTTGTTAAAATCAAACTAAGTTCAATTTTGGACCCTTTGGACCTCAATGAAGACCAATTTAAAAAACGGGACCCAAATTAAACATCTAAAAACACGGTTAGATTTGGCATATCAAAGAACCCCAATAATTCAATTTTTGATGAAATCAAACAAAGTTTAATTTTGGACCCTTTTGACCTCAATATGAACCAATTTGATAGCGGGGCCTACAAATAAAAAATCTAAATACATGGTTAGATTCAGCATATCAAAGAACCTCATATATTCAATTTTTGTTGAAATCAAACAAAGTTTAATTTTGGACCCCAATTTGGACCAACTTGAAAACTGGGCCCATAATCAAAAATCTAAATACATGTTTAGATTCAGCATATCAAAGAACCCCATATATTCAATTTTTGTTGAAATCAAACAAAGTTTAAATACTGGACCCTATCTTGGACCAACTTGAAAACTGGTCCCATAATCAAAAATCTAAACATGTTTAGATTCAGCATATCAAAGAACCCCAAGAATTCAATTTTTGTTAAAATCAAACTAAGTTTAATTTTGGACCCTTTGGACCTTAATGTAGACCAATTTAAAAAACAGGACCCAAAATTAAAAATCTAAATACACGGTTAGATTTGGAATATCAAAGAGCCCCAATAATTCAATTTTAGATGAAATCAAACAAAGTTTAATTTTGGACCCTTTTGACCTCAATATGAACCAATTTGATAACGGGGTCCACAAATAAAAAATCTAAATACATGGTTAGATTCAGCATATCAAAGAACCCCATATATTCAATTTTTGTTGAAATCAAACAAAGTTTAATTTTGGACCCCAATTTGGACCAACTTGAAAACTGGGCCAAAAATCAAAAATCTAAATACATGTTTAGATTCAGCATATCAAAGAACCTCATATATTCAATTTTTGCTAAAATCAAACAAAGTTTAATTTTGGACCCTTTGGACCTTAATGTAGACTATTTTGAAAACTGGACCCAAAATTAAAAATCTAAATACACTGTTAGATTCGGCATAACAAATAATTAATGTGATCAAAGATTTTACAAATCTAATGCGCCATACTGTGCAATTAAAGATTACTTCTTGAAATTTTTCAATATTTGAAATTTGAAAAAAAAATAATATTTGAAGAATAATTCTTTTTAATTTCTGAAATCTGAAATGAGAAAAAATTGACCCCCCACAATTTCTTTTTATCCCCCCCCCCTTTTTTCCCCCAAAAAATTCTTTCCCTCAAGATATGGTCATAATCTCAATTCAAATTTCCAATGGAGTTGGCAACCATAATTACCCGTTTAAATTTACCATAGTGCTAACTTAATCTATTTTATAATAGAATTAAAAATATAGTGTCAAATCTTTCATATGGATTTTTTTGTAAAAAAAAATGATGCAACATTTGCAGATATTTTTACTAGTCTTCCTTTATAAATATGCATTTCTTTAAACATAATTTAAAAGCAGTGCAAGGGAAGTAACCAAAACGTTGTATTTGGATTACCTCCCTTACACTGTTTTAAATTATCTTTATTGTTCATTAACCATTACTTTATACATAATTTAAAAGCAGTGTAAGGGAGATAATTTCAATGATGAATTTGATTTATCTCCCTTACACTGCTTTAAATTATGTTTTGAACTAAAGTATTTGTCCATTAACCAGGACAACCTTGTTTTTCCCCCTTTTTTGCCCCTAATTCCTAAACGGTTTGAGCCATAACCCCCCAAAGAAAATCCTAACCATCCCTTTGTGGTATGGAAACTTGTAGTATAATTTCAGAGAGATCCATACACCGTTCCACAGTTATTGTCTGGAAACTAGAAAATGCTTATTTTTGGCCCCTTTTTGGCCCCTAATTCCTTAACTGTTGGTACCATAACCCCCAAAATCAATCCCAACCTTCCTTTTGTGGTATTTAACCTTATGGTCAAATTTCAAAAAGATCCATTCACTTAAACTAAAGTTAGAGTGCGAAAACCAATGTGTCTTCGGACGACGACGCCGGACGACGACGACGACGCCAACGTCATACCATTATATGACCACAAAATTTTTTTGCGGTCGTATAAAAACAGAATATATTGGTTTTTTCCTGGAAATAACTGCCATATAAAACATTCGCCAGATCTATTAAGTAGTTAATACAAATATCACAGATCAACAACTAAGTTCTAATTTTTCATTCTTCTGAGACAGTTGGTACATTTTATTAAGTGTCTTTTTCACACGGAGAGAGGTCAACCTAGCTGCAGGATTCTGACTCCAACATTCTGTCATAACTTTTATCATAGCTTTCAAATACTGAAAATAGAAAAATACACAACTAATTGTAAACAGGAATAACTATTACAGCGGATTTCATTCAGTGTGTAGGAACCGTGAAGTCATTATTAGGTTAGGTAAACTACCCTCCTTTATGAGTAGACTAGTCCGACAGACTGATAGAATTGGTTATCTGTGGGACTAGTCTACTCATATAGGAGGGTGGTTTACCTAACCTAATAATGACTTCACGCTTCAGCAAGCAAGCAAGCTAACCAAAGATATTACCTTTTCCTACACACTCAATGAAATCAGCTGTAATTTGAATAAATGGAACATGTGAATAGCTCTCACTGTGACAGCTACCTAACAAAGATACAGGAAAAGAATATTTAAATCATTTGAGGATCACATATATCATGTTTGTTTTCATTATCATCTTTAACTAAAGTTATAGAAGCTATACATGTTTACTTATCTTTAAACTGCATTCAACTTTATTCAGATTTGCTTTCATGGTTCCTGCTTTAGAAATTGGAATTTTGAAAGTGTTATTGTGGATTCTTATTCGTGGGGTACCAATTTCTGTTGATTTTGTGGGTATTGGCAAACCCAAAATTTAAATGTTCAAAAACATATAAATTTTCTATAGCCTTTTATACAAACTTTTGCAAAACCACAAAATGAAATATCCATGAAAAAATAAATTTTTTCCTCTATTCGCAAAAATTAATAGATCCCCAGAATTTCATTTTCAAAGAAACTTAAGAACAGACAGTTATCAGTTGGTAGCAGTTCCATCATCACAACTATACTAGAAAGCTTGAATCTGTAACCACCTATTAGAAATCTTACCTGGTCATTTAACCACCTATTGGGAATCTCTGGTCGCATTTTCTCTATACAGACAACTTTCCTCATTTCATCAAAACTAGGATCTGTCTGTACACAGTCATAATATGGGACTTGTTGGTCTTCAACTACACCTTCTGAAATTAACAGCATGAAATCTTATTTGTTTGTAAACACATTGCATTTTTGAATGTTATATTCATAGGGATATTGCACTTATACTGACAAATTGATCAGAGCACCATATCATGTTGTATAAATTTGCTACTGCAATATAATTTTCTTGGATGAACAATATTTCTGAATGTTTGAGCAATAACCTTTTTATAATTGGTATCAAAATATTTCAATCATCTGAACAAACTTTTTTTTTAAATGTGCATGTTCCATTTTGTTTACTCCATTACAGATTTTACCTTTAAAACTGCGAAATTTTTTTACAGTTGACATCCTTAGTCAAAAGTATCTCTCACATAAGCATTTCACTACAACAAAAATATTAATAAAATTGAGAATGGAAATGGGGAATGTGTCAAAGAGACAGCAACCTGACCAAAGAGCAGAAAACAGTGCAAGACCATCAATGGGTCTTCAACAATATCTGATTATAGACAGACACCTTGCTTAATTCCATGGAATTATTTTTTGTCAAAAGAGATTGTATGTCCAATTTCATATTTTCTGTCTTTTGTTTCCAAGTACATTATCATATTATACTTTTGGAACCTCTGTAGTCTCTCCTAAACTCCTGAAGGAAGAGTTCTTTTCCTTGTCAGTGCTGTTTTTTGTTAAATTATAATGGAACCTTTTACTCACATGCATGCCTCTTTCATACAAGATAAAGCCCACTTCCAAATAAATTGATATTTTTAATAAACTGTTAACACAGAGATATGTCTCGCCTATTTGTTATTCTGATAATGCAAATGTTGAAATTAAAATAGCAATACTTTAACATGTAAGCTATGCAAATATTCAAAGCCAATGAACCATGACTGAAGGTACAGGGCTAAACAATCTCCATGGAAATGAGATGTGCCAATGTTAATACAACTGCTAACCAAATACCATTGTCTTTTCGTAAGTCATTCCCTTTAAAGTTTAAACAAACCTAAACACATCCATGGGACACAGATGATGCCCCCCCCCTTGCATATAATGTTATAAAGGGAAATAAATCAAGAACTGTAAAAGTGACGCTACCCAAATTTGTTCTTGATCTGAGTTTTGTGGTGATAAGCATTTAGGATACGTTTCATACCATTTAGTTAAGGCACAGGGGCGGATCCAGCCATTTTTAAAAGGGGGGGTTCCCAACCCAGGATAAAGGGGGGTTCCAACTATATGTCCCCATTCAAATGCATTGATCGTCAAAAAAAAAAGGGGGGGGGGGGGGTTCAAACCCCGGAACCCCCCCCCCCCCCCTGGATCCACCACTGAGGCAAACTTATTAGAGAACGGAAACGAAAAATTCAGCAATTTTTCCATTTGTAAAGGAGCATAACTCTAGAACGGTAAAAGTGACGCCACCAAAATTAAAATTTGATCTGTGTTATGTGGTAATCAGCATTGTGTATAAGTTTCATAAAATTTTGTTGAGGTAAAAGTTAGAGAACAGAAACCAATTTTGGGACGTACTGACGTAAGTATGCACGTACGGACGTACAGACGGACGAGGGTAAAACTTAATGGGGCATAAAAACATAAAAAACCTTGAATTGAAAGCAATGTGACAAGAAATAAAGATCAATATTTATGTACATATAAGTTGATTTTACCATTTGCAACACATCTGCGACATATCTCCCACATAACTAATCCAAAAGCATAAATATCAGCTTTTCTATATGCGTCAAAATGATGTGTTAACAATGTCTCATCTAATACTTCTGGTGCCATATATCGTTTGGTTCCCTGCCTTGTGATAGGTGGTACATCTACTTCATTGTTTTCACTGAAAGTTAACATACAAAGGTTAAAAATCATTCCTAGGAGCCTATAGTTTTGCAAGAATTTTATCTTGAGTAAGCCTATTTTTTTATAAAGTTATCTGATAATTGTAAGAAAAATTTATTCTTTGTATGCAAGTGTGTGGGGAGGGATAATGATTCTGCCTATTAAGATATTCTATTACAATATCACAATTTTCTTCCAACTTGCAATTAAAGAATTTACATCATCTTATATGTACACCCCTTCGGGGGTGATAACCCTGTCCTGTGATTGCTGCTGTTAGTGTAAAAGGGTAATGTTTACTTTCAACAATTTATTTCTTTAATAAAAAAAAACAAAGAAAGAAAAAAAATCTCAAACTTTTTCTTCAGATCATATTTTTTTAACACGGAGAAGCTTCTGTTAAAATATTCATAAAATTCTATAAAGGTTTGGCAAAGGATACTGATGTCTGAAATTTTTAACATTAGATTGCATCTAAAGGTAAACTGCAAAAAATACTAAGTCTAGTTATTAGTAAACTAGAACGGTTAAAGTGACACCACCAAAAGTTTCATAACATTTGGTTGAGGCAAACTAAAATTAGAGAACGGAAACCAACTTTGGGACGTACGGACGGACGGACAAGGGTAAAACTTAATGCCCCCTCCGCTATGGCTGAGGTATAAAAACTGAAAAGTTACAAAAAAGTTTTCAAATTTTGCTCTGGGTACTGTCTTTTGATCATGAAAACTGATGCCACTGACGATGGAATGTAGGATGGCTTTGTCTCCATTCTGCAACTCTCTTCACAGTCTTGACATAACAGGAGTGTGTATCTTTGTATAAGTTGCAATGTAATATCTCTGTTCTCATGTATTCAATAGGTTCAACAACCATCTTTCAGAACAGAACATATATATTTCTAAGGAGCTTACAGTAAATACTTTTATACATGAATACTGCTATGTACATATTGACATTGTAAGTAGTTTTACCTGATATATCTACCTGCTAATCCTAAATCAGCAATACATTGTAAGTAGTTTTACCTGATATATCTACCTGCTAATCCTAAATCAGCAATACATTGTAAGTAGTTTTACCTGATATATCTTACTGCTAATCCTAAATCAGCAATACATTGTAAGTAGTTTTACCTGATATATCTACCTGCTAATCCTAAATCAGCAATACATGGAAAGTAGTTTTACCTGATATATCTAACTGCTAATCCTAAATCAGCAATACATTGTAAGTAGTTTTACCTGATATATCTTACTGCTAATCCTAAATCAGCAATACATGGAAAGTAGTTTTACCTGATATATCTTACTGCTAATCCTAAATCAGCAATACATGGAAAGTAGTTTTACCTGATATATCTAACTGCTAATCCTAAATCAGCAATACATTGTAAGTAGTTTTACCTGATATATCTTACTGCTAATCCTAAATCAGCAATACATGGAAAGTAGTTTTACCTGATATATCTTACTGCTAATCCTAAATCAGCAATACATGGAAAGTAGTTTTACCTGATATATCTAACTGCTAATCCTAAATCAGCAATACATTGTAAGTAGTTTTACCTGATATATCTTACTGCTAATCCTAAATCAGCAATACATGGAAAGTAGTTTTACCTGATATATCTAACTGCTAATCCTAAATCAGCAATACATTGTAAGTAGTTTTACCTGATATATCTTACTGCTAATCCTAAATCAGCAATACATTGTAAGTAGTTTTACCTGATATATCTTACTGCTAATCCTAAATCAGCAATACATTGTAAGTAGTTTTACCTGATATATCTTACTGCTAATCCTAAATCAGCAATACATTGTAAGTAGTTTTACCTGATATATCTTACTGCTAATCCTAAATCAGCAATACATGGAAAGTAGTTTTACCTGATATATCTTACTGCTAATCCTAAATCAGCAAGACATGGAAAGTAGTTTTACCTGATATATCTAACTGCTAATCCTAAATCAGCAATACATGGAAAGTAGTTTTACCTGATATATCTAACTGCTAATCCTAAATCAGCAATACATTGTAAGTAGTTTTACCTGATATATCTTACTGCTAATCCTAAATCAGCAATACATTGTAAGTAGTTTTACCTGATATATCTTACTGCTAATCCTAAATCAGCAATACATTGTAAGTAGTTTTACCTGATATATCTTACTGCTAATCCTAAATCAGCAATACATGGAAAGTAGTTTTACCTGATATATCTAACTGCTAATCCTAAATCAGCAATACATTGTAAGTAGTTTTACCTGATATATCTAACTGCTAATCCTAAATCAGCAATACATTGTAAGTAGTTTTACCTGATATATCTTACTGCTAATCCTAAATCAGCAATACATTGTAAGTAGTTTTACCTGATATATCTTACTGCTAATCCTAAATCAGCAATACATGGAAAGTAGTTTTACCTGATATATCTAACTGCTAATCCTAAATCAGCAATACATGGAAAGTAGTTTTACCTGATATATCTAACTGCTAATCCTAAATCAGCAATACATTGTAAGTAGTTTTACCTGATATATCTAACTGCTAATCCTAAATCAGCAATACATTGTAAGTAGTTTTACCTGATATATCTTACTGCTAATCCTAAATCAGCAATACATGGAAAGTAGTTTTACCTGATATATCTAACTGCTAATCCTAAATCAGCAATACATGGAAAGTAGTTTTACCTGATATATCTAACTGCTAATCCTAAATCAGCAATACATTGTAAGTAGTTTTACCTGATATATCTTACTGCTAATCCTAAATCAGCAATACATGGTAAGTAGTTTTACCTGATATATCTAACTGCTAATCCTAAATCAGCAATACATGGAAAGTAGTTTTACCTGATATATCTAACTGCTAATCCTAAATCAGCAATAAATGGTAAGTAGTTTTACCTGATATATCTAACTGCTAATCCTAAATCAGCAATACATGGTAAGTAGTTTTTCCTGATATATCTAACTGCTAATCCTAAATCAGCAATACATGGAAAGTAGTTTTACCTGATATATCTTACTGCTAATCCTAAATCAGCAATACATGGTAAGTAGTTTTACCTGATATATCTAACTGCTAATCCTAAATCAGCAATACATGGTAAGTAGTTTACCTGATATATCTAACTGCTAATCCTAAATCAGCAATACATGGAAAGTAGTTTTACCTGATATATCTTACTGCTAATCCTAAATCAGCAATACATGGTAAGTAGTTTTACCTGATATATCTAACTGCTAATCCTAAATCAGCAATACATGGAAAGTAGTTTTACCTGATATATCTAACTGCTAATCCTAAATCAGCAATACATGGTAAGTAGTTTTACCTGATATATCTAACTGCTAATCCTAAATCAGCAATACATGGTAAGTAGTTTTACCTGATATATCTAACTGCTAATCCTAAATCAGCAATACATGGTAAGTAGTTTTACCTGATATATCTAACTGCTAATCCTAAATCAGCAATACATGGTAAGTAGTTTTACCTGATATATCTAACTGCTAATCCTAAATCAGCAATACATGGTAAGTAGTTTTACCTGATATATCTAACTGCTAATCCTAAATCAGCAATACATGGAAAGTAGTTTTACCTGATATATCTTACTGCTAATCCTAAATCAGCAATACATGGTAAGTAGTTTTACCTGATATATCTAACTGCTAATCCTAAATCAGCAATACATGGAAAGTAGTTTTACCTGATATATCTAACTGCTAATCCTAAATCAGCAAGACATGGTAAGTAGTTTTACCTGATATATCTAACTGCTAAACCTATTAAAGTCAGCAATACATGGAAAGTAGTTTTACCTGATATATCTACCTGCTAATCCTAAATCAGCAAGACATGGTAAGTAGTTTTACCTGATATATCTAACTGCTAAACCTATTAAAGTCAGCAATACATGGTAAGTAGTTTTACCTGATATATCTTACTGCTAAACCTCAATCAGCAATATCCTAAATCAGCAATACATGGAAAGTAGTTTTACCTGATATATCTACCTGCTAATCCTAAATCAGCAATACATCGAAAGTAGTTTTACCTGATATATCTAACTGCTAATCCTAAATCAGCAATACATGGAAAGTAGTTTTACCTGATATATCTGACTGCTTATCCTAAATCAGCAAGACATGGTAAGTAGTTTTACCTGATATATCTGACTGCTAATCCTAAATCAGCAATACAACAACTACCATCCCTTTTTACCAAAATGTTTTTACTTTTAATATCTCTGTGAGCCATGGCAGGTTTTCCTAAAACATATCAAAGTTAGCTCTTTATTTTCATAGGTATATCTATGTTATTTTTACAGAGATTATATAAAATCATTGTTGCATCTCAAAAGACAGTTCCAATTAAACATAAATGGTATGGAGAGTAATTCTTATTTCTTACTTTACAGGAAAACCTTTATAAACAAATTTAACTGCTTAACTTGTCTATACACATAGGGCTACCAGGTGGTATATGGTGACCAATCTTACAAAATGTAAAGAAATAAAAAATCCGAACATAATATTCCTTTAAAAAATTTTATGATAAATGTCTACCTTTTGTGCCAAATATTTCTGTATGTAAATGAGTGAGTCCACATGATATAGTATGAACCATCTTCAGTGTATCATCCACATCTAGAATGTGTGTTGACAGGTAATCATACAGGGAACCATTCTCATGGTAATCTGTTATCAGAAATAGCTGTGTCCAGGATCCTGTTCCCTTAATATCTGATGCTATAAAACCTGTTTTAAAAAAATTCAGTTGTACTGTAATAAGTTCAAATAACAAGACAGGGTCATTTCTACAATACAACAAGCTGAAGTAGTAAAGTCTTTTTATTTCATGTTTGCATGCTCAGAAAGGGATGTAACTGCTTTACTTTTTTGTGTCTCTATTTTTTTTAATTAAAATAAAATTATTTTTGTGCTATAGTACAATAAATAAACCTGATTTATGCATACATTTACCATATATTTTCTGATATTAAACTGAAGGACACCTGAGAGTAAATGGGGAAAAGTTTTCCATAGGGGAAAAGTGTCTTTTATTTCATAGTTATAGTTCATATATTCTTTTGATCCAAGATTTCAATTTTATTCTTTTTTCTAACTATAGGCTGTTCGACAAAGTAAAATGTTTTTGTGTTTTGAAGGTTTATTATTATGTAAAGCAAATAATTTTGTTAATAGTTTTTACAGAATATGATGGTCAATGTGCTTGTCCATACTGTATTGAAATAGTTTTACAGGGTATGATGGTCAATGTGCTTGTCCATACTGTATTGAAATAGTTTTTACAGGGTATGATGGTCAATGTGCTTGTCCATACTGTATTGAAATAGTTTTTACAGGGTATGATGGTCAATGTGCTTGTCCATACTGTATTGAAATAGTTTTTACAGGGTATGATGGTCAATGTGCTTGTCCATACTGTATTGAAATAGTTTTTACAGGGTATGATGGTCAATGTGCTTGTCCATACTGTATTGAAATAGTTTTTACAGAGTAGGATGGTCAATGTGCTTGTCCATACTGTATTGAAAATCACATTGAGGCATCTTGTCCAATACTGTATTTCAAAGCATGTATGTTCATTCAAAACTGTTTTACTATAGTCCAGCCCATATTCTTATTCTTTTAAATTTATACAGGTAAATGTGTTCTTACATTTTTTCCTACAACCCTCCAACATATAATGTGGGATGTTTAACATTGCTAATTGATGTTCAACACAAACCTAGTATATTATCATGTCTAAGTAAAACTGTCTGATATAATTCTGTTTCCCTGAACCAACTTCCTTCTTCTGTTGTAAAGAATATTTTGACAGCAACATTTTCTTCCCTCCATTTTCCTTTCCAAACCTCTCCATATCTACCTTTTCCAATACTTTTTATCAAATTGATCTGTCTTGCTATTGTTCTTTGGACCTGAAAAACAATCAATCAATTTCTTGACTCAGGTAGGTTTATATATGACTAAATAAATGGGGAATGTGTCCATAAGGCACAGATGATGCCCCCGCTTGCATATAACGTTATAAAGGGACATAACTCCTGAACAGTAAAAGTGACGCTACCCAAATTCGTATTTGATCTGAGTTTTGTGGTAATAAGCATTGTGTATAAGATTCATAACATTTGGTTGAGGCAAACTTAAGTTAGAGAACGGAAACGAAAAATTCAGCAATTTTTCCATTTGTAAAGGGGCATAACTCTAGAATGGTAAAAGTGATGCCACCAATATTCAAACTTGATCTGTGTTTTGTGGTATTTGGCATTGTGTATAAGATTCATAACATTTGGTAAAGGCAAACTAAAGTTAGAGAACTGAAACGAAAAATTCAGCAATTTTTCCATTTGTAAAGGGGCATAACTCTAGAACGGTAAAAGTGAAGCCAATAAAATTCAGACCTGATCTGTGTTTTGTGGTAATGAGCATTGTGTAGAAGTTTCATAACATTTGGGGCCAAAATAAAAATATTGTATGTTTGCCCAAACGCGACCGACCCAAAAAAAACATGCGGACTCAAATTCTTTTTTTGCTGTTTTTTTTAAGATTTTTTTTTCGGATTTTTTCGTGTCCGCTCCGTCATCGTATAAAACTTAATGTTCGTCGTCTTTGCGTTTGAAAGTAACTGTGAATAAGATTAAAAGAAAGCGTGTAAGAGATGCAGTTAATTGATGCAGAAATGCCTTAAGAACAAAGCCCCTGTATATCTCACTGAAAAATTTATAGAAATGCCAGAAATAAACCAATACTGTTTGAGGAATGCGTCTTGCAAAAATTTACAAGTTCCAAAAGCCAAAACAGAGCTGTATAAGAAATCTTTTATATATTCAGGATCTATTTTATGGAATAACTTACCAACATCCCTGAAAAAATCAACCTCAAGTACCAGCCCATTCAAAAAAGATTTAAAAAATTACTTGTTGGAACATTAAGAAGCTGTGTAATTTTATATGTATAATAATTTTCACACACTTACTCAAACTTAAGATATTGTTGAGGTAATTTGAATGATGCCAATACTATATGAATTTGTAATTTTTACCTGTTTTGTAAATTGTATATTTCATAACAATTTTTATTTCATTTTTTCATATATGTGTGTTTGTTTGATATTTCTGTAATTGTTTGTTATATTTCATTGTATTTCATGAGGGCCTCGGGGAAGATTAGTTTTATGTATAGCTAACTGTGTAACCCTCTTTAAATAAAGAATTATTATTATTATTATTATTATTATTATGATATTCTATGTTCTCGGTTTTTATCTTCTGAATTAAAGACATAAAGAAGTAAATCATGTGAAAATGGCAGACAGTTTTTTTACGCTGTCGTTGTCTGTACTACTTAAAATAAACCAAAAAATAAAGCCTATTGTGTCTAATAGGCTTTATCGCTTTAACAATAAGAAAACTTGGAATGATGTTTTTGATGAGGTTGCCGATCCTAATGAGATGGACATGCGGAAAACCGATGAAGTCGTTGTTACTGTATCCGACAAGAGTGGGCTACAAACTTTCGAGCCTAAAATGAGTGAACCTATTGAAAGAATTTGCCTACCTACCTACCCACACCCAGTCATCATGGGTCGGGTTTGGGCAAACTGAAACCATAAAAAAATTATTTACCTGATTTTAAACATTTTTTTTTGTTTTTTTTTTGTTTTAAAAGATTCAAGAGACAGCAATCAATCTGTCATGTTTTTTGGAAAGTTTAGTTGTGTATTTCAGCTAGCGGTAAACTGTCCAATGAGAAAGTGAATGTAATAAAATATGTATAACATGTAAACTGACCATGTGAGACCCTCATGGGTAGTCAGTCAAGGTTGTTAAACATCCCCCTTGTAGTAGTATAACATGTTTAACAAAATAAATGAAAAGCGTTCTAATGTACCCTGCCTATATTTGATCTTTCAAAGGGTGATAACTCAAAAATATTTTGTGTTTATTCTTTTTATTTACATATATCCTACAAGAAATGTTGGCATGGAATAGCTTACAATGCAATTTTCCATTTAATTTCCATTTCCATGGGACATAACTCATAATAAAAATAGTTGATCAGTGCTGATTATCAAACTCATCTAAGACCTGGCTGATATTCACCTTTGAAGTACATTTCATGAAAATGTGATAAGAAATGTAGGTGTGAGAGAATTCATAATGCAATTTTATACATAATTTACATAACAAAGGGATGTAATTCCTGTAAAAATAGTTACTGTCTTTTTGTGTGTATAGTACGCAGGTTTTTACACTGGGAATGAATTCTGAACAGGGGGTGCGTATTATGTATGGCTTCACGGTTCTTCAAACTTTTTTCAGGCTGAATTCCAACCAAGAAACCAGGTGGTCTGGAGGAAAATATTTTCGTAGCATTAACTTGATTGTTGTTATGTTTTACATGTATATTTGTACCTTTTTGTAACCGATTTGTAATGGTATATGCAAATAAAAATCATTAAAATGCTTTAGTAGTTGTTTTTTGCGTTTTCTTGTGTTCTCCGTTGCCACCTGGAAGTTGCATTTGATCATGTCCAAATTAGAGATGAAGGATTCTGTCAATGGTCAAATTAGTGTATGTGTTTCTTGAGTTTATTACTTACTTTGTGTTCTAACAAGGAATGCAGAAAGTAAATGCATGAAAATTTAATAAAACATGCCCGTTTGATGATAGCGACCACCATTGTTTTTTTACTTTCGTGGTATCAGGTAATCATATGTCATGTGACTTTTAATGTTGTAAAGTTGAATTAAGTGATGATTTTAAACACATTTTTACTTATAACATTTTTTTTAATAAAATGCCTCGCTGAGTGCAGCCTGATACAACCGCAAAGGGTGAACCCTGAACAGTTGAGGCAAGTTTGGACACAATATTCAAGCTTGATACTGTCTGAATTTGGATTGTGATAAAATTTTTGACCTAATATAGGTTTTTGACACAAAATAAATGTGGTCAATGCAAACATCTTAAAATTTGATATCCAAAATCTAACAACATGGTTAGATTCTATATATAAAAAACACCAATAATTTAATTTTAGTTGAAATCAAACAAAGTTTAATTTTGGACCCTTCAAACCTTAATATGAACTAATTTGAAACCAGGGCCCAAAATAAAAATCTAAATGCACAATAAGATTCAGCAAATCATACAGTCGCAATAATTCAGTTTTTGATGAAATCAAACAAAGTTTAATTTTGGACCCTTTTGACCTCAATGTAGACCAATTTAAAAATGGGGCCCAATATCCAAAAAAATTATACAAGGTTAGAACCCCCAAAAATTAAAGACTTAATTAGTCCCATCAAAATTGGTTTGTATTTGTTTTCAATTGAAGATTTCTTGCTATTGCGCAATACTGTGCAATTGAAAATTTCTTGCTATTGTGCAATACTTTGCAATTGAAGATTTATTTCTATTGCGCGATACTGTGCGATTGAAGATTTTTTGCTATTGCGCAATACTGTGCAATTGAAGATTTCTTGCTTTTGTGCAATACTGTGCAATTGAAGATTTCTTGCTATTGTGCAATACTGTGATATTGCGCAATACTGTGCAATTGAAGATTTCTTGCTATTGCACAAAACTGTGCAATTGAAGATTTCAAAAATTTTGAAGAAAAAAAATGAACCCCCCCAAAAAAAAATTGGAAAAAAAAATCCCCCCAACTTTTTGACCCCCCCCCCTTTGGAGTAATTACCCATAAACTCAATCCCAGCCTTCCCTTTGTGATATGGAACCTTGTGGTACAATTTCAGAGAGATCCATACACTTACACACAAATTATTGTCCAGAAACTACAAAAATGCTTGTTTTTGGCCCTTTATTCCTAAACTGTTGGTACCATCACCCCCAAAATCAATCCCAACCTTCCTTTTGTGGTATTGAACCTTCTGGTAAAAATTCATAGAGATCCATTCACTTAAACTTAAGTTGTTGTCCGGAAACCAAATGTGTCTTCGGACGACGACGACATCATAGCATTATACATAAAAAAAAATTGTTGTGGTCGTATACAAACCTTCATTCAAATCATAATTGCAAACATGTCAATGCCATCTTGTTTTGACAACAATTAGACTTCCTAATTGATATTCAACAAGAGTGTGATAATTCGGATTAAACGATTCAATGAGTACCAACAAACAATAAATAAAATTAGCAGAGATTAAATATTTATTTCAGCACTAATTTATCAACATAAATATTACAATTTATTAATTTATTGAGTATTTAAGAATATTCGTAATGATTCCGTACAGCCATTTGCATTTAAACAACTTCCCAATTTAACACTTCCTGTTATTCTCAATCAAACACATTCGTGGAAACAATAAAGAATCAAACATTGTTTGCTGAATTATTTATTCTACAACAATATTTTCATTATCCTGTAATCAACCAATACTGGAGTTCAATTAGTCTCCGAAAAAGAAATCACGCATTTTACTGAGTTTCAAGTTGGGAATTTTCCAGAAAGTCCCTGCTTGTTAGGCATAAGAAGAAACTTTTTTTCTCAAGTTTCAAGGGAAAAAAAGTGGGTGTGTACTATGCAGCAGTGCGTTTTATACACACCAAAAGACGGTAATCAGCACTGATTTTCAACACTGTCCAAACATTGCTAATTAAAACTTTTAACATAAATTTGATGAAAATTTGACAAGGAGTGTAGGCTTGGGAGGGCTTTCAATGCAATATTCCATACAATTTACATTTCCAAGGGACATAACTCCTAATTTTTTTTTATCAGCACTGATTTTCTACCTTGTCTGAGACATTGCTGAAGTATACCTTTTATATAAATGTCATGACAGTCTAGAAAGAATTGCAGCGTGATAGCACTTATAAAACAAAAACGGATAGACCCACATACTTTCCAAGAGGCAATACTCCTTTAAAAAATGTAAATTCACATCTATTTTTGGATTCATCTTAGACATTGCTAATATAAACCTTTTAAATACATCTTATAAAAATCTGGCAAGAATTGTAAGTTCTTTTTCCCTCGTCTAAGTTTTTTTTCAATATTTGTCTTGCAATTTTTTTTCTGATTACTTTGTCTAATATCTATTAAATAATGTATAAAAGACTCACCAAGAAAGGTATCCCTGATCCACTTCCTGAGGAATGATCGATATAAGATTTGAGAGATTCTCCATTACATATAAATGATTCACTTTGTCCAATATCATCTTTTAACAACAAACGTTGTGATAAATTTCTTTTATATCTAAAAAAAAAAGTTAAAGGAACATAACATATCTCAGCTGTCTTGTCCAATTAAGTACATTCAATAAATTGACCATGAAATTTATAGGAATATTACTGGTATTGAAGAGTTTTCTCAATCCTGCACCAATATAAACTGTAAATTAAATTGTTACTAATTTTTTTAACAATGTGAATAAAGAAATAAAATGAAATGTGGGTATACATTAATGAAACATTAGAATAAAATCCAATCTGAAGTCTTTTACAATCCTTTGCCCCCTTAATTTGGACAATAAACGAGTCAACAACAAATGTTGCCATAGGTTTAGAAATGACAAGGTTAGGGAGAGAACTGGGAAAATGAGTTTACATGGAATAAGATGAAAAACAATAAGCATATATAATGAACTTACCTTATATAGATTGAACTTACCTTATATAGAGACAGGTAATTGTTATGATGAATATTATCAAACATGTAGACACTGACACAATTAAAGCTATCTGCGTGATGTCACTGAGTGAAGCTGTTGGGTGGACTTCTGAAAAATGACAATGATATTGGATGGCTGTTTAACGTCAAGTGGCAAATTAAATGCATATTTAGGAAAAAGATGTCACAATATTATAAGTCATGAAGATATTAATATAATTAATTCGCAGCATTGCTTGCGGGTTATTTTCGCGGGTGTAAAATTTCGCGATTCAAGGGCAACAAAGTATACGAAAATTTTGGCGGTTTTTATTTTGGTGGATTCTTAAATCCCAATTAATTATTTTGGTGGATACTGAAATTGTTTTAGTTAAAAGATTGTAAAACAAGTGTCTATTGTTATGGTAATTGATTTTTTTACCTGAATGACATCTTAATTATTGATTATATTCTGATACAGTTAATAAATATAATACCAGTGACTTAGATATTTGTTACAGGTATTCAAACGTCTTGTAAATTTTACAGTTGATTAGTTAAGAAAATGTCCGGAACTTTGATGTACTTACCGGTACTAATTAGGTTACAAAACTATCATGTGTGTTTACAACTCTTATATAGTTTGACACTAATTAATAAGGGTAATTACCTGACAATAGATATAAGAAGATGTGGTATGAGTGCCAATGAGACAACTCTCCATCCAAGTCAAAATTTATAAAAGTAAACCATTATAGGTCACAGTACGGTCTTCAACACAGAGCCTTGGCTCACACCGAACAGTAAGCTATAAAGGGACTACCTTACTCTCTTATTCTAATTGACACTTATTAATAAGGGTATACACACCTGACAGTCATTTTATAAAATACATGTATGTACAATGCCATTTGGCATTTATGTTGTTAAAAGTAAAATATACCGTTATTGACTTGCCGACCGAAAAAAATAGATCGTTTACAAAATGCTTTAGCTATTTGAAAGTTACCAACATATGCATAAATTTTCGCTGAATTTATTTTCGCGATTTTCGTTTATCCGCCAAAATAAGCGAAAATAAACACCCCGCGAAAATAACCCGCTATACGGTATTATACAAAACACTACCTCAGAACAAACATGTGAAAAGAATTAGGCTAAATACAATTGAGTACTCAAAATGCATTTTAAATCTTTAAAAGCAATTTAAAAAAAAATTTAAGCAAACACAATGATAACAAAATTTTGTAGATAGCAATAAAAAGACATCAATAGTATATCGACTTGACATAATAAAATGATTTAAAATTCAGCACAGAACTGAGAAAATGGTCCTCAAAGCATTAGATTTTCTCTGTTTCTATACTTTATCCTTATATCACTATCATGTTAAGTCAATACATTATTTTTGTCTTCTTCTTTTAAGACGCTATTTAATTGAGCCGTGGAGTAACCAGCCAAAATAAAGAAAAGAAAAACAATTATAAAAGCAGGCATGTATGTAGCTCAGTGGGATCACTATTTATTTCCTGTAATGTAAAATTGGAAAAATTAGAAAACAAATGTTTTTCCAATCTGATAAAATTATTTTCAACTTCCAAGAAATCACAGCAAAAATAAGTGTACTAATTATTATCTCCCCTGAAACTAGAAACCAAGTCAAGTTAGAAATATGTACCGTGAAGTATCTTAAACTGTATTCATAACAGAAAGCATAACATATTATTTTTAAATTAAACTCCGTTTGGTGAACCAACGCGTGTGTGAATCATTTCGATAGAGTCCACACACCACGCAGGTGCCAAACATAAATGAACTATAACGGTTAAATTTACAACCATGCTGATAAACAGACCAACTAAAGCAGACGATCAAAAATTTATATATATACCAAATAATTATCAAGGGAACAATTTTTGACAATTTTATTTTCCATTATCGGCGACCAAAACCTTCCCATTGTTGCCGACGCGCCAGGAAGTCGTAACATCCAACAATGGCCAGGTTGGAAGAGAAGCCTTGTGAAGTGGTAGGAACCATGGGAAGTTCGTCCATTTAGATACCAAGCCTTTAGAACAATGTCATGTATCATATAAAAGTAAAACAAACTCAAGTTACATTGTAAACAAACTCTATTTTTCTATATTTATCTTATCTATTTATAACTCTTTATTGATACTTTCACTTTTCATTGTTTCTCTCACCTTGACAACGTCAAATTCAATGTACCACTTTGAGTACTTCATTAATTAATTTCTGTATGAAAATTGTCCTGATGACGCCTGCCTTGCAGGCGAAACATGTAGACCATGGAAATAAAATTGCAGACCATTTGAAGTGTTGTTGTAAAAGTTGGATGCCCTGACAATAAGTTTGCAGATATTCTAAATAATTTTACACAAGAAATAATTTATGTGCACCTACCTGGAGAAGCAGTAGATTTATCTTGTAAATCTGGCTCTATTTCTTCATTACAATAATCTTCTTCATCACAACATTCTATTGTTTTAGGTAATGCATGTGGCACTAAGTGTCCTTTACACTAAAATATAACAATATTGTAACATGTGTAATAAATTATCCAAAACCATATTTATCTATTGTCAACACTATAAATTTTTGTGTTATTATTTTTTTAGTTTTAATGTAAGACATTTTAAGGACTCATACCCTACACTCATTGGTGAAAAAATGGGTTGTTTAGTAGCTTGTTGAAACTTTTTTGACATTCAAGTTCTTGGAATTGATTCTTCTATACTGAATGTTTATAAAAAAGTAGCACCTACATATATTTGCTATTTAATAAAAATTCAAACCAACCCATTCTCTTTGGAAGGTGAAATGTTCTAAGATTTAGATAACCTCTTTGGATATGCCAACAGAACATTTCCAGCAATTTTCACATTTTTACATTTACAAATTCTACATTTCTACGAATAAATTTAAATTTACACTTTAGATTGCAAATTCCCACCATAATGAACCCTTATAGCAGAGGTTATCAAAAGGTAATGCAGATTAACAATTTTCCGCCATTGTGATGACATTTGGATCAAACTGAAGAGTTTTGATTTTGATCCATATGGAACTAATTACAAGTTTCTGAACTGAAAAAAGTGGATGAACGACCAAACAGTTAAGGTTAAATGAGCTAAATGCTTGAGGAATGCATTGAAAGAACATTATAATATTGTTCATCGAAAAGGAACCAAAGGGACTTGGAATTTAATGTGTTGCGTTTCTATTGGCACTTAATATAAATGATGTAACTAGCCACAATAGAGGAATTTACCTGTAAAACAGAGTTTCCTGCCTTGTCTTTTTCATGGTCTGAAAAACACCCATAGGTCCAATAATGTTCTTCAAAACCATTTTCATAAGTGACTCTAATTGCAGTAAAACATTTACTAGTTGCTTCACAAGTTTCATTCACTGCATCATGAGGACAAGGGTCACATTTACATTTTATACCATTTACTGAAAATAAAAATCTTGTCTTAATGAAAAAAAAAAAAACATAAACAATATAAAATTGAATTAAATTTGTTGCCTTTCCATCTATGTACACATTCTAATCTTAATAGCAGCAGAGGAGAAAACAATCATAACACATACAATTTTTTTTGTCAGCACAGTTCAAAGTTATAGTCCAGAAATGTCTTGTACATCTGCCAATTAAGGTATAACCTCTCATAATGCAGGGAGTCATATAACATATCTTCCTTTTAATAAAAATGTTAAAAGGCATTCACCACTTATAGTCAGGATGATGGACAAACAATTTAGAATAGGACTTACTCCATAATAAAATGCACAGAAGTGAATAATGAATAGAAATAAATGGAGAATGTGTCCATTGGACACAGATGATGCCCCTGCTTGCATATAAAGTTATAAAGGGGCATAACTCAAGAACGGTAAAAATGACGCCACCTAAATTCGACCTCGATCTGGATTTTGTGTTAATAAGCATTGTTAAGGCAAATTAAAGTTAGAGAACAGAAATAAATTTTGGAACGTACGTACGGACAGACAAGGGTAACACTTAATGTCCCCTCCGGTGACAGAGGGGGCATAAAAATTAAAGACTCATTTCATTTAGATACAATAATTTTACTTTTCAGGTTTTACAAATTTGTTAAAAAAAGGAGTTAGAAGGTATATGTATATGTCAGGCCATAATCTTGATGGCAAAATGACGATTTAAGTCTCCAAAGAATTTTGAAAATCGCTAAAACTCGCCAGACGACTGACTTCGTAGCAAAGTCAAGTAGCTATCAAAATCAGTATAAGGGAGACCAACTTGTGATTTACAAGTTGCACTGGTAAACAAAAATTGGATGGACAAGGAAAATCAAGATTTTCGAAACAACCAAGGACTAATACTGTCAACGATTAAATGAAATAAATACAACGGCAACTTTGTATATCCTTGGATTTATCATTCAAAACTATTAAAACAGGAAACTGGGCGACTGTTTGAGTTATCATTTTACTATGATTTTCGTCATGAGGATGTTGCGTAATCACTCAAATGATATTTGTTTTCAGTATTTTTATTTAATACGAGTCAACCAGTTGTACTATTCGATATGTTAAGGGGTGGGAATTAACTGAGATTTTTTGCTGTCATTGATAAAAATTGAAATGTAAAAAGTAATAAAATAGCAGCTGATGGATAATTTGATTGCAAACATACGACGCATGGTCAGCTTGTGATCAGCAGTGTGTTTTTTTTCATGATCAACTCGTTTATAAGAGAGATATCTTTTATAACAGAATTAATAGAAATTAGCTCTTTATCAGTTAATTTGTATGTGATTGACAGATATCTTCATTGAAAGGTCTAAAACCATTCACGAGAATCTCAAATTACAACTTACATGATGTCCTGGACATTCAATAATGTTTTACAAAAGTATGACAAGAATTGGTCGTGGTGATATAAATCAAATTACCAAGTCATCAGATAAAATGGGAGTCATATTTCTGGATTTTTAAAAATAATTTGAAGCAGATGCACATGAGATTAATGCATGAAATACTAGCAACAAATTTTATTGAAATTTAATTCAAGTTGACATTACAAATGATATGACTAACTACATGTGTAAATAACAACTTTATTGTCTAAACTTATTTATTAAGAAATATCATTTAAAAACACTGCAAGTATATTTTTTGATACATATATAAAACAATTTCATTAATGATAAGCACAAAAACACTACGCAACTGAAATAGTAATGCAATTTCACTTCTCGAAGAAGTTGACCACTTCTCCCTACTCTCTCATGGAAGGAGAAGTCACTTCTCCCTCTCCAAAATCCTAGATAAGGCCCTGATATGTGTCAATGATCAAATAACCGAAAAACTTCCAGAAATAGTAACTTTAGATTACTCTATATTGTTTTGTGGATTTTGAAAACTTCAAGTTCACTATATTTTTATTGCTGATCTAAACTGTTTGAAATTCAAATTCACTAGAAGTTGTGGTTTTAACTATATTTTAATTTATTGGTCTCTTTTTATTAAAAAAAAATAATCATTTCACTTTACTAATTTTAAAACAATTATTCTCATAGTGCAGGGGTCAGCTGTGATTCATTTTGAATTTTTAAGCTCAAATTATTGTATTTAAAAATTTGTAAGGGTTCTGCGGAACCCAGTGTCTCGCCTATTTTTGCTGTTAGTCGCAGGCTCAACAAAAATGGGGAAATAATTATTAAAAATTTTCCTCTAGATACTATCTTTTGAATTTAAGAAGCTTCTGTTCAAGTTTGGTAAGAATCCAGGATGGTTTATGAATCTAAAAAAAAATTTTAAAAACTTTAACTGCAGACTGTATGTAATGTTAACTGGAAGAAAAACTAAGTCCATTTATAAGTAATATACAGAAAAACAGGAAATTTTTTTTTACAAAATTTCCTTCTAGATACTAGCTTTTGATCATAAACAAGCTTCTGTCCAAGTTTGGTACAAATCAAGGATAGTTTAAGAAAGTTATTAAAATTTTGAAAACTTTAACAGGAGAGTGAATGTACATGTAATGTTAACTGGCAGAAAAACTTAGTCCATTTATAAGTAAAATATGTATAAACAGGATTTTTTTTTAACAAAATTTACTGTTGAATACTATCTTATGATCATAAACAAGCTTCTGTCCAAGTTTGGTTCAAATCCAGGATAGTTTAAGAAAGTTATTAAAATTTGAGAAACTTTAAACACAGAGTGAATATAATGTTAACTGGCAGAAAAACAAAGTCCATTTATAGGGAAAATACGGATAAACAGGATTTTTTTTTTAACAAAATTGACTTTTGAATACTATCTTATGGTCATAAACAAGCTTCTGTCCAAGTATGGTACAAATCCAGGATAGTTTAAGAAAGTTATTAAAATTTGAAAAACTTTAACCACAGAGTGAATATTTGTGGCCGCCGCCGACGATGATGCCAACGGAATGTAGGATCGCTATCTCTCGCTTTTGCGACAAAAGTCGCAGGCTCGACAAAAATGTATTTTAATGAAAAAGAAAACTTAGATATAACCATGTTGTTTGTTTTCTATAAATATAAAAATAAGAAGATGTGGTATGATTGCCAATGAGACAACTGTCCACCAGAGACCAAATGACATAGAAGTTACAAACAACTGTTTTGATTTTTTCTTTTTTTTAAACGGTATATAATTTAATTTGAAATTTACTTTTGTTAGAGATACAAAGAGTACCGGAAGTACTGGTACCTTATCCCATCTTCATTAATGCTAGTATACAGCATTTCAGTGATAAGGTTAGTACTTGTTAGTACACAATATACAGTTCGGCTATAAATAATATGCAACAGATTTAAAAGAGAGTAATATGATATATTATAAATTTTAGTTTAAGAGGATAAACTAATTTTTTCTGCAACCAAATTGTGGAAGTTTTCACATTTGCCTTCTTTATTTGTCTTTTTTTTTTTTTTGTGAATAATATCTTTTGTTTTAAATCACCAGGAATAGATAAACCGTAAGTAGTCCAGGGCAGCTGACAGAGGGGTCCCTGCTTTTATTTTACAAAAAAAAAACAAATGGGTGATCAAACAGTTTTGATGAGTTTGATGAATATTTTACACACTTTACATGTATGAAAGTAATCCTAAGTATACTACATTACTATTGTTTTTTTTTACAGAATTAGACAAGTTTTACTGTGGTTTCCATTTATACTATTTGCCATATTTTTGTTAAATTGTACCGAACTCTGTCTGACATTGGGGATTGGCAACTGTAATCAAGGATACATTCTTCTATTATGAAAAAAGTAGTTTACAATATATTATACAGTTCTGATTGAAAAAAACAAAATAAACTGCTTCGCTAAGCGCAGCTGGATATGCCTGCAGAGTTCCAACCCGGAGCAGTTGGGGCAAAAATGGACACAATATTCAAGCTTGATACAGGTCTGAATTTGGATTGTAATTAAATATTTGACATATTAAAGGTTTCTGAATAAATGTAGTCAAAGAACTTGAAATTGGTTATATGAATTGAATTTATATTCAATTAAAGATTTCTTGCTGTTGCGCAATACCATGGAAGTAATATTTAAAAGGAATAACAACGACTAATTAGCATGTATTTATGGCCTGCAGAGCTCTGTACTAAAGTCATATGATTTTATCCAATTATAGTCTCAGCGGTCACTATCTGTGATACCGCGGTTGTAAAATGGCATCTGGAATTTCTTATCAGTCACGTAATTTTATCGTGTCCGGTAATTATAAATCACTTGTGGGAAATCCTTAGTTTATTAATAACAAGGTGGCGCTGTATCATATAAAACTTCTACCTTCAGAAAGAAATCGAATGATGTAAAAAACTTGAAAAACGGACTAGAATTGTTTAAACTACAACAGTTTAACATGGACAATTATATTTATTTTTGCATATTTTTGCTTTTTACTGTTTGTTTTAAACTGATGTAAAAGTGTTTTCAGATTAAAAGCGGATCATGAGTAAAACAGGTAATAACGATGAAGCGATCAGGTTCACATGATGTTGAACAAAATAATGTAGACAAAGAACATTTTACTGTTGAAATGTGCCAAGTTTATCGAGATTTATAAAAATATTTACTTTCAAGTAATTGATTACATTATTGAAACTGGACAATTAAAATAGGGATCATAAGTTCGTAAACATGTTAAATTTATATCTATTTTAAAAAAGTGTTTACAATTGAATACTAATATTAATGTAGCAAGTTACAGCAAAAAGAAAATCAACCATACAAAACGAGCTTGACGCTATCTGTCTAACCGCAAGTTTATTTTAAATGAATTTGTTTATGTACAAATAAAAGAATAGAAACGTTTAAAATTGTGAATATTTAAATTGCCTGGTATACACGAAAGACTTGGATTATTCGTATTTAATAAAAGGGGGTTGAAACATATTTTTTGTACAATCATCTTCTTAACTTTCAGAAATGGCTTCTTAATTAACTGGTTTTAAGTATTAAAATTGAAAATGATCCACCCTTTTTCTTAAATTCAATATGTGATAACTGTCGGCCTAAACTATTAAGATAAAAAAAGACATAAATTGGAAAAATAGACTAAAATCAACATTGAACGACTGACTCTATTCGGTAGCGTTCAGCAGCGGAATGTAACAAGTGAACTATTCCGGTTACTTCGTACGTACATACGACAACAACTGGTCTATTCATAATTTTCCGGGAACACGAAAATGACCGAAAAGTGTCAGTGATTCGATCTCTCACATGCTGAGAGTCAATTACCATGCCATATATTAAACCAATTAACGAGTTATCGAAAGATAGGCGGTAACGCAGATGAAACCTTTGAAGTGACGACGTTGTTATTCCTTTCAATATTACTTCCATGGCAATACTAAGTAAATCTGTTGTCAGACTATAAATAAATAAAGTTCAATTTCTTCACAATGTCATATTTGAAATTTATGAAAATCAATAGGGAGATTACATCAATAGCTATAAATAATTCACCAAAGTTTCATGAGAACTGATGAAAGCATTTTTGAGTTATTGTCGAAAAACTGGAAAATCCCCCCTTTTTTAATGAATAAAACCCTATAACTCAGAAATGTAAAATCTAAAATTTATAAAATTCTAAAGGGAGCTTACATCAACAGATATAAACAATTCACCAAAGTTTCATGAGAACTGCTAACATTTTTTAGTTATTGTCAGAAAACTGGAAAATCCCCCTTTTTTTATGAATAAAACCCTGTAACTCAGCATTTTTTAGTTATTGTCAGTTAAACTGGAAAATCCCCCTTTTTTATGAATAAAACCCTGTAACTCAGAAACGTAAAATCTAAAATTCATAAAAATCGAAAGGGAGCTCATGTCAATAGATATAAACAATTCACCAAAATTTCTTGCAAGTTGGTGAAAGCATTCTTGAGTTATTGGCGGAAAACTGGAAAATCCCCCCTTTTTTAATGATTAAAACCCCAAAACTTGGAAACGGTAAATCTGAAATTTATAAAAAACGAAAGGGAGCTCACGTCAATAGATATAAACAATTCATTAAAGTTTCATGCATATTGGTTAAAGCGTTTTTGAGTTAATGTCTGACATGTTGACGACGGACTGACGGACTGACAGACATACAACAGTATACCATAATACGTCCCGTAAACGGGCGTATAAAAAGGCAACAAAAGCAACCTTATAAAACAAATCCAGTTTAAGCCATAGATCATCAATGGGAAAATTATCCCAAATTTGTCCTGGACGAAACATTTATTCATATTTATCTCATATCAGGCCTTTTATCTTTGTCCTTAATAATTATCTGTAGAATACATTACATTTATTTGTTTACATCACACAAATAATAAAAGCCTTGCTGTCAACAAATGCAGGTAAAAATCAATACATGCATGCTCAGTGTTTCCCCCAGGACCTTTTAGCATCACGGTAATGTGATGCTATAATTTGTTTGAATCAGTTGAACTTGAATGTGATACTGATACTGGTATTGTTTGTTTGTAAAAAAGATACCATGAAAAGAATGCCATTTAACTGTTACAAAATTTCAATTGAAATTTACATTCGAAAAACACCTTAACTACTGATTTATAACAGTAAATAAATCCTTGCCTTAACTTAACTTCTGTTTAGGGGGCGTGCTCTTCCTGTGTCAAGTGACAAGTGTGTATTTGAGTTCATTATTTTTGTATATAAATATTGAAGAAACCACTTATTAGAGTGGTATTTTCCAGTAGGCTGTGGCCATTCCAAAAAAGTTACACATGAGAAAAAATCAATTGATATTATTAACCTTGTTCAATGAAAAATATGGAAATAGATGAAATAAACAATGAAAGGAAAAGTATGCGACTGGTCGTCGCCATATCCCCTTTTGTCCTTCACCTTTACACAGTGGTTTCCGCTTCCGGTTTGAAAGTTGTCTGCTTTTCAAAGCATTACAGAATATAGCAGTTTGTGGTAAAAATAATGTGTGACAGCTACTCATATTTTGGTATTCCGATAAAACGAAATATTTATCGACTCTCTTTTAACCATACATAACATATCTTAAATGTTTTATAACCATTATCAGTTTGGAGACAATCCGCCAAACTTTCCAAAGGTGGAACTATTCTCAAAGTTATCATTGGGTAACAATCCCTCAATTGAGTAATATCATAAATAGTAGAAAGGTAAATTAGGGTTAATATGTCTATTCCCCCTTAAAACTGAAAAACACTTCTTACAAACTAACAACATCATAGGTAAAGTCAGCTGAAGTCTTGTTTTCTTTCATTGAAACCTCCACATTAGCTTAAAATCCATCAAAGAGCATGCTTATAAAACATCAATAGGACCTCATATGGAAATTGCCACGACGATATCGAACAGAATCAGCAAAATTACATAGATAAAATCGAATAAGTTCAGAGACAAGCTGCTCATAACGAGCAGACATACATGCCATACATGTCATAGTAATAGATCAAGTGTCAGCAACATGTTAAATGAACTAGGATGGAAAAGCTTACAAACAAGGTGAAAAGATGCTCGACTCATCATCTGTTACAAAATAAGAAATAAACATATAGCCATAGACAAGAATGAATACCTACAAAACCAGCAAGAAGCTCCAGTCGTACAGGACACCACATAAATCGACTCGTACATTTTACAACCAGCTTCCAGAGATGGTAGGAAATGGTCTTTTTTTGTAAACACTATCAAGGACTGGAATACACTGCCTCTGGATACCGCCAGTGCAAAGTCACTTGAGATATTCAAGTCTCAAGTGACGTGACCAACACCTCTAACTTACCAAATTAACAAAAATTTTTAACCAGTTTTTAATCATGCATAACTTGCCAGAATATTCAACATGTTGAATGTGGGTAGTATATATGGTAGAAGAATAATATCTTCAACAACATGTCAGAAAACTTCTTTTTCCTTTAGTTTTTTATCAGGATTTTTCTGAAAAAAGCATTCAGAAGCATATGATTTCCAGCATATTGTATCTTATTACACCAAAAAGGAGCATATGATTTCCTGCAAATTTAAAAATCTGATTACTGAAAAGTAAGATGTCAGCCTAGTAAGAATAAACTTGCACCAATAAAACTCTGGACATCCAGTAGCACCTGCCTCATATTAATTTGATACTGCTAAAAATGAGCATTTTTTAGACTTAGGTGGATTTAGAACTCAACATTTTTATAGGGACCTGTCTATTGTTAAAGATTTCTAGATGTCTTTTAATTATTCTAGAGACAATGAAAAAGGAGCTTTACACATAATGTCCATGTATGAAATTTTTGTTGCATTTTTTCCAGGGAACTACAAATAAGAACAACCTGGAATTTGTTTTCAAACTTCATGAGTATATGCAATGTCTTGTGGTACATATGCATATCCATTGCTCTTCAATTTCTCTTTTTACCAAATACTTGAAAGCTGGGGTATCATTAGTGAGCCATAGCTCACAGTTCTACTTTATCGTAATTTCCCACATTGAAAGATTAAAATACTGACAAACCTTAATGCAATCTTGGTACCACACTAGCTTTAATTCCAATTGTTATCATTCCCAAAAGTATTTGTTGTTACATCATACATGATGTTATTATACATTACATTAGTGTTTGTTATGCATAAAATCTTTCGTACATTGAGGAAAGGAACAAATATCTTTATTGGTAAAATTTCGATATCACAGCTAAGATAAATTTGATATAATATATATGACTTTGTTAGTCCAAGAATGCAGGGATTCAGTTTGCCTAAAAGATGCATAAATCAAAACTTGGTATACAGTAAAACAGTTTTTCTGGAATTGGAAAAGATTTGAATCTAGTGTATTCAGATTACATATGCTTCAAAATCAACAGTCTCATTAAGCAACTGGAAACAGTCTTGTCTGAATTATATGTTACTGAAAGGGATTTTTTACTTACCCGATTAGTCTGAAACACTAAAACCATGACCTTTGATGAGAGGAAGCAGACTATTTTTAATTGTGGCCTTATGTTTGTAAAATTACACCAACAAAAAATACTAATTTTTTACGCTCAACTGACCCCTTCTCCGTCATCTGTTAACTTTTACAAATAAAACTTTACTTTGTCACAATCTTCCTTGGGGTATCTTGTTTAGAAAGTATGTGTGGTGATTCCTCCTGCCAACCAACAATGTAAGTATTGTCTTATCTCGTAAACAATCATAGAGAGAGAAAATCTGACAATTGCAGAAATGTTCAGGATGATGAGATCTACCTATCATATTTTAGACAAAAACTGGCTGACAACTCCTTACAGGAATTATTTCCCTTAAAAGAAAAACAATTTTTTGAACCAATTTTTTCGTTTTTGCCTATTACATGTATCTTGAAAATTATAAGAAAGAGAGAAACTGTAAACAGCAAAGTCATCAGCAAGACAAGATCTTCAAATAAACCATAATGGCTGAAATTGCCAGTCAAATCTTTTGCAGGAGTTATTGCCCTTAAATGAAAATTTATAACAAATTTTTTTTTTGTGTTTTTGCCTATTATCTTGAAAACTATGATAAATAGAGAGAAACTTTAAATAGCATTATTCATCAGTAAGACAGGATCTATCTACAGTTAAGCAAGCAAGGCTGAAATTTTCAGTTGACTCCTTATAGGAATTATTTCCCTTCAATGACATTTTTTTTCAATTTTGTTGGTGTTTTTGCATATTATCTTGAGAACAATAATGATAGAAAAGAACTTTAAATAGCAAAAGTTATCAACAAGACAAGATCGGCTAATAAGTCAAACTTGACAGAGAGAGATAGTCAACTCCTTAAAGTAGTTATTTCCCTTAAACGATGATTTTTTTTACTCATTTTGGCATTTTTGGCATAAACTTTAGTACAGATAGTTTAGTGTTTAGTTTATATGACCATACTAACTATATGAATTTAACATTTTTCTATTTCAGATCCAAAACATATTTAACTGCCTTTACTGGTTTGTACATGATGATTGTTTTGAAGGGGAGGATTGTATAGAACTTTGTTTACATCAACAATATTGGTATAGTGAGTAATTTACACTTACATGTATCTTCACTAAACGGGTGATGATGCAATGATTTATCATGAGGAGAGGATTAACCATTTTCAATGTAAAGCTGACACATCGAAGGTCAAGGTCACCTGAATGCACTATAGAAATTTCTGTTTTAATATGGTTGACATAATTACAGTCATAATAGGCTATGTATGGAGATCCTGTGGCAAAATTTTATCTGTAAGGGGTTCAATAACAATATTTCTTGCATGTTGGAACTCAAAAATTTAAGATAACATTGCAAATTCATGGTACATGTTTTTTTTCCTTGCATATTTTTAAGGATCATTTATAAAGAATTTCATTAAAAAAAAATGTTACACTTCAATACATCTAGGTTAAATCAACTTGATAATATATCTCCATGCTACTAAAATCTTTACTTATGGAAAATATTCTAAGAATCAAGCAAATTAAAACTAGCATGTTGAATAACAGGCAAAACAGTAAATATTAAAATACATTTAATTATAGAATCAAGTTTTGTTCTTTATCTTTTGCCAAGTTATTTTGATAAGTGAATGCTTTAAGTCTTTTTTGTAATGAAATTTGTGATACTTTCATACATTCATTCCATGATATTTTTATAACCAAAACCCAATAAATAAATGTATTAGTCTCATTTATATCTTAAAGAGGGTGTCTGAGATTTCAAATTCTTGTTGTTGTATGATTTTTTCCTCACCATTTAATATTGAATTTTTCATTTCAAGATTTAATGTTGAGGCAGACAGACTGTAAAAATATTTTCTATTTGCAATATTTTTGTTGAAAAGAGTTAAAAGAGTTAGGGTTAGGGTCAATGGTAGAAAGAATTTGAAACTCTGTCTGAATATTGTGCTTATTGATTCATCATCTTTCTAAGGTCATTAAGATAGTGATTTTCAGTCTACAAAAATATGCTTGTAATACTTATAGTACTGTGAAAAAAATGCTTTAAATCCATGAATTCACGCTTTTTTTACTTTCTTTTTTTGTTTTGTAGCAATAGCAATGCTTAAGCAAATAGTACAGACAGTCCTGCTTGTGACATCTACAGCAGTGGTGATACCCTACACAACGTCACTGCTAGGAAGTCTACTGTATGGTTGGCCTCAGACAAAGAACAAATATCGTAGAGCATTTAGTCCAAAGAAAGTTTATGCTTTTAATTATGCCTTACTACAAAAGTTATATATAACCTTGAAATATGCATCATCCTACATGAAATGGAAGAAACTCTACAACAAGTTAGATCCATTTACTGTCAGAAAGGTAAACTAACGTTTTGTACCTCACTGTCAGAATTGCACCATTGAATAGCCATTGCTTTGTCCTTCACTGTCAGAAAGGTAAATAGCCTGTGCTTTGTACTTCAATGAAAGAGGCATAGACATGTTAGAGGGAAGTCAGTGCTTTGTAAATCATTGTAAAAAATATGAGTAGTCAAGGCTTTGTACATCACTGTCAGAAATCTAAATACCGAAATAGTGAGAACTTTATACTATCAATGTAACAATGGTAAACAGTCAGGGCTTGTTTTTCACTGTCAGAGAGGTATATAGTGTGTACTTATTTTCTTGCTATGAGGACTATAAACTTTCTATTGTTTGAATAGCCAGTAAAAAAGTGTTTTATTATACAGAACATGCAGAAAAATTATTGCTTCCAGTACATAGTTCATACCCATTAAATAGTTTTTGAAACTATTAATCTGTAAATAGTCTATTTTACGGGAAAATATTTGCTTCTAAAAAAAAGTTCATAAACTGTAAATAGTTTTTGCAACTATTGTACCTCAATATGTATTTTCTTTATAAAATTATAGACAAATGAATTTACTATTTTTACGAATTTGTCTGAATTGTATGACCCTTAAAGAATTGTATGACCCTTAAGTGCTGTCCCCTGGTGTTTTTGTCAGGTAAGCAATCAACTAAATCAAACTTTAACCTCTCCTGAGTTCATGCTGCCACAAACAATCCACTTATTTAAATTGGAATAAACATAATGTATTGTATTGTATATTTTAAAATAATTTCTGTTTTAAAGTGCAATTAAACATGCTGTATTTTTGCTTTTTTTGTTATTTTTAGAACATACCATATGGAAGAAATGATTGTACCCTAGACTTGTACCATCCTAACATTCCACGAAAGGATGGTGGGGATATGTCAATGCCAGTGGTGGTGTTTGTGTATGGAGGGGCCTGGTCTTCTGGAGAAAAGACCATGTATGGTCCTCTTTGTGTAGAGATCGCCAATAGACTGAAGGCAGTAGTGTGTTGTCCAAATTTATCAATCTATCCAAAGGTTGGTTGTATACTATACAGTAATAAACATAATAGATGGCTTTCAAATTCATGCACTTTCCCGGGATTTCCTATGTCACAATACTTATGTTATTATGTCACAGTAAGAAATGATTGTTAAATGATGTCATTTATGCCAATTGACCTTGGGCCAACGGGTGTAACTCATTCATAAACAACTTGAGATTGGTTTGTATTGTATTGTATATTTGAATAGCTTCACTTCTTCTGGTTTAAACTGCAATTGAGCAGCTGTTTAAAAGGACTTACATGTAAGCTTGCTGTATTTTGCTTTAATTTGTTGTATTTAAAACATACATTATGGAAGAAATGACTTGTACCATTCTAACATTTCATGAATGGCTTCTTTGGTTCAGATATTTTTTGCAGTTTATGTGATCACAAAAATAACATGAATAATAGAAATTACCCCACAATAAAATTTTCACTTTTACATTATTTCCTAAAAAATTTAATATGAACTCAATGTCGATGTCAATGATACATGTATTCATATCCAACAATAACCAAACGATCTACAAGTGAAGATCTACAGATTTTTGTTATACCAGTACTTAAACTTATGAACTTGAAAATCTGAGTTTGTATGTTTGTTTTTGATATATAGAAATACAGAAAGTGAAAAAGTATGACTTGTTTTGAAAAATATATGTAAGATGTTACAATAAATAAATGATAATAGTTTTGTTGTAGGGCTATGTGGATGATATGATACAAGATGTTGTGGACTGTGTGGCATGGATTTGTGACAATCCACATATTCATGGTGCTAATAAGGTATCTAATGATAGCAATGTACTTTTTATCAAAGTTATTTTTGTGAACTGTATGTTTCCCTCCAGATGTCTTGCTTTGTTTTGTATGCTTGTTTGTCTTCTCATTGATGTAGACCCCCACATCTCCTTTTATTCATACTCACTTTTTGTCCTTCTTTATATAATGCTTTATCTGAGAGGTTAGACAAGAATTCCCGATAAGTGAGAGTGACATGTACAGTTTTTACAGCATGTAAATGGTTTTGTATCCCTATTATTTTTATTTACTTGTTCAGAATGCTGACCTGTCCAATTATCAAACTTATGGGAGATTTCCGCAGTAAAAGGTGTTGACCTGACAAAAGCAATACTGGGAGTTAATGTTTTATCAATTTAGCTTAAAAATATCAGCCGTAAAACACAGTTTGCATTGAAATACAGTTGATAAATTTCAGTCCTTAAGTTGATTGGTGTAATAGGGACTTAACATTTCGATAAAAAATATGGTATATGGTTAGTCAATGTGTGTTGGAGAAATGAGTACTGGGTACTTTACTTGAATTAACGGGTAAAACTGTAAAAAAAAGATATCATAATTACAGGGTACTATCAATCAAGGGGAAAAATGGAATCATATGAATGGTAGATTCAATTAAGCATGGATTCATTGAATGAAAGATTGGTAGAAAATGTTTTTCTTAGAAATGGAATAGGATGAATAATGAAAAGTTTTAGTCATGAGCAAAAAAACTTTTATTAAACTAGTATAAAAAAAAGGGACCTTGAAAGTATGTGCTTAAGAAATTACTAGAATGGAACCAACTATAAAACAGTACACATGATCGACTTAAAAAAAAAGGGAATCTAATAAAAAAATATACTTTATTTTACAGAATGATATAGTACTGATTGGACATTCCTCGGGAGCACATTTATGTGTGATGTCAGTGTTAGAATTGTTAAGCTTAGAAATTCCAGGTGAATCTCAGCAAAGTAGGATCAGATTTGATGAATCATATTTTAACACTAAGCCTCGTTCTGACACACTTGATGATAGTTCAGGATCATCAGCATCATTCTGTGTGGTTAATGATAACCAGGAGAAGTCTGTTGTAGCTCCTGTTTCTACTGAAACCAAAGATACTTTGCCTAGCTTACCAGAGAGTACTGAGGGTACCAGTTTATCAACCAGTACATTTGAGATTGTCAAGTCAGAAGGAGCTGAACTTGAGAGTCAAGAAACTGATGACAATACTGAAGGAAAAAGTGTAGAAAAGGGAGATAATTCACAAAGTATGGCTACTGGTGATACAAATAAAGAAGAAACTGAAGTGAAATCAACAAGTCATACACAAGACCTTGAAACTATAAATAGCAATGATGAAATAGCCAGACCAAAGGAACTCGAACCACATGCAACTCTGACAGATCTTAGTAAATCAATTAAAGTAGTCATAGGTAGTTATCACATTTTAATTTTTATGTTGAAACTGTACTGATGATTTAAGCAGTCATTTTTTTCTTGCAATATTAAGCCAAACTTTGAACTGTGTTTTCATAGAATTCTGATATCAAAACGGTTAGATTATTGTGTTAACTCACAGCATTCATATCACACTTTATTAATTTTTAAATCCTTTAAAACAGCTTGACAGAATTTCATAAATCTAGTACAGAATTTTTTGGATTTTCTATACCAATACTATTCATGTGTTCATCCGGTCTCGTATGCTCTATAATACTTAAAATTCTTTCGAGCTTAAAATTGTATCCACAGTGTACATGGTGTAAGTAGCAATGTCTTTTATGAGTTTGAAAAGCAGTCTACCAACTATTTTTAAAGAAATAAGCCCCTTGGAAGTAAAAACTATATAAAAAATAGCATTGTAAGAGCTCTCAAGCCTATATTTCTTGCAGGATTATTCTGAAAATTATAACAAAGATTATTATTTTAATGCCTCAGTCCAGTTTCAAAAATCAGTGCCGATTAACTATTCTTAAAGGAGTTATTCCATTTGGCAATAAAGTTTATTTGGAAATTGCATTGTTAGGGCACTCAAACCTACATTTCTTGTAAGAAATTTTTTTGAAATTTATGTCAATGGTTTATATTAGCAAAGAGCTTGGTAAGTTCTAAAATCAACACTGATCAAATTTGATTACATGAGTTATGTCCCTTTTGATTTCTGACTCCAAAATATGATTCCTGTGGTCAACTCATGTAAAGTTTTATTAGATGATATACTGTGCATTACTGGATAGCTGTAACACAAGGCAATTTACTATATTGACCTATGCAATTTTAATGAATCTTTATTTTAATGCAAAGATTGACAAATTTATTGACTACATGTATTTAAACTTATTGAAATGTATTTTGGATAGGTTTGGCTGGAGTGTATAATATAAGTGATCACTTTGAACATGAGTCCACTAGAGGTATAGAAGACATATCTTGTATGGCTAGAGCTATGTATGGAGAAGAATATTTTGATAGATTTTCACCAATTGTGCTTAGTAGAACATTATCACCCAATGCAAGGTAAGAAGTAGGAAATTTTTTTATTATGATGACCATGAATTTCATCTTTTTTTTTAACTAGTAGAATTTTTTTTATTTGTTTTTACAAGAATTACACAGCGAATTTAGGATCGAAAAAAAACCATAGTATTGTTTTATTGTTTGTAGATTATATGATTACACAAAAGAATGATGTAATAATTCATCAAATTATTAACATTCATTTTCATTATCTTCATTTGAAAATACCGATTTTAACTTTATTGCTGTTTTTCGTATAACCTAAGAAAAGTGCTCAAATTTATTTGGAATTCTTTTAAATAGTAATTTGAGAAGTTTCTGGTGTTTAATCCAATAAGATTGTCTGAAAAGTAATATTTACCTATTTTTCAGTGCACCTTGTGTATTACTGTTACATGGAACAGAAGATTATGTTGTACCAGTAACATCGACAACCAAACTTGCTGAAGCGTTACAAGATAACATGATGGATGTCACTGTCAGGATCATTCCCGGTTGTGATCATTATGAAATCTGTTTGGACATGATGTTACCTAAGTCGAAATTCTATAAACCAATGATTGATTTGTTGTTAGAGGTTACAAATAAAGTACTTAATAGGAAAATTGTTGCATGGTCAGAGTCTAATTGATGTTGGTCATATTGTAGGTGTATTTGCATTGGTATATATGTGAACAAAATTTACAGATGTGGTAATGTATATGCATTGTAGTTCATTCCACACTAATTTTTATAACATACCAACAATTGATTTCTATGCACAGGTAAAACCATCAAACTATAAACATAATCATGAAACACTTAAAAAATCTGCATTTATGAAATAAAATATGGGTAGGTGTATGTTGTTGAGTGACTGGAAAAATTAAATTTGACTTCTAATGATTTAAAAAAAAAATTCAATGTTTAAATGTTTTAACTTGTTTATCAAACATTTTTTAAATACATTGCAAGTCTTAAGTTTTTAGGCATGGTCCAATGAAATAATGTTAATCCAAGAAGAGTTTTCTGGTTACTTTAGATGTAGTTTAAAAAGGATATATCCACTTCCACATTTTAATTCACAGTTGATTTACCAGTAGTTATAGTTTTTAATTTTGCTTCTGTGTACAATACATTTCTGTGTTAATAGTTTTTGTTTGGCTTCATACAGAGTTTTTTTGTTGTTGTCAACTGCAGTATATCACAGATCTGACAGAATATTAAGACATTTCATTGTACTTTGTTTATTCATTATTGCAATTTGCCATTTTTTCATGGCCATCTGATTTTTCTATTTTAAGGCCATATCAGATTATTATTTTATTATGATTTATACATGAAAATTTTGGGTAGAAAGAGTTTTTGATACCCAATACTTTATCTTCATGCAGTAAACAAATATGAATTCTTTCAAATTTTCTTTTCATATTGCATTAAAGAAAAATCTGACCACCCTTTATACTGATAATGAAGACAACATTTTTTCATTCTTTTAATATTAATCCTGCATCATTTTTAAGAACATTTTTCTTTTGAATTGGATGTGAATCTGAATTTTCCTGTTATCCTTAAGAATTGAATTGGTATGGCCTTTACAGTGTGCCATTCATATAAAAAAACATGAAAGAACAAAGTTTTTGTGATACAAAGTTTGTAAATGTAGAAATTGTTTGTTGTTTGTGTGCTATGTGTAATTGAAATGTTTAAGCTTTTTTGTTAATGTATAACAAATTAATTGTTTACAGAGATGCATTCTGTTTTGTAATAAGATCCTACATGAAATTAAATATGAAATCAGATATTGATTTATCACTGTGGTAGCAGTTTTAATATTATGCCATATATCAGCAAGCACTACCTTAGCATGTCCATAAAGGAATATACATCCAGGTCCCACATGTTCAAGTGGAGATAATTAAACTGAATTATAGATTTCAAATTGAGTTCATTGATACTAGTCTCTTTTCAAAGCAACTCCTTCTTAACAGCTAGACGATTTTTTGATGAATTTTAAAATTGTTGTAGAATACTAAATGAAGATGTGCATAACAAAATATAATCCCAGTCCAACATGAAAAAGGAGAGCGAATCAAATTTACGGGGCGAGTCTCCTTTTGTGAGTTCACTCACAGTTCTAGTATTTGCATGTTTTCAGTAATCTTCGTGTATTGAATATAAATATTTGAGTACCCTTAGCATCAGTTTTTGCGTCCTCGTGATCTTTCACGGCCAGTATTCATTGACATATATCCATATAAATTTGTGTGCAGGTGCAACTTGGAATGAGTGGCCAAATAACATCAGGTGAAAGTTGCATTCTCCAGTGACTGTTTAAAGTTTTTAACATCTAAATCCAGTTTTCTGATACTAAGTGACAAGCTTTTGACTTTAAAAGGAATATATTAATGAGGTGTACATTATTACACAAGTTCAAACTAAATATCACAGTAAAGTCTTTTAATATTATTTTTATAAGTACTAACACTGATTTTGTTTAAAAAAAATTAAAACTAAGTATATATTGCTAATTTGCTAGTATGTACATGTATGTACAGTTATGAGAACTCATGAACCTACATCCTTTCGATACTGTTAAATAAAATTTTGCCATTGCACATGGTCATGCATTCCTCATACTGTTTATGATGTCTTCAATTTAAATCTGTTGGATGTGTACTGATTAATATTTTAATCTGGGAGAACATGATTTATTTGTTAGTTGTAATTGGCTTTGAAATAGCTTTCAGTAACTGTGAGTACTCTTATATCGATGATTTGTGTCTATTGTTTTTATATTTGTTTTAGTGCCTCTTACCAACCTTTTGAGTTAAGCCAATTGCAACTGATTTTTAGTTTGTTCTTATGTTGTGCTGTTACACCACTGTTCACCATTGTTTCAGGTAAGGGGAGGTTTGAGGGCTCACAAACATGTTTAACCCGCCACATTACTTATGCGCCTGTCCGAAGTCAAGAGCCTGTAGTACAGTGGTAGTTGTTGGATCATCTCTGTCATATTGGTTTTTCGTAAATTGTTTTGTTATAGATTAGGCCATTAGTTTTCTCATTTGAATTGTTTCACATTTTTCATGTTGGGGCCTTTTATAGCATTTGGGCATAGGGATTGCTATCCTGCGGCATAAAGTATTTGTATAAAGCTTTATATTTCAGAAGGTAGAAGACCTGTATGCTTCATACCTTGTATGCAGATACCTTTTGTAACAAAGTTTCTGTCTGTCAAATGTCCATGGACCTTGACCTCATTTTCATGGTCTAAAAAATTACACTGTTTTTGTACCGTAATGTGAATTTCTCACTTATTATGAGTAATAGGATAACTATATTTGGAATATGGGTTCTTGCAACGTCTACATGTCCGTCAGATAGGGTTCACCTGACCTCGACCTCATTTCCTGGATCAATGATCAAGGTTAGTTACGTGATAAGGATGTATCTCAGAAACTATAAGCAGTAGGTCAACTATATGGGGTGTTTGAAATGATTTTAATGGGTACATGTTAGTCTGGCAGCTTTCATCTGAACTTGACCTCATTTTCATGGTTTATTGGTCAATGTTTAGTTTGTGTGTTTTGGTCTGTTTTTCAATTACTATAATCAATAGGTTAACTATATTTGGTGTATGAAATACTTGTAAGGTGTTCATGTCTGTCTGGCAGGTATCCCTTGTCCTTGACCTCATTTTCATGGTTCATTAGTAAATATTAAGTTTCTGTAGTTTGGTCCTCTCCTCAGATAATAGGTCAATGATTTTAGGGTTTATATGTCTGTCTGGCAGGTTTAATCTGACCTTGGCCTCATTTTCATGGTTCATTGGTCAATATTTACTTTACCTGGTTAAGCCTATTTCTTAAGATATTATAAGCAATAGGTCAACTATATTTAGTGCATGGAATGATTGTAAGGTGTACATAAAATTGAGAATGGAAATGGGGAATATGTCAAGGAGACAACAACCCGACCAAAGAGCAGACAACAGCCGAAGGCCACCAATGGGTCTTCAATGCAGCGAGAAAATCCCGCACCCGGAGGTGGTCCTCAGCTGGCCGTAAATAAAATGTCTGTCTGTCATGTATCATCAGACCTTGACCTCATTTATAGGGATCATTGATAATGTTAAGCTTGTGTGATACTTGCAGTATAAGGTATATTTTTAAGACTTTCAACATTAAATCAATCATGGTCAGTAAAGCAGTCTTGTGCACTCTTGTTTCTCATTGTTGAAGGCCATACTGTAGCCTAAAAATGCTTATATTCACTTCATTTGAACTCTGGTAGATAGTTGTCTCATTTGCAATCCTATCACATCTCTTTATTTTTATATACAATAGCATATAAAGAATAAGATAAACTGCCTTTTCAAGGGGAGATAACTTTTGCACAAACATGATCAATTCAAAGGTAAATGAACTAGATATCACTGAAAACCAAGCAATTTAACACATATTTTGTGAACTAGCAAGAAAACGAGAATAGATATCCCATGGTCATTTCTAATTCTTGAAACTGATATAGAATTTAGTATGAAAAAAAATCCACTGTTGAAATAATTTTCCAGCAGAATATAATAAAAGAGAATTTGTTATAAATATTTTTATTGGCAATGTTTTCTGAAGCATTTTATCCAGAGATCATAACCCCTGCACATTAACATGGAGAACAACATTCAGATATGTACATCATTCTACATTGTCTAAAAATATTGGTAAATAGAAAGTCTGATTGTATAAACCTTTGTAACTATAAATCTGATATTCTATAGTACAAAAAATAGTTAATATCAACATTTGCCAAACATAGCAGATTTACCAGATCTTTCTAACTTAGTATCTCCACTTAAGGTCTGTGTTCCCCCAAGTGTTAATATGTTATTATGTTTTTTTCTGATGGGGCAGCAATGCATTGTAATAAAAAAATGTGCCTTCACAATACTATCATATCAAATCTAATGCATAAATTTAGCCAACAGTCTTTTTGTTTCACAATAAAAACATTCACTAAAACAAATCATTCTTTTTTATTTCACTTGAAAATATTTTTTTTTCTTTTTCCTTGGATTTAATTAATTGATTGATTTTTTTTACTTGTTAGCTTAAGGTCCAGTTCTATGACAAGAAGGTCAGTCCTTGTTATAAAAGGTTTATTATTCTGCAATAAAATTTGCACTTAATTAAGAGGGTTAATACAGTTGAAATGTTCTGATCTGGCTTATGGTGCAGGTGTTCTTAAATGAGTGGACCTGTGTATATATCATTTATTGGTTTCTTATCCTTCAGGTAAAAGAAACATCTTAATTGAAAATGATTTTTAGAAAATTGATAAAAAACTTCCGATAAACCATACAAAAATAACGTAGTACTTTTGAAAAACCTAGTAACCACCCAAAAAGGCAATTAGGAGACCGGCCAGCATTTTAAACTTGTCATATTATCACATACAACATATCATATCACCTCCAATAGTGACAAGATGTTTCTACCTGGGTTCAATGTATGTTTTGTCTGGGGAAGATGACATGTCTTCCTACGGACTGTTACCTTATGAGCTAGCACGTTAAAAAATCCAGCTCCGTGTGTCAGTCTAGTACAAAGCAGGGTAAATATTCATATTACATTAACATGTTCTCATCCTGAATACACACATATTAATATGCAGCTGGACGTTAAGCAGCCATCCATCATCATCATCATCAATGTATGTTTTATTGCCTAAATTCAGCACTGGGAAGGTTTTATAAGAATCTCCAATGAACAGATTTGTTCTAGATTTGATAAATCAGCACTAGGAAGGTTTAGAAAGAATCTCAAATGAACTTACTTTTTTTTATCTGATAAATCAGCTATTATTGCAAGTCTCCCTGAATTAAAATCTGTGAGTTTTCATATCTGAATGGAATAATAAATTACCTTAAATAATGGCAACACCAGGTTACAGTGATTATATTTTTAATAATTACATATAACCAGAATATGCAATTACTAAAATATACAAGTCATTATTTTACTCGCATGTAAAATACAGAAACTCACAGTTTAGTTTAATAAACATCACAAAATTGTTTGGCAACAATCAAACTTCTATGGCATAACCATTCTTAAATAAACACCAGCTTTAAAAATCTGCCACCTTTAAAGTAATGGCCAAGTATTTCTGATATTTTATCAATGTCAAAATTTCATACAATATAATATGTGTTCACATGAGTGCCTTCATTTATAAACTCTGTAATATAAGTTGTGACTGTGAACTTTTAGTGTCTTTCAGTATCAAAACTAACTGCTTTTGAAAAATTTAACCAACTGATTTACAGTTTTTAAGTCAATATTTGCAAATCAATTAAGCTTTACTGCAAATTTTATATGTGCAAATTGTAAACAAACTTTTAACACTCACACAAAATGTGAAAAGTGATTTTTTTTTCTCTCACAGTTTCCTTAAAATTGGTTGACAATTAATTATATAATGTAACATGACACATTAATAATATGAGAAATAAATTTACCACAAATGGTAGTTTTAAACTTAGTACTTCAAATCTGAAAAATCTTGTTAACATTATACTCTAATATTTACACTAAAAATGCTATCTATAGCAAAAAAAATTCCAACCTTCTAAAAATACACACAAAATACATTGTAAATAGACATCACTAACATTGAATCATATTTAACAAAGTTATTGCACATTATGGACAAATGTCTTTTTTACATAAATAAATTATATAAATAACAAATTTTACTCCCCATTTAAAGTAAAGGCTTTATAAAAGTATTAGGCTGATAAGGCCTTTATACCAATTATTTTTTAACAGAATGATAAAAAAAAAGTAAAATGGATGAGACACCATTACCAAATATTTTTTTTATACAACTCATTTCATCTGAAAACTTGAAGGTTTTTTTCTTTAAAAAACAAGAAAACATTATATAATTGCCAATGACACAACAACCCATCAATAACAAAAAGTGGAAGTTTAAAGGTCACAGTTTTCAGGAACTTAACACCTAAGGCATTTAAGGCACCTCAAAATATTTTGGTAGAACCTCAATGAAAGTTGTTTAAAGTATTGTTCTTTGGAGAAATTTAAATTGAGTTAAACAAGAAAAAGTTAAGATACTTAATAATTGTTAATAATTACTACGTGCAATTGATAAATACAACATTTATTTCAGGAACATTCTTTACTTTGCTGATACAAATTTTCTTATTTATACATACAGCTATAAGGCTATCATTTTTACGACAATATGGAAGAACATTTTATCATGATTCAAACATCACAGTTGATTCTTCTTTCCCTTAAAAGTAATTTATTTCAGTTTATTAAGTCATTTTAATTAAAAATATAAAGCATGTTAAAACACTAAATTCTTTTATAACCGTACCATCATACCCCAAATACCCTTCTCCAATGGTAATACAAAATATATGCCTTTTTCAAAATTGTTATTATGAAGTAGTTTTGTTAAAAGGTATTTAAAATGTAAAACTAGTTATTGATTTTAGTGACTTTTATGCTGTTTTACTTGAAAAGCCATTCTGTATTCCCTTTGGATAACATTTTGTACTTAAAAGTGTCATTTTAACTGACAAACACACATGGCCTGAAATCAGCAATAAACTCTACTAAATCTTATCTTTTTTGGAAATCTTATATATTTGAGTAATGAGAAAATTAGTTTATTAACCATACATATATGATAGACACAATATGATTTTCATATTTCTGCAAAAAAAAACTAATGGCAACTAAATTAAAAGCTAAATATACATCAATGTATTTTACAAGTAAAGTTGATATTTGGGACTTCAAAATAACCTGTCATTGAATAAGGTTAGATTTTTTGTAGTTAAAATGAATAATGGATAACTTGACTACTAATTAAAATAGTACAGTTAAATAAAAAGAAAACAAATAATTTCTAATTGGCAAAAGCATATTTTGGATGATCAAGAGTAGCCAATGAAATACCAATAGCTTATTTTGTGATTAATCAAGAAATAGCCTTTAAAATAAAATGGATCTATAAAACAAAGACAAATAACAACAAATGGGTCTGAGCAAGAAACAAGTTGAGAACATCATATTTTCAAAACAATGTTGCCATGGTTTTTTCATTAAAATAAACAAAAGACAAAATGAAGAATGATAATGACAAATGTTGAGATTCAGAAAGAATGTAAGACATGATCTGATTAAAATCTTGAACTTGTGCTATAATCTACAATGTGGAATGTTTAAAATAAAGTATAATACATCATCTAGAAACATCAAATACAGTCAGTATTTTTTCATATAGGTATTTTTGCCTTTTAGAAGATAAGAATTTATAGGGGATTTAAAAAAAGTTAAATCTGGAGTTCAGATATATTTTGGAAATAACTTACTTTCATATTTATATATTTGCCAGCATTAATGAATCATTTTATAGTTGCAAACTGAGATATGACTGATACCAAAGCAAGGAAGTGAATATCTTTAATCATCAAATTTAAGATTGATGCTTTAAATAATAATTAATCCAAGCAATTATCCCAATCTAATGCAAAAATGAAAAATCTGACTAAAAATTAGAATTTTCATACTGCATCATGCATATGCAAAATACAGCTGGAACATCAATCATGAAATTAATGCTTGAAATTATCAAGTTCTAGTCAGTACAGATATAGACAAATATAGTTATTTAAACAAGCTATACAAACACAAATAATTTCAAAAACCTTTGAATTCCAAAAATAAAACACTCCTTTTTAAAACACATTTTATTGATTGCAAATGAACAAACTAATGGTTAAAAGCTGGTTTCTTCATATAAATCTTTGATAGAATTTCTTGCATGACATCAATATAAGCACTTTTAACTAGCAGAAAAAATAATACATTTTTTTTTACATTCATATATATTTAAGGTTTTATAGACAGATGTTAAAAAGAAACAAAATACATAGCTGTAAAAACGTAATGGAAGAAAAGTATTTTTTTGCATGACAGTCAAACTTTAAAACTGTTTCTTTGGAAAAATTCATTAGTTTATATATGACATGATATTCTGTACAGAAAAATACCCAAAAATGTTAACATGTGTGTTTTGTTATTTCATGAATACAGAATTAAATCTGAACAAACAATGAATAAATTATAAACTAATAATACACATTAATTATCGACATCGGTTTTGACTAGAGTTTGTGGCTCCATCTGTCATCATGTCATCGTTGTTTGGAGCTCCTGCTGAAACGATAAAATATAATAATTAATCATCATATAATACACTGTATTAAATTGACTAATGTTGTCTACTGGATTCTTTTATTCAAAGTTCTGCCAATCATAAAAAGTAGCATTTCCATATATGTAAAATATTACACTTAATTATTTCTTTACAAATATTTGATTCAAAGCAGTTGTTGGTTCCTCCCTTGTCAAGTACTCAAACAGATATATATGTGATCTGTTTAAAAGTCTTCAACTTTCGTAAATCATTTTCTAGCAGAATTTTGTTATTTAAGGTGGCACCATTTCCAAGAGAGTTGGTCAATCCATCATTACCTGCATGTTTCTGAAGAACAATATTTGGAAGAAAATTTGAAAAAAAATATCCACCATTCTTATTCAAGATCTGACATTAGCATTGTCATCTTTGGAGATACTAAATACATACTGTAAGTTCAGAAATTTTTTGCAATGATATTATTATTGCCAAAATTGTGACAAGATAGGTGTTTCTAAATAAAATCTTGCATTTCTAATTTTGATAGCATTATTGGTATGCAGCATGTTGATTTTTCAACAATCACGATAATAATAAATGCACACAATTATTTCTGAAATTACAGTATTTATTTCATCACAATTAGCATAAAAAAGCTCCAAACTATGACTTAGATTCTTTAAATAAGGCCCAATTAAGTAATAAATTATTATTCTGTAATAGGACATGATATAAGAAATCTGAGTTACAGCATTAAAACTTGCATCCTGCACTTATTAATGCAAAATAAAACTACTTGATTGCTGCAGTACTGAAAGACCGAATTTAAATCATAAGAAATTTAACAATGCAATTTCTTCTAGTAAAACTTCTTTTTTTTATTGCATAAAACAATGACCTTCATGCATATAAATGCATCAAGCTTTCAACATGTGTAACTTTATATTGTAATGCATTTTTCAAGGAAAAATATATTTCAATGCTCCTTTGTTCACTATATAAAATAAATGTGATGTCAATAAAAACAACAGATTTACAGTGGTTTTTGATCATTGTTGAAGGTCATACCTTGACTTATTGTTGCTTACATCCACATAATTAGTTCTCTGGTGGGAAAATTGTCTCATTGGCAATCGTACCACATTTCCTTATTTTTATATTAGAGAAATTACATACAAATTACAATCTACATGCAGTTTCTAAAATTTGTAAATCAGTTGCCGAGTTAGATTATAAAATAAAAGTAATCTGTGCCAATTTTCAGATTATCAAATAACATAAAAATATCAATGACAACCATTTCTACATAAGCCTAGTTTTTCATGATACATTGCTGTATATTCAAGCAAAACTAAAGGAAACTAAAGCTGAGCCTCCAGTATTTTCTTCATTATGTATGGTCAAAATATTTTGGTAAATAGGCACATTAATTCCACTTATTGTTGTTATAACTCAGTGTTCTCCCAAGGCTGTTTTAGCACATCAATTCTAGGTTCTTATCATGCTATCTACATTCACAAGGATGCTAAAAAATGTCACCCTTCCCTTTTTAACAACAAAACAGTTATTGACAAATTCACAATTAAATGGCTTAACTTGACAGCTTTGAAGTCAATCACACTATTAATTACACCCCTGGTCCTGCATTTTTATTTAAAATATACTCCAGAAAGTTATCTTTGATGACAAAAATTTATGTAATCATATAATTAAAAGAAGCTATATCAACGAACATTCCCTTGAATGATTTTAATTTTCTTAGAACCAGTTGTTGGCATGATACGGGTTATGTTCTTCTCATATATTTTATGATGGTATGATACTAAACCCCCAACGGGAGGGATTGTGCTTGATTTTCATATGATGAAGATATAATCTTTTAATCAGTTAAATTGAGGTCTGGAGCTGGCATGTCAGTAACTGCTAGAAGTCCTTTGTTAATTTATGTATCATTGTCATTTTGCTTAGTTTCTTTTGTTACCTATTCTAACATTGGACTCAGACTATATTTCAACTGAGTTTTACTGTGAGTATTGCTATGTGTTTGTTTATTCTACATTGGCTAGAGGTATAGGGGGAGGGTTGAGATCTCACAAAACATGTTTAACCCCGCCGCATTTTTGTGCCTGTCCCAAGTCAGGAGCCTCTGGCCTTTGTTAGTCTTGTATGTTTTTTAATTTTAGTTCATTTATATGTTTTGGAGTTGTGACATCCATTTTCACTGAACTAGTACACATTTTTATTTAGGGGCCAGCTGAGGCCCGCCTCCGGGTGCGGGATTTTCTTGCTGTGTTGGACCCATTGGTGGCCTTCGGCTGTTTTCTGCTCTTTGGTCGGGTTGTTGTCTCTTTGACACATTCCCCTTTCCATTCTCAATTTAAAAAAATAAGTTATTGAAAATATTCCAATGTTCTTGGAGATGGCAAAGGTTAATAGCCCTATAATTATAATAGTAGTAATAACATATACAGGCATGAGAGCACCAGATGGATGCCCTATATTTCTTTATCGATCCTCTTTCAAATAAGTGACGTTGTGATTGGCTTAATGCTGTCACATGGTGACCCTCTTTGGATCCTTAGGGGGTCTGTCGCAAATGATATTACTTATAATGTCCTGCCCTCTGCTTTGCGTGGGGGACAAAAATAAGGAAGATGTGGTATGCTTGCCAATGGAACCTAGCTCCACTAAAGATGTAAACATCTGTCAATAATTAGAGGAAGCAGCTTTGACATTCAGCTGAAGCATCACATAGACTGTGAGTTAACTTTCAAATCTAACAGGTTTAGCAAACTTAAAATAATTAAAGAAATGGAAGACATGCTGAAAAGGTAGAAGATAAAAAAAAAAAAAAGTGGAAAATATTTAAGCAAACGCCACAATAAGCAGAATGCACCATTTTCCTTTGTACTTACATACAGTTTACTAATGCTCAATGGATAATGAAAACTCCTGAATTTTTGTCTCTCCCTCTTTACATAATCATAAATACATTATAATTTGATTTTCAACATTTCATGTTACACAATACTTTACATAAAAATAAGAAAGGCTTCAATGAGAGAAACATCATAGATGGAAACATTTACCCTGGAAATTTTATTGTGAATGTGATGGGTGCCAAAATTTCTAGGGAGAACACTGGTATTGTCAGGGAAATAGTATTTCTGATAAAATTTATCTGACTCGGAAAATTATCAGAACTCCCCAAGGGTCAATATTTTAAATATGTTTAATTTTATAAACAGGGATATGGAATGTTATTAAACTTTTTCAATAAAGAAAACAATTGTATACAAAACATGAAACAAATTGGTTCTTGTGCTTTCATTTGCTGTAAATGTCTTACCGTTTTGCATAGCTGATTTTTTCTTTTCCTTTTTACCATATGTAATGACAGCATTGTAAATCAAGTCTAAAACAAAGATAAATTTAATTAATAAATATGGCAAATAATAACCGGATAGGTAGTAAAACTACAGTAGACTCTTGTTATCTTGAAATTGAGTCAACAGGAGTTTGACACAAGGGGAGTTCAAGTGAAACCAATCAAAGGAAGAAAACTAATTTGGCACAAGATAAAACCAGCATTGCATATCCTGATCATACATTGTATTTGTGGACATTAATACAAATCACGTTCCTTTAGAAAGTGATTTCATTTCTGTGCTGGATTATATGCTGTATATTTCAAATATTAATTTTATTCAATTTAAATTTTTATGTTCTGTTTTAAAACAAAATATACAATGAAGTAAGTTTATTTGAACAATACATGTTTTATAGACTCAAGTGAAACAAGTTTTAAAAAAAATTCTTTTGAATTCTTTTAGAATGGATGAACATGACATCAATTGTCAGATTCCAGGTAAGTAGTAATCATCCCTTTTTAGAACATTCACATTTAGCATGTATAAACTTATTTGTTAAAACAACTCTTATAAAATTGTACAAGATATATATGACTGACCTTTCCATTCATCGACTGTGTGCTCTTGTTCATCAACTGTATGATCGTATGGTTGTGGCGCAGGCTATAATTTAAATAAGTAAACAAAGATTATGAAAAGTCTAAAGCTTATATTTATAAACACCATACCAAAATAAAAGCTGGAAAGTCTATTTTATTTTTCACAAAGTCTTTAAAAGTTTTATAATTTTGATAGTATTTTCCTCTAAGTATTATATTGCAATAAAATATGTATTACCTGTTTATGAAAATAAATAACTTGACACAACATACAAAACACATTTTATGATAAATTTAACCACTTCAGATTTAATAGAACGTTTTAATTACTTTTGAACTATAGTAACCAGACGCACACCTGTGCCAGTATTAATCACCTGGTGAAAAATATCCTGTCTGCTAATGAGGACAAATATTTGCAAATACTAGTTTGTGTTACTGTTCATTTTTGTAATTTAAATGTTTAATCTAGGTCCTATAGTTCTTGAGATAACAACCAAAACTGCATAAAAACAATAAAAACCAACATTTCATTGGCAATCATTGCAACAGGTTGTCATATTTTTTCTGATATTTTCAGGGTAAACATATCCTGTTGTGCTGATATCTTTTTTTAGGAATTTAGGCTTCTAACATCTAGCAACAATAGTTTTCATGATAACAGCCAATAACTAAAAGGGATATTCCAGGGGCAATAACCCCAATACAAGTTGTTAGATTTTTCAGGGATGATACATCTTGTCTTACTGGTAATTTTTGCAATTTACACTTTTAACCTTAAAGATAATAGTAAAAAGCTGTGAACTTTGGTAAAAACGTACATTTCAGGGGCAATAATACCATAAAGAGTCTTCAGATTTTTCAGAATTTTTTTCAGGTAAACAAAGCCTGTTGTGCTGACCATTTAGCCTAGTCAGTTTTTCTCTAATTGTTTTGTTTTTAAAATATTAGCCCAAACTGTAGTTTGACCCCTATGTTTTATTTTTAGCCACAGAGGCCATGTTGGTTGATCAACCTAGACGAAAAAATCTCAAACTTCATAATGAACATTCTATACTCTATAGATAAAGCTGACAAACCTTGGTTTCAATCCTCTTAGCAGTTTCAGAGAAGATTTGTAAAGAAAAATTTATGGAGGACAGGTGATGGACCTCTGGACAAAAGACGCAAAGTGATGACAAAAGCTCAAATTGCCCTTTGGGCCTGGTGAGTTAAAAACATTCAACTTGTTGCAATGATTTAAACTATTATGTTGTGTAAACAAAGCTCATGTTACGAAACAACAAATTTGTTAAAGGATTACTCAAATAGTTATTAGCATTTGCAAAATAATATGTTATGCATGAAACAGATTTACATCTTGCACAAAGAATGAAAAATCTAATAAAGTGTCTTGATGGATAAAATGGCTGCAGCAGAATCATGATTTTTCCATTGATTAAAGTTCATAAATAAAAGGCATGAAACAATAACAAAACCAAAATATTAGTCCAGAAATTTTTGGTGTGAATCTTTTTTTGACAATTTTGAGTATGTACCAGATACACTATCAAACTCACTGAACTTGACCACCATTTTGATCAGTGGTACTTTTACGCTCTGATGTTACAGATTATAAAGGTGTTTAGATATATAACAGGTTAAAATTATAACCTTACCAATATATACTGAAGGAAGGATAAATAAGTTCTAAACACCTTGTACATTGTAATTTTCTGATTAGTTTTTAAGAAGAGCTTTTCAAAATCTGCATGCAAAATAAAATTAATATAGGCAAGCTATGCAAAAGAAAAGTGGATATGTCTGGTAGCAGCAAAACTTCCACCATAACTTCAATGTAACTGATATTTAAAAAAAATGTATTCATATAATATAAATTTCATTAACCAGTGTCAAATACTTGACCATTTTATTCCAAATAAGATCAATAACAACATGCAGATTTTGCAACAAAATACCATTAATGGTTAAATACCAGGCTCATGCTTAAAATGTGAACTTTAACTCACCGCATGAGCTTCACCGACATGGACACTCACCCCATTGACCTCACTTTCATCATACCATACATGTATATAAGGATGCATTAAAGCTTCATCAACAGAAATTCTCTTTTCAGGATCCACAACAAGCATTTTGGATAATAAATCTCTTGCCATACTCGCCCGTAAACCTGGATGTTCAGTACTGTCTTGTGGAAATATCACATCAGGGAAAAGTCTATCAAAGTTATACCCTGCATATCGTGGCCGGTTTTCTACATAGTTCCTAACTGTAGGTTGCAATCGTTGCATAAATTCCTTAGAAGGTGTCCCTAATTGTTCAATAATTTTATTCCACTGATCAATATCTGTACAATTATTAAAGAAATACATGGAAATTATGACGCATGAATCTGGCTGTGAATTTCCACAAATGTGCACCAACCTTTTTTCACAAACTGTTTCCAATATAAGTTTATATGGTAAATCATTTCACACTTTGCTGAATTTAAAATTTGAAGGGGAATTTAGTGGTGTGACAGATTTCTGGAGTTAAAAAAAAGTGTTGTTTTGAAAGTATATGAATTATACAAATAGACCTTTTGTAGGTATAGTTTTTGTCAAAACAATACATAAAACATAAGGAAACAGAGGTATATGAAAGAAACGGCTGTCCACCTAGTGGTACTATGAAATTTTAGAGGAACTCGGCCACTGATAAGATGTATAAAAAAAAATTGTTACTTGTATTTTGCAATGTAAAAGAATGCAGTACAACATCATTGATATATCAGTAAATTATGGATTTACATATGAAAAAAATGTGTCAGGATGCCCTCGCAATTAGCCATAGGTACCATGAACTTCAACTGTTACTCACAATTATACACTAATAAAGGAAAAAATAATCATAATAGACCAATGTCTGATGGCATAATGAAATAGAATAAGTCTTGTTTTATTGATTAGGATACGATCACTTCCTGGAAACATGACAGCTCCTCTGATCAGTTCTGCCATTATACAACCTACACTCCATATATCAACTGAAATAAACAAAAGTAACTACAACATCAAAAGTCATATTTCTTTTCATATTTACTTTAAAATATCTGATGGTCAGAATAAAAAAGTTAGGCATATCATAATTCCATCATTTCAACATATAATATCTTTGATGGTTGCTAACATTGCATGAAAGCAAAAAGTCTACCACCAGGTATATCTGGACAAGGGCCTGCCAGTTTAAAACTGACATTTTTAATTGAGTTACCTTTGTAGACATTTAATGCTGAATTTTAATGGACATGATATTTTTTATGTTCTGCTGTTTTGATACTATATAAATTTATTATTCTTCTATGCATTAATTTCTGTCGCTTAAATGGGCATAGATGATTTCACTTTCCGCTGAATTGGTTTGAAAATCTGGCGCTAAAATGGGTCACACTTTAGCGCTAAAATGTCCTCTGCCGATGTTGACCTCTAGATGTCTTTTGTTTTGTGAAGAAAAATATGTTATTCACCTAAAAAATAATTACAGGTTTACTATTGAGAAGCATTTTCATTAGAATGGAAGAAAAGAGATCTATCTTATTTTTCAATCATAATACAGAATCTATAATAAGGATATAGATCATCGTCCTACCATTTTCTTTGTATCCCATGCCTAAAATGACTTCAGGTGCCCTATAATATCTTGTGACTACATAAGGAGTCATCATAAAACCTGTCCCTTGTGTCCTTGCTAGTCCAAAGTCCAGTATCTTTAATGTACAGTCTGACTTCACAACAATATTACTTGGTTTTAAGTCCTGAAATCAAAGAAATTAATGTTTAAAAGACAAACTTCTGATAACTTTTTTGCAATTACTTTCAGTTACTCAGACAGATATTGAAGTAGTATACTGTGAAAGTACTTTTATTTGTTGGGTACCAATTTTCATGGTTTTTGTGGATGGCTTTTTCCACAAATTTAAGTGTCAAACGAAATATAACAATTGTTGACTAAATCAAGACATAGATGGAAAGATCCCCATGTTGGTTTGACTTCATGGATATGGGCATTATTGATTTAATCTTGAAAATACATCGAATATAAGCAAACACACTATCAACTATAATTACAACTTCAGATAGGATTTTAAAAATCCTTAAAAAAACCTAAACTCTACGACTTTTAACATTTCTATTTTCATAAAAATAATAGTTTTGATCGATGAGAGTCAGATTTCCGGTGATGATATGCCAGATGATAAAGTGTTCATTTTATCTACTCATAATTCTCATACGTAAATAAAATCATATTGGGCTTGCTTTTTTTATTTCAAAAGAATTAAATTCTACAATTCAAAATATATTTGTAGCGTTTTCCTATGTAACCATTTTCTTTAAGTGATATGTTTACGGCCCAATTAACGCCTTTGATGATCGTTAATCTGTTGATCTCAGGTTAATTAGTGTCATTATTTCTGATTTCACGTGTGCAACAATTAAAATGTTTACTTTGCAATATCCTTCAATTGAGACAATTTGTAAGCATAGCTTATATCCGAAAGCAATTGTTTTATAAAACACTGCTTTTCAAACACATTGAATCAACTTTGTAAAATGAAAAATTTCGTGTAAAATATGTTTTTATGTATATTCCGCACACCCATAATGCAGAATCAGAATGAATAACAAATTAGGTTTCTGACTTAATTCTTTATTATGCAATGATGCTACATGAAGAAAAAAATGAAATTTGTAATGACCATAATATTTTGATATTTATCAATAAATATTCTATTAAAAGAATATTGCACATAAATCATCTTAATATCTTTAAGGAAGATAATTAAAGAATTTGAAAAGATATCAATGTGCCCTCTGATTTGTCAAAAAAAAAAAAAAAAAACATGGTGAAAATGTAAAATCAACTATTTATCTTATTTGTTGCTTGTAGTACTGTATTATCTGCACTCCTGTCTGCCAATTTGAATTTTTTAATAATTGCCTGAATTTGGTAGAGCTTTTGATCGATGGTCAGACTATTTTGACATAAAATATAAGGTATCTTATTATGATTTTTTTTTTTTTTATGTATAAGGGTTTGTCTAAATGCATCCAATATAATTGTATTATGCTGTCCGTTTTATAATACTTCTTATTAGTAATACATTATAGTTACCCTATGAATAATACCAGCAGAATGAAGATGTTTGATACCACACAGTATCTGGTACAACAAGTAGGACATTCTATCATGGTCTAGGTCCATGTTAATCACTTGGCACAAATTGGCATCCATTAATTCCATCACAAGATATCTGTTAAACAAAGAAGGCAGAAATATCAACTATAATGATAATGCAAATGTTCACATAATTGATATTTCCTAGGACCTTAACTTTCGTTTTCATTTGTTTTTGTACTCAATAGAGAAATAATATCAGCTTTATCAAAATCGTTTTGGAACTACTTACAAGTCAGTTAATCCCTTTTTTTTCATTTCAAAAGGGGGCATACCTCAAAACAAAATTTTTATCGTTTCTATTTTCTTTTGGTTTTTGTGTAGTTACTGTCTACAGAAAAGCAAGTATTTCTTATTGTTTCACAAACATTTTCATAATAATCTGTATTACACAAAAAAGGCAATGTACAAAAGTAAATAAATTAATAGTTATAGGTTTCATAATGAGTGAGAATTGGTTATTGCTTGATATTAAATCGAGTTATTTAATTTTAATATAATTATAAACGAGTCTTTGGCAAGTTTATTATTACTATTCAAATTAAATAAAGTGAGTTGATATCAAGCGATATCCAATTCTCACGAGTTGTTAAACCTATTTTTCTTCTGGTGAACCTTCTTATTGTGTAAAATGAAAAATTCTGTGAATTGTTGATCTAGTCTTTTGCACATACCTGTATGACTTCATATGTCCTGTTCTGGGATCTAACTTTAAAGGGATAGTAGTTACCATTTTGATAAAATTATGACCAAGTTTTAAAGCTGGTAAAATCAAAGATATGTACTAAAATTTCACATGAAGATTGCTGGAATGTTTACATAAACTACAGAAGTGTTAATAATTGATAATTAATATCATGTTGCGTGCCTTTTCATCTCAATAATTATGCATCAGATTTACTTCCCAAACTTTCCCTACACAGCGAGTGAAATGACCCAGATATAAATAGATATGAACATGTGCATTTTGTTTTCTAATGTATTTGATAATTTCTTTAAATCAAACGTACATTTTTGACACCATTTATCAAATTATGTAAATGGCAAAATGTAACAAAAGCCTGCATATTATTCAAACCCAACGTTCTCAAACAATGCCGACAATATATACATGTGTTTGTGAATTGAATTGGGGCCATCATGAAGGATACACAGGAAGAATAATATTAAATTGTATGAAGTTGATTTTTAATTTTTGCTAAGTTGGGAGATCACTGCCCTTAAATTAATAAAGATATCTTGGACAATAACGATTTGAACATGTCACGATTTGTTTTCATGTGATCTGGAATAATTTTAATGAAAAATGTAGCTACTATCTGTTTAACATCAGACATTTTAAATTTTTTTATATGCCTCAGAATGTAATAAAATGTGCCAAAAAGAAGATTTTCAGGTGAAAAGTGTGAGTGTTTTGTGTATTTTTGAAGAAATCACATATGTGGGTTGCCATGGGCGAAATGTACATCGTCTTAACCTTTGAAAGTCATCAATGAACTTACGAATAGCCAATGGAAATGTCATAATATCGTCTCATGATGCTGTATAAGCCAATCAAATTAACACAGTTTTTGTATCAATCACACTTCCTGCAGTGTGATACAAGAAATATCTCTTCATACAAGAAATAGATTATAGGCCACAACCATGATAAGGGAACTTCTTTTACCTACATTCTATATCACTTTTGAGCTGTTTTTATATATGTTTACTCGGTTTGTTCTGACATTTTTGAAACTTACAAAGTGTTTCTTAAAAAAAAATCTCTTGTTGATTGATTGTTGGTTGCTTAACATCCAATGGCAAATATTTCATGCATGCTCAAGACGAGAACAAATCAACAATAAATACAATAGGTAGGTCCTGTAATAGAGGCAGTCCGGGATGAAGGTCAGGAAAATTTTAGACTGCCACGGGAAAATGAGGGTATATTGGATAGGGACCCAAATTTAGCCTTACAACAGGCCACCTACGGACCCCTCAAAGAGTTGTTGCAAGGGTTCTTAATGTGCAAAGAGCGTGGCACTCTCTTTACACGAGGCATCAGATTTAAAATCTCTTGTTGAAGATCATACCACTATAAGGTCAAGTAAGTGCCTGTTCCAAGGCAGAAGCCTTGAACTCACTAACAGCATATTTTTTTGTCTATTTACAATAAAATGCTTCGCTGGGCGCAGCTTGATACGACCGCAGAGGTCGAACCCTGAACAGTTGAGGCAAGTATGGACACAACATTCAAGCTTGATACAGCTCTGAATTTGGATTGTGATTAAATATTTGACACAGCATAGGTTTCTGACACAGAAAGAATGTGGTCTAAGAACTTGAATTTTTTTAATTTACCTATTATGGTCCAATGTCCAAAATCAAAATACATGGTTAGATTCAGCATATCAAAGAACCCCATATATTCAATTTTTGTTGAAATCAAACAAAGTTTAATTTTGGACCCCAACTTGGACAAACTTGAAAACTGGGCCCATAATCAAAAATCTAAACACATGTTTAGATTCAGCATATCAAAGAACCCCAAGAATTCATTTTTTGTTAAAATCGAACTAAGTTCAATTTTGGACCCTTTGGACCTTAATGTAGACCAATTTAAAAAACGGGACCCAAAATTAAAAATCTAAATACACGGTTAGATTTGGAATATCAAAGAACCCCAATAATTCAATTTTTGATGAAATCAAACCAAGTTTAATTTTGGACCCTTTTGACCTCAATATGAACCAATTTGATAGCGGGGCCCACAAATAAAAAATAAAATCTAAATACATGGTTAGATTCAGCATATCAAAGAACCCCATATATTCAATTTTTGTTGAAATAAAAAAAAGTTTAATTTTGGACCCCAATTTGGACCAACTTGAAAACTGGGCCAAAAATCTAAAATCTAAATACATGTTTAGATTCAGCATATCAAAGAACCCCATATATTCAATTTTTGTTGAAATCAAACAAAAAACAGTTTAATTTTAGACCCCAACTTGGACCAACTTGAAAACTGGGCCCATAATCAAAAATCTAAACACATGTTTAGATTCAGCATATCAAAGAACCCCAAGAATTCAATTTTTGTTAAAATCAAACTAAGTTTAATTTTGGACCCTTTGGACTTTAATGTAGACAAATTTAAAAAACAGGACCCAAAATTAAAAATCTAAATACACGGTTAGATTTGGCATATCAAAGAACCCCAATAATTCAATTTTTTATGAAATCAAACGAAGTTTAATTTTGGACCCTTTTGACCTCAATATGAACCAATTTGATAGCGGGGTCCACAAATAAAAAATCTAAATACATGGTTAGATTCAGAATATCAAAGAACCCCATATATTCAATTTTTGTTAAAATCAAACAAAGTTTAAATTTGGACCCCAATTTGGACAAACTTGAAAACTGGGCCAAAAATCAAAAATTTAAATACATGTTTAGATTCAGCATATCAAAGAACCCCATATATTCAATTTTTGTTAAAATCAAACAAAGTTTAATTTTGGACCCTTTGGACCTTAATGTAGACCAATTTGAAAACTGGACCCAAAATTAAAAATCTAAATACACGGTTAGATTCGGCATAACAAATAAATAAATGTGGTCAAAGATTTTACAAATCTAATGCGCCATACTGTGCAATTAAATATTACTTCTTGAAATTTTTCAATATTTGAAATTTGAAAAAAAAAAAATATTTGAAGAATAATTCTTTTTAATTTCTGACATCTGAAATGAGAAAAAATTGACCCCCCACAATTTCTTTTAACCCCCCCCCTTTTTTCCCCCAAAAAATTCTTTCCCTCAAGATATGGTCATAATCTCAATCAAATTTCCAATGGAGTTTGCAACCATAATTACCCATTTAAATTTACCATAGTGCTAACTTAATCTATTTTATAATAGAATTTAAAATATAGTGTCAAATCTTTCATATGGATTTTTTTGTAAAAAAAAAAGATGCAACATTTGCAGATATTTTTACTGGTCTTCCTTTATAAATATGCATTTCTTTAAACACAATTTAAAAGCAGTGTAAGGGAAGTAACCAGAACGTTGTATTTGGATTACCTCCCTTACACTGTTTTAAATTATCTTAATTGTTCATTAACCATTACTTTATACATAATTTAAAAGCAGTGTAAGTGAGATAATTTCAATGATGTATTTGATTTATCTCCCTTACACTGCTTTAAATTATGTTTTGTACTAAAGTATTTGTCCATTAACCAGGACAACCTTGTTTTTCCCCCTTTTTTGCCCCTAATTCCTAAACGGTTTGAGCCATAACCCCCCAAAGCAAATCCTAACCATCCCTTTGTGGTATGGAAACTTGTAGTATAATTTCAGAGAGATCCATACACCGTTCCACAGTTATTGTCTGGAAACTAGAAAATGCTTATTTTTGGCCCCTTTTTGGCCCCCAATTCCTTAACTGTTGGTACCATAACCCCCAAAAGCAATCCCCACCTTCCTTTTGTGGTATTGAACCTTATGGTAAAATTTCAAAGAGATCCATTCACTTAAACTAAAGTTAGAGTGCGAAAACCAATGTGTCTTCGGACGACGACGACGACGACGCCAACGTCATACCAATATACGACAGCAAAAATTTTTTGCAGTCGTATAAAAATGGAATAAACAGATATTGAGTTTTCTCTTTTGAATTCTTGGCACTGTGAAAAGTTCAGGTGATTCAGAGATGAGAGTGCACAACAATAAAATATAATTAAATTCTATAAGACATGAATTTACAAATTAAATACAATTGTTCTGAAACAAAACTTACACATCTTGGAATTCTTCTAATGACTTTTGAGGTGTGAAAACATTTAACAAACCAATAATCTAAAATACAAATATCAATTTGTTATCAATATGTTAAACTTGGCAATAGATTATTGTGCATGCATATATATATTTAATTTCTCATTATAGATCTATTCTATAATCTAGTTAAAACTGTTTTGTTCTTCCTTAATTTCATTCTCTTTTTTCATGTTTTTGCATTCTTCTCTGCAGTCAATTAAAATTATGCAACTGCACCAAAAATATTCTGTTACAGGGTTCATTTGGTACGAGTCACTTAAAATGAACAAAAGAAATTCCAGCACAGTGTCTTAGTGCATGAAATAATCTTGTCTCTGTCAGGGACTTACATCAGTAACAGCACTGTAGTATTTACTCAATAACATTTGTATCTATGTGTCATGAGTGTACCACAAATATCAACTTCAGTTCAGTAGGTAATGTAACTAGTGATGGAAGATAACCTTGTAATGTATACAAATGTACAGAGTGCACTTCTAATTTTGTTGTATATATGTTCATTTGATACAGATTTCTCTGTCAATCAGAGATCACATGTCACAAAAAATTGTTTAATGCACAAAAACTATTTCAATATAAAATAAATAGTACAATTTCCATTTTTGCTTTTTGTCACTGAATGTAGTTTTTTAATGCCTAACAAAGTTTATACAAATGTACAGTATGCATTGCAAGAAAAAAAAAATAACATTTAAAATTTACTAAATCTCGAAGAGTACATGGTAATTAAACTAAAATCTTTCTAGATAAACAAAACCAATAAGAAATGATTTGTAACAGAAAACCTATATTTTACTTGTCAACTTTATTATGAAAGCACATGTACAGTCTATATAAACATGTTAGTTGTATAATTGATTACATTTGTATACTGAGTAGACCCTAGTTTCTACAGAATGCTTACATTTAAATCTATATACTGTCAAAGTACTTTTATTCGTGGGGTACAAATTTTTGTGGTTTTCGTGGATGGCTTTATCCACAAATTTTAGTGTCCAACGAAATATAGCAACTGTTGTCCAAATCAAGGCACAGTAAGATCCCCATGTAGGAGCATGTCAACTACATGGATACGGGCATATAAACTAGAGAATACATCGAATATCAGCAAACGCACTATGAACTATATACAACTGCAGGCAGGATTTTACCATTTAATCTTTAAAAAACATAAACTGTAGGACTTTAACCTTTAAATTCTCATAAAGAAATATTTTTGATCGATGAAAGTCGATTTCTGGTGATGATATGCTATGATGAAGTAATCATTTTATCTCCTCATAATTCTCATACGGAAAAAAATAATTTCATTTTAGGCTTGCTTTTCATAAGAATTCATTCAACAATTCAGAGTACATTTATAGCATTTGTTTATGTAACCGTTTTCTTTAAGTGACATGTTTTTTGCCCAATTAACACCTTTGATGATCTTTAATCTGTTGATCCTTTGATCTCGGGTTAATTAGTGTCATCACTTCTGATTACACGTGTGCAACAATTCAAATGTTTACTTTGCAATTTCTTTCAATCGAGACAATTTGTAAGCATAGATGAACCAGCTTATTTCCGAAAGTAATTATTTTATTTCAAATTTGTTGAATGTTGTCAGTTATGAAAGACAAACAAGTTAGTGAAGATGAACACCTTATTTTGCAATGTCCACAAATCATTATAAAACAACAAATGACTATTATAAAGAATCTTCGTTTCTGATGGTTTCAAATTCTTCACGATTTTTTTCCCTCAAAAAACTAAAATCCATGAATTTAAGAACCAACGAACATGTAACTTTTGCTCAAACCACGAAAATTGATACCCACAAATAAAAGTACTTTCACGGTATTTACAATGTATATAAGAAACTTACATTCTTATGGTTAACTAAATCCATGAGGACAAACTCTCTGTATGCTCTCTTGGCATGAGTTACATTTTGGAAGGGTCGGCTCAGTTTCTTTATGGCAACATTTGTCTGAGTGACAGTATCACAAGCAGCACTGGAAACATATTTTAAAACTTCAAAGATTTGTGAAGATCAATGTTAACTGCCTTATCACATGAATATATGTTTGAAAGGACTTTTAAATAAACATGTTAAAATAAAAATGGACCTCAGTGTTCTACCCCACGATTTTATGGTGGTACCAAAGTGGTATCTGAACAGATTTTATAATAGAATAATATTATAATTGTGGTGCTATAATTTCAGGAATCAGTGTTATTTTAAACATCAAGGTGCTATCTGAAGTTGTTGGGGAGAACATTTTCCCTCTGTAGATTCTGACCAAACATTTTGTAAAAGAATAACTCGTGGCTTCAAAAAGCCTGAATTTCTAATTTGAAACATGTAAAGCTAAAAACATTTACTGAATGAAAGAATTGTGCATTTATACTAAAATTTATTTCTAAAAGCAAACCTTTAAATATTACATATATTTCCCATGTAAATCTATGAAAAACTGCTAAATTGATATTGACTCTTTAGAAAATCAAGTGGATTTAGTTTTTTTTTTATTATTGTTTTTAGTACATACATGTGTAGTAGCAGATGGTGACATGCATGTTGTGATATGGTACATGTACTATGAAACTTCATGTCAGTCTGCACATACCACAATCGTAGCCATTTTGGCTTTCAGATAAGAATAATCATAAATTGTATCTGGTCTATTTAGAACTATATTCTCCTGGATTTTATTTCACATGATCCTATGAAAAACTATAAATATCCTATTGTGGTATATATATATATGTAAACCTCAGATCTGTGTACGGCCTCAAATCCGTGTCCGTTTCTCAAATCTGTGCCCCATCGTGACGTCAATAGCTAATCTATGTCCGTTAAAAAAGATACTTTTATGTTTTCTTAAGTTATTTCCCATAACTCAATGTTAAGTTGGGATGTGTTCTGCATGTATGTGTTTAACAATTTTACATGCGTGTGTAATTATTGTACGATTTACATTTTATTGAAAAACTACAACATTTTCAAATTGTTTGCTTTTCTTGATCCATTGTTTAATTGTTCTGTAGTAGTTATCGTTACTTCCCTTTATTCATTACATATTGATAACAAATACGAAATATAAGTTAATAAACAACCTCAGACAAAATGGCATCTGTATACAAGCAACTAAAGATACGTGTATGGCCTTCAACAATGAATTGAACATATTCTGTATCGTAATCTGTAAACACATGCACCTATTTGTTCAATGTTTCAATATATAGGTACCACATAAAAATGTTTAGGGTATAATTTATTGCCGGTTTAGCAACGACATTTTGTGCCACTATCTTCTTGAAAAAGGTTTTTTTCTGGTGAAACTATTCCGGTTTCGAATCTATGTATTTTTTTAAAATCCATTGTGTACCATGACATCAACATTCAACAACCACAACATAATTCTGTGTACAAATTATTGGCATAACGAGCAGAGCATACATGTTACTTTATTAATGTGCCTTCAAGAATGAAACTACACATATGTTTTTACTTGATTACGTCTTGCTATGTCTTACGTCACCACATTTCGATAAAGGACATAGATTTGTGACAAAAATGGCTATAGATTTGATTTAATAAATGACATAGATTTGAGACAATACAGGACATAGATTTGAGACAATAAAAGACATAGATTTGAGACAATAAAGGACATAAATTTGGAACGTCTATGACGCAATATTAAAAAGGACATAGATTTGCGGAAAGGACATAGATTTGAGGCTTACATATACATATATGTAGCCATCTTGGATTTCAGATTATAATTATAAATTCTATGTGGGCCATTCATGTAAAATATCAATCCGCTCCATGCAATCTGTGAGAAGGTTTTTGATAAGTATGTTACAATGTGATTTCCATGTGTATTACATAGCGTTGAGTGTTCTTTACAAGGCTATTTTTTATCATAGGGATAGTGATGAGAGTTCTTTACAAGGCTATGTTTGATCATAGGGAAAATATTATAAATTTGATGTTGTACATTTTATACATCCCTTAAAACAGATTTGGTTGGGGTATTTTCAGTTTAAAGGTTCTATGGTTTGAGAGATGATGCAGATGGATTCAAAGTGATGATAGATGATCACATAACCCAACTTCAGACAAAAAGGTTGACAATACTATTTGATAACTTATTCTATTTTTTCATAACATTTTTACTAAGTTGTATTGAACATTATGTTCATACTTGACTTTTATACTAATGTATGCCATGTATATATTTGCATTTTTTGTTTATGCTTTTTCTATGATGAGGGCCTCAGGGAAGATTAGTTATATAGCTAACTGTGTAACCCTCTTAAAATAAAGTATTGTTGTTGTTGTTGTTGTTATAGCTCGCTTGAATTAAATGTATAGCAACAATATAAAGTGGGTTACCATCAATTCATGAATCACTGAATGTTTTAAAATGGCATAATTCTTTCAACCAATTTTCATCCAGTCCTCATTTTAAAACTTAACTCAGCAGTGTGCTATTAAGGAATATAATATGTCAATACATTTATGTTTTAAAGAATTTACTTAGAGCTAGAAACAGCAGTTCACTTAAAAATTTATTTGGTAATAATTCTACTATTCCTACAATGACAGAAACATGTTTCTCAGTTACAGAGAGACTATTGCTAAATTTGTGTCTAATTCTTAAAAATATGTTTAAACAAGTTAAAACTATGTGAAAATATGTTTAAACAAGTTAAAACTATGCAAAAATATGAAAATTTTGGTCAAATCAAAGTCAAAGATTTCATGTTATTATCTAACCATTAAGTAAATTTAAAAATAACAAAAAACAAGTGTACATGTCCATATGACACCTGCCCCACTAGCACTATCACGTAACAAAAAAACAAGTGTATGTGTCCATTTGACACCTGCCCCACTAGCACTATCACATAACAAAACAAGAGGCTGTCAGAGTGACAGCAAACCAGATTTTTTAACATTTATTTGTCCTGGCATTTTCAATATCACAAGGACCATAACCCCTGAACGGTAAAAGTGACAATCATCAATACTGAACTTGACCTCCATTTTGTCATCAGTAACAACATATTAAAATTTGAAAAGCTTTGGTTAAACAGTTCATGAGTAACAGCACCGACATGACTGGAATCACCATTTTTCAATCTTAAGAACCCCAACTCCTGAACGATAAAAGTGAAAATCATCAATATTGAACTTGACCACCATTTTGACATCAGTAACAACATATTAAAATTTTAAAAGCTGTGGTTGAACGGTTCACGAATTAAAGCATGGACACGACTGGAAACACCATTTTTCAATCTTTCAAGAACAATAACTCCTTAACGGTGAAAGTGATAATCGTCAATATCGAACTTGACCTCCATTTTGTCATCAGTAACAACATATAAAAATTTGAAAAGCTTTGGTTGAACGGTTCATGAGTAAATGCATGGACACTGTTTGGCAGCCGCCCGCCCATATGCCCACCAGCCCACTGTACATCCCCAAATCAATAACCGATTTTTACTTCGTAAATCCGGTTAAAAAACAAGTGAATGTGTATATATGACACCTGCCCCACTACCACTATCACATTTCTTTCGCAAAATCTGAATTTTAATTTGGCATACATGTATATGTTTTAAAATGTCATATATATAATAAACATGTATTTTAAGTTTCAAGTTGAACGTGTGACTACAATTTCATGGTAAACTACCTTAACCAAAAGCTTTTATCTGACATAGGACAGAAGAACGGACAAACAAACATATATGTACAAAAAGACTGGAAAAACAAATTCCTCCTTCTATTATAGGCGTAGAATAAAAACACATAGTTAAGGCTTACCACACAATTCCTTGTGCTCCAGATCCTATTGGTTTCAGGCTATGGTATCTGTCAAGTATTGTAAATGTAGAGTCGCCAACCTCTACAGTGTAAAACTTGGGTTGAACAGAATTATTCATGGTTTTCTCTTTAGTTCATTTCCATAGTTCATACAAGTAATAGTTTACTTCTTCACAAAAATATTTAAAATGCTTTTTAGACCGTATCACAACTTTTTCTTTTGGCTGTAAAAGAAAAAAATTGTATTCAGTTAAAACTACTAATCTACAGCATGTACACAGTGGGTTTCCTGCATTCTTAATATATAAAATTACTGACCTAAAGCTTAAGGCAAAAGATAAGAAGAAGACTAACTTAAAGGAGCATAAGCTAGTTTTTGGTTTTAAACATTTAATAAAATCCAGTTGTGACATAATATTTCGGTATGAGCAGTCAATTTTAGTTCAATTTCGTCGAAATAAGCTCAGAAACATTGATGATGTATTATTCACTTGCAAGTCGATAATTCAACTTATTTGAATCCTTATATATTATTCATGCAAACTTTAATTTAACCCTTAACTGGGATGGGCTATGCAAGGGCTTAGCATGTTTACTTATTAAAAAGAAATGAATGTCAACATTGAAAATTAGATATACTTTGCTGCTGCTACATATATATTGATAACTATAAAGTGATAGATTATTTTAAAATATAAGAAAAAGGACTAATATGTTTATGGGAACCAGCCTAAAAGGCTTACCATCGCATGGAGCAACATTTATTTTGATGATTATCTTATTCCTTGGCCTACAAAACCACGGGATGATGATAGGTACACATGCGTAATATATAATGCTGTAACTTACAGAGGCTACAAAAAATATATACATGTATTGACAGTTTGATTCACTAAAACTACTGACCACCAAAGTATTATCCTTTAATGAAACAGGCTTAGGTGTTTGCCCTTCATAAAATATAATTTTGATATTTAGTACAGGTCTGCCTCATATTATAAAGCAAAAGAACTGTTGACACAGAGATATGTCTCACCTGCATGTAAAAAAGGTAGAGACAGTGGGTAGGTAGGTAGGCATTTTCTTTTTTTTCGGCAAAGAGAAATTGAAGTGTAAGACGTTTTTTAGTCTTCATGCCTATGTGATTAAAAAAAAAACTTTTTCACATCAGGACAATAAAAGATTTTGAGTAGGCAGCTATTTTCTGGGTAGGTAGGGTTAGGGCAAACAAACGTATTCTTTTTTATGGCCTGGTGGTCGCCATTTTTGCATTTGGGAAAAAAATATATTTATGTCGATTAAAAGTCATGATTGGCGAAAGAAGTATAATGTCATGAATGTTCAACTTCGTCCATATTTTTAATTTTGTTTCAGGTTTCTCTGATATTTACCATTTTACAATACTCGGATTTCACCTTGAACTGTCGATTTTGTCAAAAAATCAATAATCAGCTAATTGCAATTGATAGCAATCTGCAACAATGGCCTAATTAATAAAGGTGTTAAAACAAGGAATTATTTGAATCTGGAATAATTTTTAATTCTGGAAAATTGATGAGAAATTTATGATGAAAACTAACCCAACTAAATAGGGTTAGCCATGCGCGCATGGCTAAGGGGGGTTAGTTAGTTCATACTGAAATGATAGTGAAAGTAAAATTAACCTTAGCCATGCGTGCATGGCTAACCCTATTTAGTTGGGTAAGTTTTCATCATACATTTCTAATCAATTTTCCAGAATTCAAAATTATTCCAGATTCAAATAATTCCTTGTTTTAATTATATTGTTTAATGAAAATGTGTGGTAAATTGGCGCCAAGTTTCAACTGAATGATTGTTTTTTCAACTTTGATAACAATAATTGTTTTGAAGAGGGTACTTCACAATCGTTTCAGCGGCACACCTGTTTTATGCATAGTTTCACGTCTCAACTTTTAGTTTTAACGATGGTTCCGACAAGAAAACTATTGTTTTAAAGAAAGTGTTCAAAAGTAACACAAATATCTTATTTTATTCTTTGTCCTTTAACTAGACAATAAACTGATTAATGATGAATCCCGTGTTTCTAGAAGTTTTACAGTATATCTATTTAGTTCTAGAAATTTTTGTTCTGATTGAGTGTTCATTTATTACAATAAAGAATATAAAAAAGATATGTAGAATTATAATTATCTATATAAATGAGACAACAATTAATGCTGCAACATGAATTTTTCTTGTTAGAAAAATATGTTAATGTGAGTTGACAAAAAAAAATTGAGAGCAGCGAAAAAAGTAATTGACCCAGAGGAAACCCTGCATGTACTTTAACATATAAATTATACAAAAAAAATGTCAATGACACATGAATGAAGGTGCAGGGCCAAATAATCTCCATGGAAATGGGAAATGACAATGCTAATACATCTGCATACATGTACCAAATAACGGTGTCTTGTCACTTACAATGTACCATTATTGGCTCGTCTTAACTGACCTATTCACACAACTTTTGACTGCCAGAGACAGCACTTCGACAACCAGAAACAGCACACTCAAGTTTGCTGCAGCAAAACAAAATTGTAACCTGAATAGACTCAGTATGCATAAAATTGAACCAGTTGTATAGGGAATACATGAAGGATGACTAACAAGCCATCTTTTCCAAAAAAAAAAAAAAAAAGGTACTGGCTACCCTTACCCACAAAAAGTAACAATAAGAAATAATTGTGACCTCCGAGACTAATTGCTGAAATGTATTTCCGGACAGGAACCCAATTTCATGTGGCATTGCAGGTAACAATAACATCATTTTTTTATTGTTACCTGCAGTTATTGTTGCACAGATAAAAAAAAAATAAATTGCTTCGCCGAGCGCAGCTGGATACGACCGCAGAGGTCCAACCCTGAACAGTTGGGGCAAAAATGGACACAATATTCGCACTTGATACAGGTCTGAATTTGGATTGTAACTAAATATTTGAAACATAATAGGTTTCTCACACAGAATAACTGTAGTCAAAGAACTTAGAATTGGTTATATGATTTGAATTTATATTCAATTTTATGCTTTTGTGCAATACACTATGCTGCTGCGAATTGACAATGACCCCCCCCCCCCCCCCCCCAAAAAAAAACAACATTTACCCCCCCTTTTGTTTTGCATTTGTGCAATACACTATGCTGTTGCGAATTGACCCCCCTCCCCCCCCCCCCCTTTCCCCTTTTAAAAAAAAAAAAATATATTTGAATTTTCTTTTTAATTTCTGAAATCTGAAATGAGAAAAAATTGTCCTCCCCCCCCGCCACAATTTTTTTTTCTCAAATAAATGACAGCTAATCACCTCAAGACAATACAACATTTCTTTATACATAATTTAAAAGCAGTGTAAGGGAGGTAATCCAAACATAACATTGTACTTTTTTTTAATAGTCCATTAACCAGGAAACCCTTGGTTTCCCCCCTTTTTTGCCCCTAATTCCTATGAATGGTTTGAGCCATAACCCCCCAAAGCCAATCCTAACATCCCTTTGTGGAATTGAAACTTGTAGTATAATTTCAGAGAGATCCATACACCGTTCCACAAGTTATTGTCTGGAAACTAGAAAAATGCTTATTTGGGCCCCTTTTTGGCCCCTTATTCCTAAACTGTTCGGACTATAACCCCCAAAATCAATCCCAACTTACCTTTTGTGGTTATAAACTTTGTGTTTAAATTTCATAGATTTCTATTTTCATTCACTCAAGTTATTGTCTGGAAACCAAATGTCTTCGGATGATGCTGACGACGTGATACCAATATACGAACGCAAAATTTTTTGCAGTCGTATAAAAACTTGTTTCAGTCTTCACAATAAACTTTTTAACCTACAAGGCAGGGGGACTTGTGGTTGATAAGATTTTACAAGTCCCTTGAAAATTCTATAAGTCCCCCCCACCCCAAATTACCATCCCCCCGAACTAGCGAGGGGGGTTTGTGGGCATGCCCCCAAAATTTTTTTGAAAAGTGAGATGCAAATTCCTGCATTCTGAGAGCTTTGAGAGTCATGTTTGGAAGATACTAAATATAAATATAAATTCAATAGGATTAGTATTATAGTACAAAAAGCAAAGCACCCCTAGAGAGCTGCGAGGGTACAGTGGAATCCGTGTACACTCCCTATCACGATTAATGGAGATGTGGCACTAACTTATATACAAATACCACCACGGACAATCCCCAACCCAACACCAAGGGAGTGTTAGGACACCAGTAAGTCTGTTATTATGGTGGAGGAAGCCAAAGTACTCTGAGTACATACCGGACTCCTCTTCGGAAACAGAAAAACAGAAGACAGATTGATCTCAGGTCAAAGTCAGGGGCCACTTTTACCTACAAAGGCCCCCAAAGTACCCATGTTAGTTTAAACTCCTGTCTAGGTACCAGAGATGTGTGTGGGAGGGTGCAAATCACCCTTCTAATGTAATGAAATTTCCAATGCCCAGACTCAGAATTGAACCCAGGACCTTCAGTACTGTAGCCAATGGTCTTAACCACTGAGCCACCCACCCACACACATACCCGGTATATCTGAGAACTTTCAGTCTTCGAATTTAGCCACAAGTCCCCAATATTTAACACAATATATATGTTTTCTTCATTTATTAAATCAATCTCTTGTAAATACAACCACGGTCTGTCCTTGCTCCAAATATCGAGAAAATTACGTTCTCTAACCCCTTATTATATTTGCGCTTTGAAATATGTCTGTTTTCAGTTGATGCCGGTCTTTTAATTGGCTTTCCCGGCTGGGCACCATTCATACACTTCAAAAACAATGCCATAATGCCATGTTTGTCAACATTTAGATATTGACTAATCAAAGAAGCCGATACAAAATGTATTTATCTTCAATACCTTAATCGATAAGTTCAAGCGGCCTCATTATAAAGAGTAAAGGAACAGTTCACCTGGATACCAGGATAAGAATACAGAATACAGGATAAGCCCTGTCTGTTAAAAACGACTAGATTTTTAGGTACGCGGACAGTGACAAAATACAAATACACAGCGGACCGGTGATTTCACAATATATACTAGTCCCCCAGGTTAAAATTTTCCATAAGCCAGTCAGACTAGTCATAACAGAATATTAACAAGTCCCCAATAAAATTTACAAGCCATGGACGTCGGACTTGTGGCTAAATTCGAAGACAGTTGTTTGATTTCCAAGCAATCAACACAAGAAAATTATGATGTAATAAATGGAGAATGTGTCCCCATGGACACAGATGATGCCCCCGCTTGCATACAACATTATAAAGGGACATAACTCAAGAACAATAAAAGTGACGCTACCCAAATTTGTACTTGATCTAAGTTTTGTGGTGATAAGTATTGTGTATAGGTTTCATGTTTGGTTGGGGCAAACTTAAGTTACAGAACAGAAACTAAAAATTTTGCAATTTTTCGATTTATAAAGGGGCATAACTCAATAATGGTTAAAGTGACACTACCCAAATTCAACTTGATCTGTGTTTTATCAGTGGAAGGCGAAATTAAACATTGCATTGTATAAAGCATTGATTGTAGTTGATTCAACTGGACAAAGGAAGATAACTCCAATTTTAAAAATTACTTGAACAATGACATCATTGATATTTTTAGAAAAAAAAGAAAAATTTTGCAAATTTTCCATTTGTAAAGGGGCATAACTCTAGAACAGTAAAAGTGAAGCCACCAAAATTCAAACTTGATCTGTGTATTGTGGTAATAAGCATTGTGTATAAGTTTCATAACATTTGGTTGAGTAAAACTTAAGTTAGAGATAGAGTGGAAACTAAAAATTTTGCAATTTTTCCATTTATAAAGGGGCATAACTCTAGAACGGTTAAAGTGACGCTACCAAAATTCAAACTTGATCTGTGTTTTGTGGTAAGCATTGTGTATAAGTTTGATAACATTTGGTTGAGGCAAACTTAAGTTAGAGAACGGAAACCAATTTTGGGACGTACTGACGTACGGATGTACGTACGCACAGACTGACATAATGTATCAATTAAATTGTTGGATGATTGCTGTTCATAACCTCAGAGGAACAATTTGTTCCAGTAGAGAAATTTCTAATGAAATTGCTCAACGAGAACAATCGGATCAAAAAGTATTTTCCAATGAGTTTTGGAAAATGCTAAAAAAGAAACAAGATGGAGCAGAAGGACATAGCCAGAATGGAACTGTTTAATGGGCGGTAAAGACATGCATATAGAGTTTGCGATGTGTTTTTGGAGTGGTACCATCTGAAATATATTGGCTTTAAAAATGCTACCAAAGGCTACATACTTGATGTGCAGGTAATGTCACAAAAAAAAGCTAAAATAATCCTTAAAATGTGTAAATGAGCTTTCAATTTATCATTGCTATGTTCAATAAATAATTTGCCATTCATACACATAAAGATGTTCAAATGTATGTAAAACATTGTATACGGGTCAATGACATGAAGACATTACAAAGTATACACACAAAAGTTATAATTTGCAAATGTAAAATTTTCGCAGGTAACAATAAAAAATATTATTATTGCCTGCTATTTCCGTATGAAATTGGTTTCCTGTTCGGAATTACATTTCGGTGTTTAATCTAGGAAGTAACAATCATTACTTTTTGCAGATAATCATAGCCAGTGCCTACACAAAACCCAAAATAATGCTCTCTAATCATAAGTCGTTATGCCTTATGTGGTACTTAATTTGTACATAAGAGATGAAGAACGCTGGTCATTAATTCCGTTTGTCCTATGTAAAGTCCGTTTATTTAATGTAACGTCAGCGAAATACACTTCCAGACGAACGAAATCACCAGAGTTTACTGTACATATATCATTTGTAATATAAACATATCGAACTAGTTTCAAATGTCAAATAATTATGGTAAATATTTCCACTTTTCGTAAAGCGTTGTGAGAGTTCTTCCTTTGTTTGTTTTATTCTCACCTGGAATAATTTCTGATTTGATGCTCTTATAGTTCTTCTTCAGATGATCATCCAGTTTCTTTTTCTTCAACACAGGTGATGAATCAAAATAATTTATCGACCGAGTAAGGTTGACTATTTCGCTGTAAACGTCATCGAATTTTGCGTAAATGTAATTATCGCATAAACGAGAATGCTTGTTTGCAGATTATTTAACAATTTTGTTTACAATTTTTACACATCAACGCTCAATAATATGAACATTCTTTTTGACAAGTAAAATATATTTTGATTTGAATTACAAATACTAAAAGCAAATCGAGTGATGAGGTTATAAAATAGGTCTAACACCTCCGATTTCAGTAAACTGGGCCCTGGTGAAATATTTTCGATTTCGCAAGTTTCACTTCAAATATTCAGTGGATATTCATCTATTAAAAATCTAGTGCAGCGTTACTGTCGCTATAGATCCAACGTAATTTAAAATGTATATGTTATGATCACGGGTTTATATAAAATACACCTTATCGCTATACACCTTATCGCTATTTGTCCGCCATTACTGGACATCACAAAAGTTCCCGTAAAATTTTGACGTCATAATAGAAAATATCTGACGCCACAATGGAAAAGTGATTGTTGTATGACGTCAAAAGTTCAAGCGGGACAGATTCTCGGGTCAAGCGGGAATAGCGATAAGGTGTATTTGTCCGCCATTACTGGACATCACACAAGTTCCCGTAAAAATTTGACGTCATAATAGAAAATGTCTGACGCCACAATGGAAAAGTGATTGTTGTATGACGTCAAAAGTTCGAGCGGGACAGATTCTCGGGTCAAGCGGGAATAGCGATAAGGTGTATAGTCCTTGATATATGATAACTTAATATTCTAAGCTGCCGGTCACTATGACAATGCATGTAAACTCGACTTCTCGGCCTTGTCTGTAGTATCCTGCAGAAGGCTAGAGCACAATTTTAATTGTAGTAACAATTTAAAATTCAATTAAAAGGTAAACGTTGAGCCTTTGTACAAACGTGAAAATAACTTAGCTATATGCTTCTTTTATGGAATTTCTCTAACTGAACTTTTCATTGACATTTTGCAAAACCGGTTATTACCAAACCTCTCTCTATATATATATATATATATCTGCTGCTGTCAGTGTTAAAGTGCAATGGTGACTGAAAAAGTTGAGTCCATTTATCAGTAAAATACAGATTGAAAAACAAAAATTTTTCTTCAGATGCTTATTATTGATCTTGAGATTACTAAGAACTGTCAAATTTTAATTACAACTGATCCATTAAGGTTTACAAATGTATCGTGTCAAAGATTTATTCCAAGACTATCTGTAAATGTTAACTGTAAAACAAACTAAGTCCATCTATCAGTGAAACACTGAAAAATTGAGAAATAAAAACTAAGTTTGTTTATCAGTAAAATATGGAAAAATGAAAATAAACATTTCAAAACTTTGCTTTGGAGTTTCTGGTCTTTTGATCATATAAAAGCTTCTGTCCAAATTTCATCAAATTCTATGAAGATTTGACAAAGTTGTTGATGTTTAAAAAAAACTTTTACAACACACTGAACCTGAATGTTGATGATGCCGACGCCATCGCCGTCGACGATGGAATCTGAATTGCTTTGCCTCGCTTCCGCGACATACATGTCGCAGGTACGACAAGAATAGTACTTGAGAAAAGGGAAATTACAGACCAGTTAGTTTGCTACCAGCTATCTAAAAAAAAATGAAAATACCATTGAAATTGACAGCTTGTTGAATATTTTGATAATATCTTCAATCATTCTTGGTATAGGCAGGGTTTAGATATCAATCAATCCTTTTAAAAATGGTTGAAGATCTTAATAAAACTGAAAAAAATGCAGCAAGTCTTAAGAATATATGCTTTTGATTGCCTTCCACATGATCTACTTTTACTGAAACTTAAAGCACATTGCTTATCTCAAACAGCCTTAGATATGTTAAATAGTTACTTGTCAAAAAGAAAACAGTGTATTAAAATTGGTGAATACATACGTACTTTGTTAGATATTTTCAAAGGGGTGCTTCAAGGGTCCAACCTTGGCCCCTTAATCGATGAATAATTTTTGTGTATACACAAGTGCGATTTATATAATTATGCACTGAGATGATAACACTTTACCTAAAGAAAACAAGTCTTTAGAAAGGATTATTACTTCTTTGCAAGAAGACAGTCATTCTTTATTTAATCGTTTTTGTAAATAGAATGAAGGCTAACTCCGATGCTCACAAGCAATCTAATTAGAATGTTAATCTCTGATTTCGTCATAGAAAGATCACAAGGGTAAAGCGAGTTACGATAGACCTGAATTTTAATCAAATTGGTTTAATTTGTTTATAATGATTGCGAATGTTGGAGGTGGTCTAATATGCCAAGAGAAAATTGGACCTGCCCTTTATGTGAAAATGGCGATATTGGTGATACATACCAATATCTCCTCAAATGCAACCTTTTTTACAACAGAAACTATGGAAAAGATTGATTGATTGGTGTTTATCGCCACCTTAACACTATTGTGCTTTTTCGTGGCGGTCAGTTTTTATAGGTGAAGGAAGCCGCAGTGCTCGGAGAGGACCACCGACCTTCGATAGGAAAACTGACAATCCTAGTCAATAAGATTATCATAGAGTCGAATGCACCTGCCCCGTGCGGGATTCGAACTCACAACCTCAGTGTTGACAGGCTAGTGATACAGTAGTTCGACTTCTTAGACCACTCGGCCACCGAGGCCCCAGAGAAATAAAAGAAAACTTAGATAAGAAATTCACAAAGAATTGTAATATTCTTAAGTTCAGGGAGGGCTCGGATTTTCATTTCTATATCTTTTCATTTTTTTGGACCATTTCTTTTTACTCTTTGATTTTCTGCCAAGTGTTCTCTATTCTTTATATTTCATCACACCTTTAATCTGTTTCTATATTTTTTGGGCCCTTTTTTAACCATTTTTTTCATTTTTACATCGCGATGACCTTGAGGTCATTCCGATGTATTGCTATCGCCTAGATTTCCATTATGTAAATTAGTTTTGGGTTTGTAACCGATCTATAAACATGATAAATATGCGCACATAAACGAGTGCAAAATAACATTCCTTATCGTTTGATATAAATACATCTCTTCAATGAATACTGATAAAAATATTTTTGTTTACAACATAAGTTAATAATATGAAAATGTTTTGTAGTTAGATATATATATATATAAGTAAAAAATCATTGATAATATCAATGCACACGTACCGAAAAATTTTGTTAAAGCATGCGGAAGAATATCTCAAAGAACGTTTTGCGACAATATCGGCAAGGACCGGTAACTCTGTAATTGTTTTTGCGGGAAAATATGAATGCCTACTCGTATCCAATCTTAGAAAAATCGAATTTTTACAGAAAAGTGTCCACCATGCACTTGCATTGCACTATTATTAGAATAGTAGAACAGAATGATATACAAAAATGAAATGGATGCAAATCATATATATATGTAACTGTTATTTTAATATAATATATAACAGTTTACTGATTTGTATCACTACAATATAATAGTTATTACGGTGAAGTTGAATTTCCTGTCATTTATTCATCATCCACGCACGAACTTGTCTCAGAAAAAAATATATCTCTGTACATTAACCTCAGTTTCAGATAGAGAGATATATGTTGTTTCTTTCTGAGACAAGTGCTTTTGACCATCCTCAAGAACTTGTGGTCATCCGATGTTCAGTACTTCAGTACTTTGATTGACCACTATTCTCTAATCCGCTGTAATTCCCATTCACACCCCCATTCACGTTTACCCGTTCATATACTCATACATGGTAATTGAAACTAGAAAATATACTTATATTACTGTATTATGTTATAAAGTAGGTCTTCTAAAAATACAACAGCATTTTATTTATGATTATATACAAGGCACTGACCATTCATGTTTTGTGGAGGGAGGAAGGTTTTTTTAAACAAATTCGGCTAGTTTCCATTTAAAATAAGGGGAATACAAATCGACATTCAGTTTTAAAAACAAATGTTCCTGTATGTTATTGAAAAAAGTCGTTTGTTATTTAGTAAAGTCCTATAAAGACTGTTCCGAGAAAAGATATTTCCCTAGAAATCGTACGTATACAATGTGAGTGTTTGCGACATTTCTTATATCGGTACTAAAATTCTTGATACTAAACATATATTTTTACTATTTCTTTAAAGATCGATTTTAGTTGGTAATTTCTTTCCTGATCACTTAGAAGATTTCACTCTTCACTTTCGATCTTTATCCTGAAATATTGTATTAGAAACCAAAAAAAAAAATATTCGTATTCCAATCAGCATGTACATGTAACGTGACGGTACCCAAATTGCACCTATTTTGACAGTTTTTTCACCTAAGTTTTTTTATGATAAAGACAAAAATTTCCATTCTGTGTTTATTTTGTAGCCGTATCCTTCTTTATTATATAGGTACACCAATTTGATTTTTAATCCCTATTGAGTCATAGAAAAATGGGTTTGAATCGACCTCCAAACTATCCATGATTACGTAATGAGGAGTACCCAAATTGCATCCATGCTTAAATTCACATCCTTAAAAATCAAATAACAGATGTATTGTTTTATTTTTTCAAATATTTAGAACAATTTGGCATTAGTACATGCTCACTATTCATTTTTTTTTAAAGGGATGCTTGTAACATATTTTTTTTGTTCATTTTTACGTTTTTGTGAACGTCGCATGGCGGCGTTTTTGTACATTTTTCTTTTCCAGTGAAAGCTTCATCTGTTGATATAAACTGTGAACGTCTAGTGTATATTTGAATATATTCACCTATTTTGTAAGACGTGTATAATGTCTTATAACTAAAATACAAATTGTTTAGTCTCAAAGAAAACTTTTAAGAATTTCTCAGCTGTTTATGTTGAATAGGTGCAATTTGGGTACTCGGTGCAATTTGGGTACCGTGACGTTAGTTGCTTTTGAATATAGACATTACACATAGGTGTCAGTATTTACACACCCATCGATAAGTTGTCATAAATCACGTATGTTGAAGCTGGGGTTAATTAACGGCCAGTTTAGGAAGTAAAATCAAGCTGTGGCTTAATTTCCTATCTAGATTAGCAGATGCAGTATAGCAATATAATTATGTTAGAAAAAATTTTGTGGTGACCCCGACTTGGGGGGGGGGGGGGGAACACGTGCCCCCTGTGTTTCCTGTAAATCCGCCACTTAATATAACATGCTGGATAAAACTTTTCTTTCAATTGATATATTTGTGATACCTTTAAATCGAATTCGTAGTACATCTTTTAGGTATTTTGAATTTGATGATGTCATTGGTTTGTGTGCACAAAGGAAGGTACTTTCCTGTTTCTTTAAAGTAGGAAGTTGAAATCAAAATGATTTTAACAAGTCCCAAGCAATGACTACACAGAAAACAGCAGAAGGTAAACACAGCATTTTTTTTTAACATCATCTACATCAAAACAACTGACTGTTTGGACCCTGCACGAACTTCTGCAGTATTTTTTGTTAAATTATCAGTCACTCCTTCAGAAAAAATAACAAAAATTCAGAGAGTTTGTATTGAAGGACACCGAATCCCTGTTTAAGATTTCCATTAGGCATTACCTCATTTCAATAAGGCATATGCTACTGGTTGATCTCCTGAAGGTGATTGGTTTAAACAATTTGATTATGGCATTTATGCATGTTGTTTTCACTTTGTTGTCATTATAGTTTTGATAGTTAGATATTGTATGCTCCTTATCAGTCACACTGTACAGAGTTTGTGTCAGTCTTTTAGTGTCTAGTAGAGTTAGGTAGCCTGAAATTGTCTAATTTGTGTTAATAGTAATGAAAATATATATATATTGTTAAACTTATTGACACTGATGAAGGCTATTTGTTAAGCCGAAATATTTTTCAACATGATTTCATAACATCATCTTCTTATATTACCATCTTCTATTAGTACTGTTGTGCAAATCTTTAGACTTATATAATTTTTTCCTTATCTGCACAGTATCGTCTATTCTAGACGATCCGGTACATATTAAATTTGCTGGTTGGTCCTTTTATAGACCTATATATATATTTGCAGATCTAAAATTGTTGGGCTGTTATTTAGACGATTATGTATACAGAATGTGTTTCAGCCTTGTATCACCATCACTGGTGATCAGATGGATAAAATCTGTTGTAGAGTTGTCACAGGTTCAGACGTACTTTTATATATATATAATAAGTACGTCTAAACAAGTGACAACTCTACGACAGATCCATCCATTGGATCACCAATGAAGGTGATACATGGCTGAAAACACATATTATATTCATAATAACTCTAAATATCAGCACAATAATGTTAAATCTGCAAATTTGCGGAAGCAAATTTTTGTTCTTCCCTCGCCGGGATTTGAACTCCTGAATATATATATATATATATATATATATATATATACAAGTCTAAATTGAAAACAACGTTCAAACCTATGATTGCGTTGGATAAAAAATGCAATTTTTATACGTGTGCATGCAAAACAAATTTCTTGGTAGAGGGGTCTAAATACAGCACAAACAACATTTTCCAAAAGACCAAAAAGTGAAAAAGTATATTTCATCAAAACGCATTTGACTAACAGGTCGAACAACTGATGTTCTTAAACCCTGCTGACTGCCATGGCGATTGCCAAATAAACGGATCACAAGATGTAACAAAATGGATCTAATTACTAATTTAATACCAAACAGGAAACAATAAACTTTCGGAAAAGATGGTATACCGCAAACATGAGGTGCAAAAATTTGTACACCATATCCGGATTTCGACAATCAATGTCTCTTCAGTGATGTTAGGAATCTAAACAGTATTATAAATTTTAAATGGCAGATGAATTTGCATACAAGTGTGAATACGTCTATGTCTTATTTATATGCTGTAACGATTTTAATATGAGGCAGGTGTTACCTATGAAAGGGGACGAAGTTCGTATAAGTTATTTTTTGGTCCTGTTGTTAGGGATTTTAGTTGTGAGGTCATTTTCAATGTAAACAAAGAAACGCTATCATCAGGTAATTTATATTAAAATAAAATTGTTATAATTTATATCTTAAAACGACGAAGATACAAAGTCGGCTTGTTATTCTTATTAGATACTAAAATCTGACTGATTGATAAGGTGAGTTTCACAAGAGAACACATTTTGTTTGCTATAAAATCGTATGTCGAATAAGCCTCCCTCCATCTGTCTGTATGGTCTTGTAAACGCTCTTATGTGTACAATTCTTACCAGATTTTAATGAAATTCATCAAAAGTATAAATTACCACTGTCTTTCACAGGGGAAAGTTATAACCTATGTATAAAACTATGGTCAACTGGTCAACTGGTATGGCAGTTAGCCAGTATCGTGCTTTAATGGTGCTGCATTGACTTGTCGTTGCATAATATTTATTTAGGCACAATGCATGTAAACTTGTGTGTTGTATTTTGGACAGCGATCTTAAAGGAAATTAATTTGCCATTGGAAAATTCCACGATACACAGTATACACATCCCAGTGATCAACAGCGTGTGGTTGAATTTGAACTTGAACTTGACTTCGCTCACAATATTGAATGCTAAAAATAGCTGACATCAATTTTGTCCACTGCACGAGATTTTCATATGGCGGGAAATATCATGTAATAGTAAACTCAGGTGACCTTACTGAACGACCGTGGGAAAAATCATTCAGAGTTAAATTTGCTATGTAATTATTGACACTTTTGTGCGTTTGTATTGAGGCTCTGGAAGGTCCATTTACAATTGATTTACCAGAATCTAAAATATAATCCTTTTCCAAATAAATAAACACGTCTTCTTTAATTATTTTATTTTTTATATTTTATCAGTCTGGTAGTTATACGTCCATGGTCAACAATATTCATTTAAGGTTGGGGAAAATACGGTGCATGTCGTTCAGTAGGGCGTTGGTAAAGATCCTCAGTGAAAATGTGTAGATCGTTAAAATTCTGTCCACTTATTATTGTAACATAATCTTTTCTTGTGGAATAAGTGCATCTGGGCACACGCAATAATTTAATTTAAATGTTTTTTGTAGATATATTTGATTTTTTTTTTTTTCATAGTAATTGTTGAAATATTTTTTTTTTCATTACGCCAAGGATTTATAACTAACATACGGATTATGCGCATCCGATTTTATTTTTTATAATTAAAGATCAATTACAGAGGTAAACGCATGTATTTTTTTCATATAATTAATTAAATTGTGAATGTTGTGGCTTGGGTGCGAAATTTCTCTCAGAAAATGCCTGTACCAAGTCAGGAATATGACAGTTGTTGTCCATTCGTTTGATGTGTTTGTGCTTTTGATTTTGCCATTTGATTAGGGACTTTCCGTTTTGAATTTTCCTCGGAGTTCAGTATTTTTGTGATTTAACTTTTTATAACAAAGGGCATGCATACAAAATTGATCCCTTTGTTCAACAGAGCTGTCACTTGACAGTTTCTTCTCGAAACTCTAATAATTTAAGTCAGTTATGTAACGAGATAGTGAAACATTGCAAAATAAATTGAGAATGACAAAGTTCACTTGTTGATCAGATAAATTTACTTTGCGGTTCAGATTGGACGAGTTACCTTAAAACCACATTTTGTTTTAAGCCAGTTGATTTTTATACAGTGAACAATTAATGCACTGGATATGGCTTTTTGAGTAAGTCATAAAGTTTCCTAATTGTTGTAAAATCGTCTTTGTTGAAAGAATACAATGTATGACCTGATCGGACTATAATAGAAATATAAAATAAGTTTTTTTCTTCATATTTTTCTTCATTCGTACGTTTTTTTTAAGTGACAATGACATGGGACAAAAACATATAATAATAATTATCTTCTTCTGAATGCTGATGTCACATCTAATCTGTCAAAGAAAGGAAAACATTTGTTATTAAGATTTAATACCGTGTTTTTAAAGCACACCGGTGCAATCAAGATCGATTAAATGTACATAGGTAAATAATCTGGCTAAGGTAGCAATACACAGTTAGGAAAAAAACTTAAAATTGACACTCATAATTTTTAAACACCCTCTTTCCCTTCCTTTCTAACAAATAAGGCTTAATATTTGTGTTATGCATGTGTATATTTATAGAAAGAGAACCTTCCATAGATTTGATTTCTTATGGTTATAATGGTGAAATATAATCTCTTTTGGTGTAACCATGGCAACAATCTGCATTTCTTTGATACAAAATATTGCAAAAAAGGGGGGTGAACATGTCACAAAAGTCTCCAAAATTTGGTCCAAAGGAAAATTTCAATCAATTACAGTGATACCTTTCCTGAATCCATAGACATATATCTATCAAGAGGTCCAAAAAAAATCATATGCATTTCTGCTCGTTTTTCCATAAAATTGAATTGAAAAGATCCAGCACAAAATCTTTGTTGATAAACACTACAATAATTTATGGACCTATGGGCGGTACGGATAGGAAAATACGGACTGTCAAACAGAAAAATGGCCTATAAAACATGCTAAAAACAATCTAAATGTTCATATAAACCCACTAAGAAGGCTTTATTATTCTTCAATTATCTAAAAATCAATTTTATTGTACAAAATTTTTCATATTTAAAAAATTCACCATGGCCATAATGCGAAACTAAACTTCTAACTGTGTATTGCTACCTTAAGGATAAATATTTTTTTTTTTCAATTCCACTGTAAATGGATTTCTGTGTTTTGCTAGCTTAAACGAGCAAATTGGCCTGCTAGTTTTGAAAATTGGTTCAGGAATAAATATTTTATGAAGGTTAGCAGTTGACACTGAAATGCAACCAAAAAGTGATTTGGTGAAACATGCCATGTCACAGTGTAAATCCTCCTTTTTTTAGTCAAATTTCTAAAACTATACCTTCTGTTCTTGTCTTTTCTTGTTTAAAAACTTAAATCAACCTTAACAGTAGACAAATTTTACAAGTTAAAGCTATTTTAAGGCTCTAGAATGCGAATTTTTTTGTGTATTAGCATACCAAAGCCTTTGTTAAAATTTAGCAAATACTGAATTAATTTATAACAGCGGGAACAAATTTAGACTTAATTCATGCTTAATTGTGACTTTATACAAGTTTGCTAAAATAATAAATTTGATTTAGTCACATGAAAAAATATAAATTGGGAGTATAATCCGTGATTTGTGGTGTGACACCAATTCAGATCCAATAAAATATTTTGCTGTTATATTAATTGATATTAATACAATATATACACAAGTTTACAAATTGTTTTCATCTAATTTATTTCATTTTTATGAAGTCTTAGATTGAAACATGTTATAAGTTTATAATTTTATTGTATTTTGTTGATAATTATTTATAATTTAATTTTGGATGTAACACGTCTTCTGATTGGCTGTTGTCATTTTGTTTATCAGCTCATAGACATAATTTTGTCATGTGACCGTGACGTCATCAATGTTTGTTCATGATAAACTCCGGTTTAAAATGGAATTAAGAATTAAATTATAAGAAATGACTGTAATATTTTTTCTGCCTATTCGAAATAACATAAAAAATGTGGTCCACACTTTAAATAACCCGCTATGCAGGTTATTCAGTGTGGACCACATTTTTGATGTTATTTCTTCATAGACAGAAAAAATATTACAGTAATTCCTTAAATAATTTAAACTGTCAAAAACAGGAAAAACTCATTTTGTACTTATTTCAACCAAGCCTGCAGATATTCCTCATATTGAGTGTAAATCAAGATCAGATTAGGAACAGGTGTGATTTTTCCTGATTTTGCAAATGATAGATTTTTGTTTGAAATGTTCCAGTTTGAAATGTTCCATCTGAGTGTTTGTTTAGTCAATTGTATAATCACGAGACACCTCTTAAGAACAGGACATACTTTGAAAAATATCACCTTTCAAATAATCGAGGTGAACCAAAATTGGGACACCCAAATAGAAAACAGAGAGAGAGATTTTGATGCATCAGCTACATACTCTTGAACCTGATGGACTTAATGAGAGGGATGAAAAACAGTTTTATCAAAAAGCAAAAGAAAAAATCTTGAACTTCATAGTATTTAACTAACACAATTATTTGTTTTGAATCTATTAATCGCAATGTACAATAAGCTGCAAAAATATGTTTAAAGGACATGTACGATAAGCTACAAAATTTTGTTAACAGCATCCAATTTGACTTGGATGGCTGCACTTGTCTGATGAAGCTAATTTGTTTAGCGAAATATTGCTTGAATATATAAAATAAAATATATCAACTATTTTTATAACACTCATTAGCGTGTTAAGGTTACCTTCTTAGGCATTTATATATAAATATATATATATATATATATATATATATATATATATATGTTTGCGGTATACCATCTTTTCTGCAAGTTTATTGTTTTCTGTTTGGTAATAAATTAATAATAAGATCTATTTTGTTACATCTTGTGATCCGTTTATTTGGCAATCGCCAATGGCAGTCAACAGGGTTAAAGAACATCAGTTGTTCGACCTGCTAGTCAAATGCGCTTTGTTAAAATATACTTTTTCACTCATTTGGTCTTTTGGAAAATGTTGTTTGTGCTGTATTTAGACCCTCTACCAAGAATAAAATTGAGAATGGAAATGGGTAATGTGTCAAAGAGACAACAACCCGACCATAGAGCAGACAACAGCCGAAGGCCACCAATGGGTCTTCAATGAAGCGAGAAACTCCCGCACCCGGAGGCGTCCTTCAGCTGGCCCCTAAAATTTGTTTTGCATGCACACGTATAAAAATTACGGTTTTTATCCAATGCAATCATAGGTTTGAACGTTGTTTTCAATTTAGACTTGTATATATATATATATATATATATATTCAGGAGTTCGAATCCCGGCGAGGGAAGAACAAAAATTTGCTTCCGAAAATTTGCAGATTTAACATTGTTGTGATGATATTTAGAGTAATTATGAATATAATATGTGTTTTCAGCCGTGTATCACCTTCATTGGTGATCCAATGGATGGATCTGTCGTAGAGTTGTCACTTGTTTAGACGTACTTATTATATATATATAAAAGTACGTCTGAACCAGTGACAACTCTATGACAGATTTTATCCATCAGATCACCAGTGATGGTGATACAAGGCTGAAAACACATGATCAATAGACCAAAACTTACCTGTATTATTGAGCTATTTTACACATACAATTAGTATTGTTAAACTTATTGACACTGACAAAGGCTGTTTGTTAAGCCGAAATATTTTTCAACACGATTTTATAACATCATCTTCATATATTACAATCTTCTATTAGTATCATTGTGCAAATCTTTAGACTTGTATATATCCTTTATGATAGATAATTTAGCTAATCTGCAATCAATTCCATCATTCATGCCTAATATATCATGTACTATGTTATAACTCTTAGATTCTTCTGACGAAGAAAGGTAACACTAGGACACCGAAAGCTGAATTTTTAGTTCAGTCTAGGTGACTAAGTGGTCTAGAGCGCTGGACACAGTGAAGGCGGTATTGTCTCGATATCCCAATAGCATGAGTTCGAATCCCAGCGAGGGAAGAACAAAAATTTGCTTTCGCAAATTTGCAGATTTAACATTGTTTATATATATAAGTGTCTATAGATAGCAACACATAACATACAAATCTATTTGAGTGTAGATTAATCAGTACAAAGATTAATTACAATTACTCAAATGAATTTATAAATTGCCTAACAATGTAATTTTAACACACTATTTAGTATGTAAGTATTAATATGTTAAAAATATTTACAATGTGATAAAAAATAAACGCAATATTTCGCTAGACAAACTAGCTTCATCGAGCATGAATCTATCCAGGTGAAATCGGATGCAGATAAGAAATTTTTGCAACTCATTGTACATGAATTTTGCTGCCTTATAAATAATTCAAAGTTAGGATGAAGTTCAAGATTATTTATTAAATTACGAAATTTGTTGTTGAAGTTTGCAACGTGCATTGGCCAATATCATAGAGATATAAAGGATGATGCTGTATAATTAATTAATCTTTATCTTTCCTGTATCTTTTCTCGTCTTTTTCATTAAGCCCATCAGGTTCTAAAGTATGGAGCTGGTGGATCGATGCATGCTTGATGAAGCTAGTTTGTCTAGCGAAATATTGCATCTATTTTTTATCGCATTGTAAATATTTTTAACATTTTGATATTTACATTCTAAATAGCTTATTATGCAATTTATAATTTTATTTGTGTAAAATGTATTAATCTTTGTACTGATTAATCCACACTCAAATAGATATATATGTTATGTGTTGCTATTTATAGGCACTGATGTGAAAAACATTAGCAGTAAAAAACTTATTTGTTAAAAAATCATAAATTTTTAATAATTTCTTTATGTGCTAGGATTTCCACTATATATTTTATAAATCTTTTGGTTTGGCGAATAAAAAAATTTCCAAAATTATGAAGAGTACTGGAGCACAATTTTGTACAGTTGTTGTTATTCTTGATATTCAACAAAAATTCGGTAATCTTAGTATTTGTTTAAAAATTACTTATTTTGAGAAATATCCTTTTCTGATAGGATTTCAATAAAAATTGATATAGGTATGATATCCTACTCCAAATATCTTGCCAGCTTAGAAAATTATGTGTTTGCCACCATTTTCAAAATAAGCAACATTCAAGACATCATTCAAAATTCTCATCCAAGAAATTTGATAACTACATAGAACATTATAGTTGAACGATATATCATAAAGAATTACAGGGATTTCATTAATTGCACAACCTTTGTTTGTTTAAAATTGTGTTGATATGGTAACAATTGTTAATTTCCCGTTACTGAAATCTTGCCAATATAAAAATTGATACAGTCCACATGTTTTTAAAAGATATTGAAAAGTTGTAATATTGAGGAAGTTATTTATCTTGTATACATAATACTTTTGTACTACAACTAGTGAGGCACTTTAGATTAGAAGCAGTGATAATTGCTCCATCAAAGTTTACATATAAGGAAGGAGATTTTCTTATGCCTTACCTTCAAATCACATGAGTTTTCATGGTATAGATTCAGTGTAAAGTTCATGAGGGAACAATGAAGAAGGTATGGTAAGATCCATTATTTGGCCCATGAAATTTCAAAAATAATTCACTGATACCAGCCTTTCAAAATTGTGTTAATTTTATAGATCTATTAATGAGGCCAAAAAAAAATAATTCATGTGTTTCTGCTAACCCTTCCTACCCTAATTTTTAGTGCCTACCCTAACACTTTTTATGCCATTTTTTTTCAGCACGTTAGCGGAAACACATGTATTATTTTTTTTAGCCTGAACAGGTTAATATGATATGGACAGTTAAGTTCAGAAAGTTTACTTGTGATGTCACCTTCATTTCATAAACATGTTTGACCAAAAATGGCCATATTACGTTAAATGTAAGAAGTTTGAACCCCTAATGCCAATATGTAAGACAAAATTCAAAAATACTGATGTCCGACAGTCACATGTCTTTTAAACATCTGAAGGATGTTATTTGGTAGATTTATTATACTTTCTGATTTTCTAAATCAAGGGGCCAAAAAAGTTCTCAGTCTTCTACTTTTCAATTTTGCATCCATTTTATTTTTTATAAATTGTTCAGAAATTTCATGTCTGCTTTGATGTTGATTCCGACTTAACGATAGATATACCTGTATATTGATCAAGTTGATGCTTGTCATTTCTTACTTATTGATGTAACAGATGTATAATTTGTTTATCTTTTGTAGGTCATAAATAACAAAGGCCATAGGAATGTATCAATGATTACCTGTAAGTCATGTGTACATACAAATACAATTTTTTAAGATATATATACATGTGTCTCCTGTATTTTAGTTAATTAACAGGCATTTTATTCACCCTTTTCACTTTCCAGTTCAAAGTGATTTTGCTTGTAGAATATGTTTATGTATAATCAGTATATATATTTTAACTAACTAGGTCCCTAGTCAAATGCACCTTTGATCTATGTTTTATTGTTTATCATAGAAAATCAACACCTTTTAATTAAGGTGGGGTAACTATCCAAATGCTTCTGGTTAGATATTCATACATATAAATATAATAAAGATAGAAAGTCACTCATTTAAATCAATATCTGTAAGGTAAGAATAATAATGACACTTTCTTTATTTCTTGTATTCAAGGAAGAGCGAATTCTCCGTAATTGTATAAAATAGAAACAAATCAATAATTTCTTCAGGAAATATTTGGTGGAATTACAATGTATGTTTCTTCTGAAATTTCTAAATATGAACATTTATCAATTGCTAAATTAATCATATGAATACCAGAATACTTCCTGTGCATGATTTATGACTATGCATTTTATTTGTGTATTAAGTTATTGATATCAGAATTTCACTTGAAAATAAGTAAAATTAATGTTTTTCTAGTGATATCAGAGACATTGTGTATATATGTCTCTGGTGATATATATTGAAAAAATTGTACTGTTTCTTCTAAACATGATTAAATCTTTTTTCTATAACTTTTTTTTTGATTTACAGGAATAAAGGAAAGATGAATAACCCAATCCATAGACAGAGGATTACGAAATCTGGCTGGTTACGTAAACAGGGTGGTATGGTCAGAACATGGCATAGACGATGGTTCTGTTTAAATGGTGACTGTTTGTTCTATTTCACAAAGGAAGATGACCTGCGACCTCAAGGATCCATTTTCTTGCCTGGAAACAGAATAGCTGAGATTCAATGGACACCAGATGATTCAGATAAATATCTATTTGAAATTTGTCCAGGTAACCAAAAAAAAAATCAAAATTAGGGATAGGCATGCTCTAATACTAGCATTTGTGGCTGGTCTAATTTAATTAATTGCTTTTATTGTTCTTTTAAAGATTCAAAATATATTGTGTGCCTCTATGAATACACAGTATAGTGTATGAATTACTTTTTGTTCTCTCATAATTAAAACATTTGTTTTTTTAAAGGTAATCACTTTACATAAGTAAAATTAACTTCTAATTCATGGATTTTTAATACAATAATTGCTGCCTAATGCAGTGTAATGCTGTTGTCATCTCGCCTGTGACAAAATTTTGGTTGGCCAGCATTAGTGTTACTTTCCTACAGCAGCCAGTGGCGGATCCAGAACTTTATGTAAGGGGGACCCACTGACTGACCTAAGGGGGGGGGGGGCCTGCTCCAGTCATGCTTCAGTGATTCCCTATATAATCAACCAAATTTTTCCCACAAAAGGGGGGCCCAGGTCCTCCAACCCCCCCCCCCCCCCCCCCCCCCCCCCCCTGGATCCTCCTATGGCAGCAAAGGCTGCATTTATAATATGCATATTACCTCAATACTGAATACCCACTTTCACCAAGGATGACAAACATTTTTATTGAAGTAGTTCATGATTAGACCTTATCAGCCAGGCATTGTCACATGACCTGCTTCAGTGGCCAATACCTCAATATCGTATGCCCACTTTCGCATTTGTATTGAAGTAGTTCTAGATTAGACCTTATCAGCCAGGCATTGTCACATGACCTGCTCCAGTGTCCTAATTCAGTTTTGGGATGATGTTTGGATAGGTCAACAATAGTAGTTATGTGAATTAGGTGAGGGGTTTATGTCTATCTAAATATCTCATATGGCCTTGACCTCAAATTCAGGCTCAAGACGTCAGGTTAAGCTTTAAGGGTGAGGTTTTTGTCGAGCCTTCGACTTTTGTCGAAAAAGCGAGACATAGCGATCCTACATTCCGTCGGCGTCGTCGTCGTCGTCGGCGGCGTCCACAAATATTCACTCTGTGGTTAAAGTTTTTGAAATTTTAATAACTTTCTTAAACTATCCTGGATTTCTACCAAACTTGGACAGAAGCTTGTTTATGATCATAAGATAGTATTCAAAATTAAATTTTGTAAAAAAAAATTCCATTTTTTCCGTATTTTACTTATAAATGGACTTAGTTTTTCTGCCAGTTAACATTACATTCACTCTGTGGTTAAAGTTTTTGAAATTTTAATAACTTTCTTAAACTATCCTGGATTTCTACCAAACTTGGAAAGAAGCTTGTTTATGATCATAAGATAGTATCCAGAAGTAAATTTTGTAAAAAAAAAATCCATTTTTTCCGTATTTTACTTATAAATGGACTTAGTTTTTCTGCCAGGAAACATTACATTCACTCTGTGGTTAAAGTTTTTGAAATTATAATAACTTTCTTAAACTATCCTGGACTTCTACCACACTTGGACAGAAGCTTGTTTATGATCAAAAGCTAGTATCTAGAAGTAAATTTTGTAAAAAAAAAATTCCCTTTTTTCTGTATTTTACTTATAAATGGACTTAGTTTTTCTTCCAGTCAACATTACATACAGTCTGCAGTTTAAGTTTTTAAAACATTAATTAGATTCAGAAATTATCCTGGATTTTTACCAAACTTGGACAGAAGCTACTTACAATCAAAAGATAGTATAGAGAGGAATATTTTTATTAATTTTTTTCCTCATTTTTGTTGAGCCTGCGATTAATAGCAAAAGTAGGCGAGACACTGGGTTCCGCGGAACCCTTACGAATTTTTTTCCTCAGTAATCATACATGGTATGTCAACAATTTGGGTTTATGCATTTATTGTGAGTAGTCATATATGGCATTGACTTCAAATTCACGCCCCAGTGTGTATGAATATTCACAGATACTATATATAATAGGTCAATATTTGGTATGTGGATTGGTTACATGGACTATACGACTGTCTGAAATAGATCACATTGTCTTAGCATCAATTTCATGCATCAGTCTATTTTTCTCAGTATCTAGGTCTGATAAGTCAGCAGTATTTGGTGCACATTACAATTTTTAACCAGGTTTTCCCCGAGGGGAAAATCAAGTAATTAAAATGGTAGAAAACAGCAGGCGGTTGCGAACAGTTTCAGTGCAATAACTTATAAATGAACCAACCAATGCTTTTCAGATTTTGATTTGTTGATACTGATGACAAAATGGAGGTCTAGTTCAATATTAGCTATTTTCACTTGTACTGTTCAGCAGTTATGGTCCTTAATATAATTGAAAATGGCACTTTATGTTGTTTCCGTGCAATGCTTTTAAAATTTTAATATGTTGTTACTGAAGATCAAATGGTGGTCAAGTTGACATTGACAATTTTCCTGTTTTGCTGTTCAGAAGTTATGGTCGTTGATACATTTGTAGATTGGAAAATAGGCATAGAACCTGGCAGTTCAAAAAATACTATAAGAGCTTTCTAAATACAGAAAATCCAGTTTGCTGTCAATTTAACAGTTCATTCCTTGTTTTATTTGCCTTCAATGGCTTTCATAAAGCGCGCTTAACTAACTGGTAGATTGAGTTACAAAGGAAGGTGTAATTTTTCTGGTGATGGAGGTAACCCAGAAATTTTATTTTCCTGCTTTATTCACAGGCTTACATAGATTTAACATTTTGAGACCAAAAAGGTTTTAAACTTCATTTTGAAACAGCATGTGATCTTATGTATCATCATGTAAACTGATGTTATATACATCTCTTTATATATATATTTCTCTAATTTTCAACTAGATAAATTTCAGATAGTTATCTGTTGTTGCTGTCTCCTTGACATTTTTACCATATTTCTTTTTTTTTAAATGTAATTTTTTTTCAGAGACATATGTTACAAATTACAGTATAAACAAATAAATGTATTTTTGGTTGGAAATAGTCTTTATTAGAATCTTTCAAAATAGTTTATTTGATGATACATGTACTGCTATATATCAGAGGCTGAGGTACAACTAGGCAAATTTTGTTATTGTTTGGATTTTCCTTACACATGATATAAAGTCTAGTTTCTATACAGGCGAGAGAGTAGTTTTTCGCCAAAGAGCAATTTTCTTCATTTCTCACTTGATGCTTAAAAGTTTTATGCATAAATTTGTAGCAATTTAAGTTTAATGAATAATGTGTTATAAAGATGGTTATCATCACTAGCAGCAAAAGAAGTAAAAGATGAAAAATGAAATGGAATTAATTGGTAAGGCATATCAAGTGTAGTAGAAGTATTGCATCTTGGCCAGAAGTATTCTCTTGTCTATATGGAGTATGTGATTGAAAACTTAACCCAGATTCATAAATTTTAAGTAAATGAAACAGCAGATAATGATAAGGTGTTAAAACCTATAACTTTTCAGACCCAGAACTGTGTAAGTATATCACAATATTTTGTTTGTTATGCTTATATTGTTAATAGATTGTGTCTTTTTACTTACATAATATTGCACAGGTGATGATTTTCTTGTTTTTGGTCCAGTAATCGATGCTGATGTATTTCAGCTATCGTTTACTGGCACTAATGCACACATCTTCAAAGAAACACTTCTGTGATAACTTTGTGTAATATAGATAGCATAATATACATACATGACTTTGATTTGAATAGCTTTACATCTCTATGCATTGTGATTTCTGTAGTGCCTATAAGCGCTTGTCTGCTTTAATGTGGAATGTTATATAAACCTTATGGAGATCTTTTGACATGGTCTGCTTTAATCTGAAATGCTATAGTTTAAAGTAATTCGTATGACTTGTCATTTCTAACAAAAATATGACAAGTTTTTATTCCAAGATAACAAACAATTGCTAGTTCCATATAAACTAATTATTTTTAAAAGATAGGTGATGTATGGTGATATATACTGTTACCATGGTTACTAATCATTCTGGTGTTTTTTTTTTTGTTGGCACTGAACAAAATTTAATTTATATCCAATTTTAACCTTTTAAGGTCTTTCATTTTGTACATATGTTAACATACATGTACATTGCACAAATTAGTTATGGTCACAGGTATATACTATTGTATATTATAAACAACATACCAAAAATGTTGTTTTGTTTATATATTAACGTGAGTTTCTCATAATCAAGCATATATAATATTTAGATCATCTTCAGAATATGAATTAGTTACTTTTTATTCACTTAATTTTTTTTGTTTTTTGTACAAGATGCAGTGATCTTATATAAGTATGAACTTCCTATAACGGGATGTCCTCCAAAACAGTATGACCTACTTTACAGATGCATTAACTTGTTTATAAAAGATACAAGATGTATTTATATGTGACATTTCCAGATATACTTAAATATAACCATATGTCAAAGAAAGTGTGTTTTTAACACATTTGATTCCTGAATTGCATGTTACATGTTGAATATTTTGATATATTGATTTTGCTTCTCAGCAACTGTGTCTTTGCACTTATATTTTGATGTTAAAAAAGGGGTATAGTAACTTGTTAATGAAACCCAGTTTAGAAATTTGCTTTAAGATGATGGAAGAAGCACTTATGAGAAAAATGATAAGCAAGGTCAGGGAATGAAATTAAGGACATTTATACAAATTCTCTTTTACATTTACCTATTAATTCACATCAGGGCTAATATAACAGACACATTGAGAACTAAAATAAGAAAGAAATCAGAAATCAATTTGTTGATTCTGAAATAAAAGTTAATGACTGGCACTGGAGAAATAATTTATAGGGTCAGAACTTAAATCATAGGTCAGTCAATTTAGTTCTGTCAAGAGCTCTTTATTTTTCAAAGGCACAGCTTTATCTTAATATGTCAGATTTAGCATTTCTAGTACAACTGGCCTTCAATAAACATCACATGGACACATTACACTAACAAAGGAAATTTTAACAACACATACAATTATAAATGAAAATATATAGAACAAAGAAAAGCAGTAATAACTCTTGCTTGTTTTAGTTTGTAATGATATTTATGGATTATATCACATTGTTATAAGATACTTTTTACATTTATTAATAAAGTAAATGAAGACATTTGATTGTGCTTTCAGGTAAAACCCAGTCGAGAACAGCACCAAGTGAAGTTTTTCAACTCTGTGCCGGTAATAATGACGAAAGACAGCAATGGATGAAAGCTATAAGAAAAGTCATATACTCAGATATTGGAGGAGGTATTATAACTGTCTAAGATGACCAAGTTATCAGAAACATTTGTTTACATTAAAAGTATTAGGAACAAATATTATGGTATATTTACCCCCTCATAACTAATTTATTTAATTATATATACATTAAGGTAATGCTACTACCTAAAAAACAGGATTAATAGCTTTGGTTAAGTTTTGTGTTTTGGTCCACTTTGTATAATAACATTAACTGTACCAGATACCCATTTCAACAATAACATATTGGCCAATTTGCAATAAAAAAGTGGTTTTTTTTTTGTGGTTTACAACCTGTACAGATCACGTCAGCCAATCAATACCATTCTAGGTGTTCAAGTCTTGCTGCGGTCAATTTGCTTTAAATTTATTAGTTACTTACCAAAGGTCAGTAGTTTTTTCTCTGGTTTCCTCTTCGAAATAACCAGACAACAAAGAAATTGTGTATGTATATAGGAAGTGGCATTCAATGATTAAACCTTCACAAACAAACAAACAAACTAAAAGCTAATTTACAACTGATGTTGCAATTTGGTGAAAAAAAATACTAATTATGGAAACTTGACTATTTTGTAGCAATTTTTGGTCAGAGTATAGAGGAGACAATGATGTATGAGCAGCGAATGAGGAGATCTATTCCATATTTGATTGAACAGAGTGTAGAATTTTTAACACAATATGGTCTAGAAGTTGAAGGTATTTTCAGGTAATCAGCAATGTAATAGAATAGAAAATATTTGTACTTCAAAACTATTTTAAATTTTAGCACCAGTAGTGCTGATGATAAGATAATGTTAATCTTCTGCAACATTGTTTTCATATATGTCAATCTGTTACTAAAGATGGTTGCAACAATATACAATTATGGCCCGTTGAAAAGGTGAATATCCAAAATAGTCAACACGAGAAGGTTATTTGACTGAGGGCGCAGCCCGAAGTGAAATAACTTTTAAGGGTTGACAATTTTGGATATTCATCGCTTCTAAGGGGCCACAATTGTTTTATTATACCGAACTAACAGTGGAAGGGCATTTTGAATCATTGTAAAAGCACTTACCCTTACTTGAGTCAGTAACAAACACAAGTTGACATTCCAAAATACATGTAATTTGTGTCTTAGAATTCTCATATGTACAACAAAGGTAGATTCTTTTTGTAAAATATTGATGGCCCTGAAAAGGACAGTTATTAGAGATATCATCGGCACAAGATGCATGTCAAAAGCCTTATTTCCTCTTCTCTCGATCAATGGGCTTCCTGTAACTTGAACATTGCCATTTTGTTTATTTACGTCTGTGACGTCATTTTCATGAGTACAAATCAACAAACTAAAAAGGTTATTCGCCGGTGAATAATAGGGTTATTCAACCCTGGTGTTAATTTTTAGGGTTATTCGTTCTTCCTTGCAATTGAATGAAAATTAACTGAATTATTCCATGTCACGTGATAACGTTTTACCCAATAGAATTGTTTGAAATATATGTAAGGTATAATAATAACCGTAGTTGACACTTACTGTACAAATAACTGATCAACTCTTATAGATTAAGATGCACTCAAGTTTATGTACAAAAATAAGGTGCAGATGATCTACTATCATGCGATATCATTTTCAATGAACCCAGAGGACACACCTGTGGTAAAATACAAATATATTGCTGATCTGCAATTTCTGGGCCATTTCGGCTGTTCAAATCAAACTCCCACATCATATGCTTTTATGAATTAGTTACCCGATGTCAAATCAGTGCCAATGACGTCATTGAATTGGATTCTAACTGTGACATAAGAACATTATCCCTGTACTGGAAACTACACGAATGTGAAAGTTGTCAAAACATGGAAACATAAACGAAACTATCATGATTCGAAATTGTTGAGAGCTCATTCTTGTCTCGCCTGTGATGAAAGTTGCAGTATGCGAGACATAGGTATTACTATCTGGCGGTGGCTGTGGCATAAACTATTTGTATAAAGCTTTTTATTTCAGAAGGTTGAAGACCTGAATGCTTCATATCTTGTATGCAGATACCTTATGTTACGAAGTTTCCGTCTGTCATATGTCCATTGTCCTTTATCCATTTTTGTCGAGCCTTCGACTTTTGTCGAAAAAGCGAGACATAGCGATCCTACATTCCGTCGTCGTCGTCGTCGTTGTCGTCGGCGGCGTCCACAAATATTCACTCTGTGGTTAAAGTTTTTGAAATTTTAATAACTTTCTTAAACTATCCTGGATTTCTACCAAACTTGGACAGAAGCTTGTTTATGATCATAAGATTATATTCAAAAGTAAATTTTGTAAAAAAAAAATTCCATTTTTTCCGTATTTTACTTATAAATGGACTTAGTTTTTCTGCCAGGAAACATTACATTCACTCTGTGGTTAAAGTTTTTGAAATTTTAATAACTTTCTTAAACTATCCTGGATTTCTACCAAACTTGGAAAGAAGCTTGTTTATGATCATAAGATAGTATCCAGAAGTAAATTTTGTAAAAAAAAAATTCCCCATTTTTTCCGTATTTTACTTATAAATGGACTAAGTTTTTCTGCCAGTTAACATTACATTCACTCTGTGGTTAAAGTTTTTAAAATTTTAACAACTTTCTTAAACTATCCTGGATTTGTACCACACTTGGACAGAAGCTTGTTTATGATCAAAAGCTAGTATCTAGAAGGAAGTTTTGATAAAATTTTGTTCCATTTTTTCCGTATTTTACTTATAAATGGACTTAGTTTTTCTTCCAGTTAACTTTACATACAGTCTGCAGTTAAAGTTTTAAAAACATTTATTAGATTCAAAAACCATCCTGGATTTTACCAAACTTGGACAGAAGCTACTTACAATCAAAAGATAGTATAGAGAGGAATATTTTTATTAATTTTTTTCCTCATTTTTGTTGAGCCTGCGATTAACAGCAAAAGTAGGCGAGACACTGGGTTCCGCGGAACCCTTGCGAATTTTCATGGTTCAATGACTGCTTGAAAAATAATTATAGTTTTTTTTGTCATATGAATTTCTCACTTATTATGTTTAATAGAATAACTATATTTAGTATATCGGTTCCTTGCAACTTCTACATGTCCGTCAGACAGGGTTCACCTGACCTCAACCTCATTTCATGGATCAGTGATCGAGGTTAAAGTTACGTGATTAGGTCAGTTTCTCAGATACTATAAGCAGTAGGTCAATATATGTGGTGTATAGAATGCTTGTAAGGGGTACATGTTAGTCTGGCAGGTTTCATCTGACCTTGACCTCAATTTCATGGTTCACTGGTTAATGTTAAGTTTTTATGCCCCAGCCGTAGCGGAGGGGGCATTAAGTTTTACCCTTGTCCGTCTGTACATTCGTACATCCGTACTTCCCAAAATTGGTTTCCGTTCTCTTACTTGTGTTTGCCTAAACCAAATGTTATGAAACTTATACACAATGCTTATTACCACAAAATACAGATCAAGTTTGAATTTTGGTGGTGTCACTTTAACCGTTCTAGAGTTATGCCCCTTTATAAAATTTTTAGTTTCCGTTCTGTAACTTAAGTTTGTCCCAACCGAAGATTATGAAACCTATACACAATACTTATTACCACAAAACTCAGATCTAGTACAAATTTGGGTAGCGTCACTTTTATTGTTTTGAGTTATGTCCCTTTATAATGGTGTATGCAAGCGGGGGCATCATCTGTGTCCATGAGGACACATTTTCCATTTTTTGTTTTGGTCTGTTTTTCAAGTACTATAAGCAATAGGTCAACTATAGTTGGTGTATGGAATGATTGTAAGGTATACATGTTGGTCTAGCCGATAGCATCTGACCTTGACCTCATTTTCATGGTTTGGTCTGTTTTTGTCCCCCGCACATGCTTTTGCGGGGGACATAGAAATACAGGGCGTTCGTCCGTCCGTCCAATCTTGTTAGCCCTCTCACAGGTACAATTCTTGCCAGATTTTTTATAAAACTTATACTCTAGGTTTATATCAGCAATATCTCGGATAAGTTCTATAATGGTGTCTGATCGACTTTTAAAAAAAGAGTTATGCCCCTTGGAAATAATAAATTTATGGAAATCGGCCTCATTAGTGCTCTCACGGGTACAATTCATGCCAGATTTTTATAAAACTTATACTATAGGTTTATATCAGCAATATCTCAAACAAGTTCTATAATGGTGGCTGATAAACTTTTTTTAAAAGAGTTATGCCCTTTGAAATATTAAATTTTGGGATAATGGCCTCGTTAGCGCTCTCACGGGTACAATTCTTGCCAGATTTTTATAAAACTTATACTATAGGTTAATGTCAGCAATATGTTGGACAAGTTATATAATGGTGGATGATCAACTTTTTTAAAAAGAGTTATGCCCCTTTGAAATATTAAATTTATAGAAAATAGCCTCGTAAGGGCTCTCATGGGTACAGTTCTTGCCAGATTTTTGTCTCGCCTTTCCGGTGTTGGTGGCGGCGGCAGCAGCGGCGTCAACAATGTATTAGTTTGTGATTATGTCTAGTTTATGGTAAACCACTAGTGATAGGTCAATGATATTTGGTATGCAGTTGTATTAGCATTGGCACATCTCATTTCCATGGAGATTATTTGGCCCTGCCCCCTCAGTCATGGTCTATTGACTTTGAAACTTTTGCTTGGTTTACATGTATTAGTTTGTGATTAGGTCAGTTCAAGGAGAACCATTAGTGGTAGGTCAATGATATGTGGTATGCAGTTGTATTAGCATTGGCACATCTCATTTCCATTGATAATATTTGGCCCTGCCCCCTCAGTCATGGTCTGTTGACTTTGAAACTTTTGCTTAGTTTACATGTATTAGTTTGTGATTAGATCAGTTTTAGATGAACTGCTAATGTTAAGTCAATGATATTTGGTATGCAAATTTATTGGCATTTGCAAGTCTCGTTTACATGGAAATTATATAGCCCCACCCCCTCATCATGGTTCATTGACTTTGAAACTTTTAAATAGTGTACAAGTTTAAGTTTGTTTAAAGGGAACGACTTATGATAAGTCAATGGTATTTAGTATGCAGTTGTATTAGCATTGGCACATCTCATTTCCATGGAGATTGTTTAGCCATGTACCTTCAGTCATGGTTCATTGGCTTTGAATATTTGCATAACTTACATGTTAAAGTCTTGCTATTTTAGTTTCAACATTTGCATTATCAAAATTACAAAGAGGCGAGACATATATCTGTGTTTACAGTTTATTATAAAACATATACTATAGGTTTATATCAGCAATATCAATTATTTTTAAAAGAATTATGGTCCTTGGAAATATTAATTATATGGAAAATTGCATTGTTAGCACTCTCACGTGTACAATGCTTGCCAGATTTTTATGAAACTTATATAATAGGTTTACATGTATATCTGCAATATCTTGGACAAATTCTCAAATCAGTGCATATCTATTATTTTTTAAAGAGTTATGCCCCTTGGAAACATTAATTATATTGGAAATTGCATTGCATTTGCTCTCAAGCCTTCATTATTCCAAGAAATTAAAAAAAAATTTTTTTTTTAAGTTATTGCCCTTGGACAGATAAAATATGTGCAACACGGGGGACATTGGAACTCTGTTCTTTTATTCAAGTACTATAAGCAATAGGTCAACTTTATTTGGTGTATGAAATGATTGTAAGGTGTATATGTCGGTCTAGCCAGTATCATCTGACCTTGACCTCATTTTCATGGTCCATTGGTCAATGTTAAGTTTTTGATGTTTTGGTCTGTTTTTCAAACACTAATAGCAAAAGGTCAGCTATATTTGGTGTATGGAATGATTGTAAGGTGTACATGTAGGTCTAGCCGATATCATCTGACTTTGACCTCATTTTCATGGTCCATCGGTCAATGTTAAAATTTTGACAAAAATAGGTATTACTATCCGGTGGTTGCGGCGTAAACTATTTGTATAAAGCTTTATATTTCTGAAGGTAGAAGACCTGGATGCTTTATACCTTGTATGCAGATACCTTATGTTACGAAGTTTCCTTCTGTCATATGCTCATTGTCCTTGACCTCATTTTCATGGTTCAGTGACTGCTTGAAAAAAAATTGCAGTTTTTTTTGTTATGTGAATTTCTCACTTATTATTAGTAATAGGATAACTATATTTGGTATATGGATTCCTTGCAACGTCTACATGTCCATCAGACAGGGTTAACATGACCTCGACCTCAATTCATGGATCAGTGATCAAGGTTAAAGTTACATGATTAGGTCTGTTTCTCAGATAGTACAAGCAGCAGGTAAACTATATGTGGTGTATGGAATGATTGTAAGGGGAACATGTCAGTCTGGCAGGTTTCATCTGACCTGGACCTCGTTTTCATGGTTCATTGGTCATTGTTAATTTTTAGCTCACCTGGCCCAAAGGGCCAAGTGAGCTTTTCTCATCACTTGGCGTCCGTCGTCCGTCGTCCGTCGTCCGTCGTCCGTAAACTTTTACAAAAATCTTCTCCTCTGAAACTACTGGGCCAAATTTGACAAAACTTGTCCACAATCATCAATAGGGTATCTAGTTTAAAAAATGTGTCCGGTGACCCGGCCAACTAACCAAGATGGCCGCCATGGCTAAAAATAGAACATAGGGGTAAAATGTAGATTTTGGCTTATATCTCTGAAACCAAAGCATTTAGAGCAAATCTGACATGGGGTAAAATTGTTTATCATGTCAAGATCTATCTGCCCTGAAATTTTCAGATGAATCTGATACCCGTTGTTGGGTTGCTGCCCCTGAATTGGTAATTTTAAGGAAATTTTGCCGTTTTTGGTTATTGTCTTGAATATTATTATAGAAAGAGATAAACTGTAAACAGCAATAATGTTCAGCAAAGTAAGATCTACAAATAAGTCAACATGACCAAAATGGTCAGTTGACCCCTTAAGGAGTTATTGCCCTTTATAGTCAATTTTTAACCATTTTTCGTAAATTTTTGTAATCTTTTACAAAAATCTTCTCCTCTGAAACTACTAAGACAAATTTAACCAAACTTGTCCACAATCATCATTAGGGTATCTAGTTTAAAAAAATGTGTCCGATGACCTGCCCGCGAACCAAGATGGCCGACATGGCTAAAAAATAGTTCATAGGGTAAAATGCAGTTTTTGGCTCATATCTCTGAAACCAAAGCATTTAGAGCAAATCTGACAGAATAAAATTGTTCATTAGGTCAAGTTCTATCTGCCCTGAAATTTTCAGACCAATCAGGCAACACGTTGTTGGGTTGATGCCCCTGAATTGGTAATTTTAGGAAAATTTTGCAGCTTTTGGTTATTATCTTGAATATTATTATAGCTAGAGATAAACTGTAAACAGCAATAATGTACAGCAAAGTAAGATCTACAAATAAGTCAACATGACCAAAATTGTCAATTGACCCCTTAAGGAGTTATTGCCCTTTATAGTCAATTTTTTTTAATTTTCATAAATTTTTGTAAATTTTTACAAAATATTTTCCACTGTAACTACTGGGCCAAGATCATTATAGATAGAGATAATTGTAAGCAGCAAGAATGTTCAGTAAAGTAAGATCTACAAACACATCACCATCACCAAAACACAATTTCGTCATGAATCCATCTGTGTCCTTTGCTTAATATGCACATACTGACCAAGGTGAGCGACACAGGCTCTTTAGAGCCTCTAGTTTGTGTTTCTGTCTGTTTTTCAAGTACTATAAGCAATAGGTCAACTATATATGCTGTATGGAATGATTGTAAGGTGTACATGTCTGTCTAGCTGGTGTCATCTGACCTTGACCTCATTTTAATGGTTCATTGGTCAATGTTAAGTTTTTGTGTTTTGGTCTGTTTTTCAAGTACTATAAGCAATAGGTCAACTTTATTTGGTTTATTGAATGATTGTAAGGTGTACTTGTCTGTCTAGCCGGTGTCATCTGACCTTGACCTCATTTTAATGGTTTATTGGTTAATGTTAAGTTTTTGTGTTTTGGTCTGTTTTTCGAGTTCTATAAGCAATAGGTCAATTGTATTTGGTTTATTGAATGATTGTAAGGTGTACTTGTCTGTCTAGCCGGTGTCATCTGACCTTGACCTCATTTTCATGGTTCATTGGTTAATGTTAAGTTTTGTGTTTTAGTCTGTTTTTCAAATACAATAGCAATAGGTTAACTATTATTGATGTATGGAATAATTGTAAGGTGTACATGTCTGTGTGACAGTTTTTATCTGACCTTGACCTCATTGTCATGGATCTATAAAAATGTTAAGTTTATATGATACTTGTATTCCTTCATCTTTTAGACTTTCAATATAAAATCAATGGTCAGTAAAACACGCAAGACATTTCAGCGTGTGCACTCTTGTTATGTTTTGGTCTGTTTTTCAAATACTAATAGCAATAGGTATTCAGCTACTGTAAATTCAGAAATTATTGCGAGGTTTTTATTAATGCGAATAATGCGATTGGATGAGTATCGCAATAATAAGAACTCGCATTCTGAATTTCGATACATATAATGTATCCAGATTTTCTTGAAATCGCAATAATTAATCTAGCATTTTTGTCCATTCTTTAAAAATCGCAAAAATAAATGCACGCAATAATTTCTGAATTTACAGTATCATAAGGAAAAGAATGTCAACATTGAAAGTGAAACAACGATGAATCATTTGGTTGACTGATTTGATCCACAAAAAAATTATTCGAACACAGGTAAAAACGACGATAAACATACTTTTTAACCTACTATATGAAATCAAACGGACCTAGAATATTCCAATTGCAAGTGGTCGCTATCAGTTTATGTTTATATTTATGTATATATCAGGTTATATGACTGTCGGCAGTCTTCGGAGGTCATCTCGATGGGTAATTACATGATGCCTAGACAAAAATACACACAATATGTTGATACATATAATCGAGTCCACGCATTGTTAATTGTTTATTTTAGACTTTTTATACGACTGCAAAAATATTTTGTGGTCGTATATTGGTATGACGTTGGCGTCGTCGTCGTCGTCCAAAGACACATTGGTTTTCGCACTCTAACTTGAGTTAAGTGAATGGATCTCTATGAAATTTTACCATAAGGTTCAATACCACAAAAGGAAGGTTGGGATTGATTTTGGGGGTTATGGTACCAACAGTTAAGGAATTAGGGGCCAAAAATAAGCATTTTTGTAACTTCCAGACATAACTTGTGTGTTGGTGTATGGATCTCTCTGACATTGTACCACAAGGTTCCATATCACACAGGGAATGCTGGGATTGATTTTGGGGGTAATTGCCTCAAAATTTTAGGAATTAGGGGCCAAAAAAGGGGCAAAAAACAAGCATTTTTCTAGTTTCATGATAATAACTTGTGTGTAAGTGTATGGATCTTTCTGAAATTGTACTACAAGGTTCCATATCACAAAGGGAAAGCTGGAATTGAGTTTGGGGGTAATTGCCCAAAATGTTTAGGAATAAGGGGCCAAAAAGGGGCCAAAAATAAGCATTTTTCTAGTTTCCAGACAATAACTTGTGTTCAAATGTATGGATCTTTATGAAATTGTACTGTAAGGTACCATACCACAAAGGGAAGTCTGGGATTGATTTTGGGGGTAATTGCCTCAAAATTTTAGGAATTAGGAGCCAAAAAGGGGCAAAAAACAAGCATTTTTCTAGTTTCAGGACAATAACTTGTGTGCAAGTGTATGGTTCTTTATGAAATTGTACTGCAAGGTACCATATCACAAAGGGAAAGCTGGGTTTGAGTTTGGGGGTAATTGCCGTAAACGTTTAGGAATTTGGGGTCAAAAAGGGGCCTAAAAACAAGCATTTTTTTAGTTTCCAGACAATAACTTGTGTTCAAGTGTATGGATCTTTATGAAATTGTACTACAAGGTTCCATATCACAAAGGGAAAGCTGGGTTTGAGTTTGGGGGTATTTGCCCAAAACGTTTAGGAATTTGGGGCCAAAAAGGGGCCTAAAAACAAGCATTTTTCTAGTTTCCAGACAATAACTTGTGTTCAATTTTATGGATCTCTCTGAAATTGTACTGCAAGGTACCATACCACAAAGGGAAGGCTGGGATTGAGTTTGGGGGTGATGAATCATAAGGGGGTTCAAAAAATTTGGGGGAGGGATTTTTTTTTTCTTTAAAATTTTCCATTTTAAATTGGTTATTTCTGATTTATATATAAAAGCAAATAATAATGATATGGTTTGAATAGGTAAATTAAAAAAATTTAAGTTCTTAGACCACATTCATTCTGTGTCAGAAACCTATGCTGTGTCAAATATTTAATCACAATCCAAATTCAGTGCTGTATGTTGCTTGAATGTTGTGTCCATACTTGCCCCAACTGTTCAGGGTTCGACCTCTGCGGTCGTATCAAGCTGCGCCCAGTGGAGCATTTTATTGTAATTTGGATATACGTTTTAGTATGATATAAATCTAATATGAGAATTTGAGTCAAATTGGTGAACATGAATTTGACAGCTAGTGCCCCTTGAAAGGGGCATTAGCTACGAGATATAAAAAAAATTAGAATATGATTTTTTTTGTTCAATCATTAATGAAAGTGAAATAGTGAAATAATAATTCACTTTAAGCAGTTCAGTGTGTGAATATATATATGAATATATTACAGATTACCAGGAAGAACAACATTAATTAAGGAGTTAAAAGACCGATTTGATTGTGCTGAAAGAATTGTATTTGATATATCAGAACATGATGTACATTCGGTGGCATCCCTGTTAAAAATGTACTTCAGAGAACTTCCAGAATCCATTATACCATCATCCTATTATCAGCGATTGATGAATGTTGCCATGAATTTTCAGGATGCTAAAGAAACTGAGAAAAAGACAGAAGCTGTTGCAAATGCAGCTAACGCATTATCAAGCCTTCCGGACGATAATTATCTTATTGTCAAATATTTATGTAAATTTTTATGTGAAGTGGGAGAAAAATCGCACATCAATAAAATGACAACTTTAAATCTTGCAACAGTTTTCGGACCAAACATAATACGTAATGTAATTGAAGCAGATAGTCCAGAACTAATGATGGCTACTGCTGATTTAACTCAACAGTTATGTTTCATGTTGATAAATAATTGTGAGGACATATTCATCGACAAAAAGGAAGAAGAGAAATTGGAAGAGACAAAACCTGAAGTTCCTGTTGAAAATTTGTTAGACTTTTCTGATAAACCTGAGTCGGCTGATGAAATTAAGCCTCTTCCTCGAATCTCTCTGAGAAATAATAAAGCAGGATCAAGAGGCTCATCTCTTCTTACCTCAGTAACAGAAGAACTTGAAAAAAGGAAAGATAACAATATATTACAACCATTATTTCCATCTTGTAGGAATTCAGATAAACAAAATACTAGTGGAATAGATTTGTTAGATTTTACAGAACCTGTCAAAATAGAATCTGATAATAATAATATTATATCACCTCCTGATCCCCCAAAACAGAAACCCGTTCCACCAGCTAGAAGGAAGAAGAAAAGTCAAAATGGGGGTGACGATATATCCCCTTCTTGCACATTGTCTCGAACCAGTAGTACCGAGTCTGAAGCAATACAAGATCTCAAAAATCAAATCGAACAACTAAAAACAGAATTAGAAAGCACTCGTAAAGAATGCGAGGCAAAAATTCAGGACCTTAAAACCAATTACAATGGCAAAATAAATGTTTTACGTACAAACAGTGCAAATAGTGAAAGAATATACAAAGAACGAATTCAGGCAATTAACCAGTCACATTCAGCTCAGATGGAAGATTTAAAAAAGGAACTTGAAAAAGGAAGAATAGATAGAGATGGTGCTGTTTCAAAAGTTATGAAGTTACAGACAGAACTTAATCGTTATCACCTTCAGTATGGACAACTTCATAGTCCAACTTAATTTTATGGTTAAAATTCTATATTATACTATTTGTTTGTAAGTAGATATTCTGTTGAATATACTTCACATATACAGTATACTGACAGATGTCCTCTCCTATTGGTCCTTATACAAAAATTTGTTCCACCACTCAGGCTTCCATTTTAAATTGAGCCTCATTTTGAAAATTATGTCCTGTTATTTTGGTGATGAATTTTAAAACCTTCTTAGACTGAAGTTGTAAAGGTTAAGAAAAGATTGTTGACTTACGAGGAACTATGTTAAACATTTTTTTTATACGACCGCAAAAAAATTTTGTGGTCGTATATTGGTATGACGTTGGCGTCGTCGTCGTCATCCGGCGTCGTCGTCGTCCGGCGTCGTCGTCCGAATACATATTGGTTTTCGCACTCTAACTTTAGTTTAAGTGAATGGATCTTTTTGAAATTTGACCATAAGGTTAAATACCACAAAAGGAAGGTTGGGATTGATTTTGGGGGTTATGGTACCAACAGTTAAGGAATTAGGGGCCAAAAAGGGGCCAAAAATGAGCATTTTCTAGTTTCCAGACAATAACTGTGGAACGGTGTATGGATCTCTCTGAAATTATACTACAAGTTTCCATACCACAAAGGGATGGTTAGGATTTGCTTTGGGGGGTTATGGCTCAAACCGTTTAGGAATTAGGGGCAAAAAAGGGGGAAAAACAAGGTTGTCCTGGTTAATGGACAAATACTTTAGTACAAAACATAATTTAAAGCAGTGTAAGGGAGATAAATCAAATACATCATTGAAATTATCTCCCTTACACTGCTTTTAAATTATGTATAAAGTAATGGTTAATGAACAATAAAGATAATCTAAAACAGTGTAAGGGAGGTAATCCAAATACAACGTTTTGGTTACTTCCCTTACACTGCTTTTAAATTATGTTTAAAGAAATGCATTTTTATAAAGGAAGACCAGTAAAAATATCTGCAAATGTTTTCATCTTTTTTTTTAACAAAAAAATCCATATGAAAGATTTGACACTATATTTTTATTAATTCTATTATAAAATAGATTAAGTTAGCACTATGGTAAATTTAAATGGGTAATTATGGTTGCCAACTCCATTGGAAATTTGAATTGAGATTATGACCATATCTTGAGGGAAAGAATTTTTTTGGGGGAAAAAGGGGGGGGGGGGATAAAAAGAAATTGTGGGGGGCCAATTTTTTCTCATTTCAGATTTCAGAAATTAAAAAGAATTATTCTTCAAATATTATTTTTTTTTCAAATTTCAAATATTGAAAAATTTCAAGAAGTAATCTTTAATTGCACAGTATGGCGCATTAGATTTGTAAAATCTTTGATCACATTTATTTATTTGTTATGCCGAATCTAACAGTGTATTTAGATTTTTAATTTTGGGTCCAGTTTTCAAATTGGTCTACATTAATGTCCAAAGGGTCCAAAATTAAACTTTGTTTGATTTTAGCAAAAATTGAATATATGAGGTTCTTTGATATGCTGAATCTAAACATGTATTTAGATTTTTGATTTTTGGCCCAGTTTTCAAGTTGGTCCAAATTGGGGTCCAAAATTAAACTTTGTTTGATTTCAACAAAAATTGAATATATGGGGTTCTTTGATATGCTGAATCTAACCATGTATTTAGATTTTTTATTTGTGGACCCCGTTATCTAATTGGTTCATATTGAGGTCAAAAGGGTCCAAAATTAAACTTTGTTTGATTTCATCTAAAATTGAATTATTGGGGTTCTTTGATATTCCAAATCTAACCGTGTATTTAGGTTTTTAATTTTGGGACCTGTTTTTTAAATTGGTCTACATTGAGGTCCAAAGGGTCCAAAATTAAACTTAGTTTGATTTTGACAAAAATTGAATTCTTGGGGTTCATTGATTTGCTGAATCTAAACATGTGTTTAGATTTTTGATTATGGGCCCAGTTTTCAAGTTGGTCCAAGATAGGGTCCAGTATTTAAACTTTGTTTGATTTCAACAAAAATTGAATATATGGGGTTCTTTGACATGCTGAATCTAAACATGTATTTAGATTTTTGATTATGGGCCCAGTTTTCAAGTTGGTCCAAATTGGGGTCCAAAATTAAACTTTGTTTGATTTCAACAAAAATTGAATATATGAGGTTCTTTGATATGCTGAATCTAACCATGTATTTAGATTTTTTATTTGTAGGCCCCGCTATCAAATTGGTTCATATTGAGGTCAAAAGGATCCAAAATTAAACTTTGTTTGATTTCATCGAAAATTGAATTATTGGGGTTCTTTGATATGCCAAATCTAACCGTGTATTTAGATTTTTAATTTTAAGTCCCGTTTTTTAAATTGGTCTACATTAAGGTCCAAAGGGTCCAAAATTAACTTAGTTTGATTTTAGCAAAAATTGAATTCTTGGGGTTCTTTGATATGCTGAATCTAAACATGTGTTTAGATTTTTGATTATGGGCCCAGTTTTCAAGTTTGTCCAAGTTGGGGTCCAAAATTAAACTTTGTTTGATTTTAACAAAAATTGAATATATGGGGTTCTTTGATATGCTGAATCTAACCATGTATTTTGATTTTGGACATTGGACCATAATAGGTAAATTAAAAAAATTCAAGTTCTTAGACTACATTCTTTCTGTGTCAGAAACCTATGCTGTGTCAAATATTTAATAACAATCCAAATTCAGAGCTGTATCAAGCTTGAATGTTGTGTCCATACTTGCCCCAACTGTTCAGGGTTCGACCTCTGCGGTCGTATCAAGCTGCGCCCGAGCGAAGCATTTTATTTAAATCTTTGATTGGAAGCTTATGTTGAAGACTAATTAATAAATTTTATAAAAGGTAAACAGAAAGATATGCTAACATTTACCCCTATCAACTTTGCTTATTTGTTATAGGTAAACAAAAAAGTTTTCAAAAAAGTAACACCTCAACCAAGATATATAAGGGGAGATAGAAGTATTAGGGCTTGTATCCATCTTTGGAGTTATCAGTGCAATTAATTTTCATTTTTTTACATTTATGGCTGTAACATGTAGTTTTATAGTGACCATCTCTTGCTTTTTTTTCCCCAACAAGTTCTGGAAAGTTAGACCTGATTGGATCCTATTGATTAAACTTTCTACTATTACAGAATTGATTTTTGTGCCTGAAGATTGTTTAAAGTCATTCAGGATCATTGGTGCTGAATAGGTATGATATGTCCTTTTTGAATATTTGATATTTCTTCCAATAATTAAGTTTGATTAATTGTTTATAGTTGTATATGTAACAGTGAATTTTGTTTTATTTTTATGATTATTTTCTGCTAATTTACATCTATTTAAGTTTAAATTAACTGTTATTTAAATATTAAATCATGGACTTTTCAACTAGATAAGATTATATGATATTGTTGAACATTTATAGTATCAAACAAAGTTTAATCGTTTTTTAAAGTGAAATCTTGATCATGTTGATGGTTGAAAAAAACTAAGAAGTATATATACAATCTGATGGATTGATTATTGCTTTTTTAATGTCCAGTGGCAAACATTTCATGCATAATCAGGACGATATCTATAATCTGTTTTGAGTTAGATTTCTTTTTGTAGGGTATAACTTATTATAATAAAATATTTGTTTAATCCCGTTTACTGTACTCATCCTCCCTATTCATGAAATATTTGTCACTGGATGTTATTGGTAAGCAAACAACAATCTTTCAGTCGACCCTTTTCCCTATATTTTTTTTTCTAAAGAGCATTTAGATGCTATATAATTATCAGATATCATGCCCCCTTAATTTTTATTCAATTTATAAATTTATTTTATGAAGACTGAAAGAAAATGTAAAATTTTAAAGGGATTTCATGTCATATGGGGAAAAATTATTGACTTCAGGCAGTTTGTGTGAAATTTGACAGATCTGTTTCCTGAGGAAATCATGTTTCAAATAAAAAAATATATTTTTTTAATGCAAATCAGCTCCAAAAAAACTTCCTTGTGAAAACAAGTGAATTTGAATGTGTTAACAAACCCATAGAACAGGAAATCACAGTGGCCAGCACTGCTACTAAACAAACCCATAGAACAGGAAATCACAGTGGCCATAACTGCTACTAAACAAACCCATAGAACAGGAAATCACAGTGGCCAGAACTGCTACTAAACAAACCCATAGAACAGGAAATCACAGTGGCCAGAACTGCTACTAAACATATTCATAGAACAGGAAATCACAGTGGCCAGAACTGCTACTAAACAAACCCATAGAACAGGAAATCACAGTGGTCAGCACAACTTCTCGTTATTGTATAGTATCTTGAAATATTAAAGATTGTTTGATATATTTAAATTATTTCTGAAGAATGTAGTGAAATAAATTGAAAATGATCTATAGAAAAGTAATGACAATTAAATATTTTTTTATGCAATGGTAACTTTATGATGTAACTTAAAATGGCACCGTTCACAGGAAATAGTGACTTGTTATACATTTTCAACAATGATACCTTTAGTATCCTCAACATAGGTCACCTGCTAAAATAGTATTACTGGGTATTTACACATTGATTTGTTAATTTATTAACTTGAAACTTCTGAACCAAATTATTGTCTACATATTTTCTTGGAGCTTTTTTTCTTCTTCAAATATTGGCTAGAAAAAAACAGATAGTTTGGATAACTGTTCAAATGGAATTCCATTGCCTTTTTTTAGTCTGTACACATCATGTTTACTTGTTTTGATTGATACCTTTGTTTGTAATTGTCCTAGATTATATTTAAACTGCTAAAAGTTATAAATAGCTAATAATGTAATCTGAATGAAATGGTCAATTCTAAGAAAAAATATTTCTTAATGTGCAAAATTCTCAAGAATTAAGAACTTTAATAAATATTTATGAAAATGCAAAAAAATGTATTCTGCGAATGTCATGTATCATATGTCATTGGCCAGAACATAATGTTAAAGTCAAAAAAGGTCAATTATTCAATCATCATTAAAATACTTGTTGGAGATAGGTGTATATTTTTTTAATCTGCGGTCAGGTTCTCAGATACCATCCCAAGTGATCTATTTTATGTAATGATGCATCTTGGAATGTATGTACCAAAAATAGATCACTATACATACTTTCATTGTTTAATTGATTTAGATGATTTAGCCTCACAGTAAGGCAAAAAAAAACCAACAAATATGTGGCATGAAGGTGAACTTGACTAAACTAGGAATAAACGATATCTGCAAATTGTTTTTGTTGTGCCATGTTGCCTCTCATATATAGTTTTAGACAACAAACA